ACGAAACCTCTCCAGTCCCCAGAATTGAATTGTAGTTAGTTCTTCTTTAAACCCTAGACTAATTAACATGTTGCTATTCAGATGAAGTAGTGGGAACTCCCAAAATGGTAAGGAATTTTTGTAATGCAACATATGACAGGTTTTCTAGGAAAAGGTGGGTAGCTCATCATGTGCTGTAGTTGAAAAGAGGGGCCTTCTCACTTATACAAATAGCTGTAAGGCAACTGCCTTCCTCAGGGGAACAAAGAAAATCCCTTGTGAATACAAGTGAAAAAAAGATGTCATCTCTTTTGGGAGAACAGAGGACAGATGGTGGTTGGCAGGTGAGTCCAGGAACAGAACAGAGTGCTCCGCCATAAAATGGTGCATTGGGCTGGTGGTGGTGGTGCACGCCTTTAATCCCAGCACTCGGGAGGCAGAGGCAGGCAGATCTCTGTGAGTTCAAGGCCAGCCTGGTCTACAGAGTGAGTTTCAGGACAGCTAGGGCTACACAGAGAAACCCAGTCTCAAAAAATTAAAAAAAAAAAAAAAAGAAAGAAAGAAAAAAGAAAGAAAATGGTGTGTTGGGAAGTTAATACCTGAACATGCACTCAGGAAGGAGAAGATGTGTACTTTGCAGACAGCAGGCAGATAGGTTTGTCTGGTGTGGTGATGGTATTCCCATGTGCTTTAGAAGAGGTAATTTTTCTAGTTAGGTGGAATGTGGAGCATGAACAGATCAGCCAGCCATCAGAAGCATTTCCTCATTTTGCCCGAGTGTTTCTGACACTGAAGATGTGTTTGTGCCTAGTTTAAGATTCATAACACTATCATTAAATACTTAACACATGATCAGTTTTGAATATTTAAATTTATGCTTATTAAAATTTAACATTGTATATGTATCTCTGTGTTAAGTCACTTAACTTGAAATAGCCAGGATTTGAGGTTATTTAAATAACTTGTAGTTCATATTGAGTTTACAATGTATGCTTATATAGTAGGTGTCTAGAATGTAGAGTAGCTATGAACTAAAGAGGCTAGCAGTTACTCAGGAGTGTGATTGCTGAAGAAATGATTAAATGATTAGGGCATTTCTGCAGGAAGCAACTACAGTGGCATTGATCTCCAAGTAGGGGACTGTGTGTTGCTAGCCTCCTGCAGACAGTAGCAGAGTGTGTGCAGGGAAAGGCAGACAGACAACTTTCATTTCAGATCAGTCCATTCCATGATTTTAAAAGGTGTTCTCACTGTCGTTTGTCTAAAGTAAGAGGAAGACTATTTTGGGGTTTGTTAATAATATTCTGGAACATACTAGTAACGATGTATAATCGATTTATTGTTCTAAAATACATACTTGGTGTTGTTTATAGCAGTGCTCCTAAAATGTATTAGTTATTATTGCTAAATGTTTTTCTTGGCAGAGATGACAGTAGTTGGTTTTTATTAAAAGAATAAATGTTTACCATTTAAATTGTAAGGTCAGGGGCTGGAACAGTTCCTCAGCAGTTAAGAACATGTACTGCTCTTGCAGAAGCCCTGAGTTCAGTTCCCAGCACTCATAAAGGGTGGCTCACAATCCCCCGTAACTCTAGCTCCAGGGCCTCTGTTCTCGTTGGTTGCTCCACTTGTGTGCACAAACCTATACTCTAAAAATACACACATACATGTAATTAAAAATAAAACGTTAAATAAGTTGTAAGGTCTGTGTTGTATCACCAAAAGCTGCAATGCAGAAATGTTGTCAGGCTCTTGTGCACACCACCAGCAGTGCCGCTCTGATGTTCAGGAAGCGTTGCTTTTCTGCCCGTGAAGTAGGAAGCAGACAGAACTGAAGTAGCTCAACTTAAAAACGTTGGGGGAGGGGGTCAGTTTAGCCTAGGATCCCAGCCATGCAGCTCTTCAGAAGGAGATAAGGCAGGATGCGGCTGTTAAGCTATTATAGGCAAACTGCACCAGAATACATGTCCAAAGGGATGAGGACAGCATGGGCTCACAATGGGGCTTTTACTCAGAGAATTAAATGGTCATCTAAAACCTGAGTTGTGGAACTAAATAAATCTATAAAAAATTAAATCTATATAATATGAACCTTGACTTCAAAGTCATTTCCTATCAAGGAAACTGGTACCAGCATAGATGAAATCGAGTAAAAGTCATACTTAATTTTCTTTTGCCAAGTTATTTGTCAAAGTTCAGAAAGTTGCCATTACCGAGTGCCTGCTGTGGTCTGTGTACCCTTTTTTGTTCCACCAATTACTTTATATATACATTTATTTTATTTGACAATTTTATGCATGTATATAGTAAAATATGATCATATCCACTCCCTACTTCCCTCCTCCAACTCCCCCTGGATTCCCCTCAAAATGTCCCCTCTTGACTCCATAGCCCTGGTTGGTCTGAGACTTGCTATGTAAATCAGATTAGCCGAGAACTCACAAAAGTCCACCTGCCCCTGCTTTCTGAGTGCTAGGACTGAAAGCATGCACCGCCATCCCCCAGTTGTGTGTGTGTATGTATCCCCTGTTAAGCCCTGTTAGTGCTACCCATATGTCCATATCGTGTGTGCAGCCATTCACTGGACGTGGAAAACCTACCAGTGGCTACACCCCCAAAGAATGGTGCTTGTCAGCAGCTGTCAACTGCCAATAGCTGCTGACTTGTGGGTGAGGCCTTAGTTTGACTGGCGTCGACTTGCTCAGGCAGCTGTGGCTGCTATGAGTTCAGGACTGCAGTGGCCGCGTCACATGGAGAGGTCAGCACTTCACAGCCCTTCTCCCCATCCTCCAGCGCGCTCTCTCTCTCTGTCTCTCTCTCTGTCTCTCTGTCTCTCTGTCTCTCTCTCTCTCTCTCTCTCTCTCTCTCTCTCTCTCTCTCTCTCTCTCTCTCTCTCTCTCCCTCCCTCCCTCCCTCCTACAATGTTCCTTGAATGCTGGGGAAGGAGAGGGTTTGAAAACTGACCAGTTATATGTCTTTTCATTGACTGCTGCCCATTATATGAAGAAGCTTCTCTCACCAAGATTGAGAGTAACAAGTCTGTGGATATGAACAAGTATTTAGAAGGCAAATTGACAACACAACCACTTAGTAAAATAGCAATAGAAGGTTCCCCAGTAGGATCTCTATGAACTCTCAGCCATAGGCTTTTGACCAAGATTATAGCACCAGTCACTAAATTCCCTCTGTGGAGTATACTGCAAATACAGTCAGAAAGCGCTTGGTCCTGGGCTTGTCACTATTGCTGCATTTGGTGCGTCTTGTTCTGCAGGTTGGTGTTCTAGCAAGCAGGGTCCAGCCCTAAATAAGAAAGACGATTGGTATCTTTTCTCCCCCAGCAGCCTGCATTGTACCTTCTGAAAGTTAGCCAGCAAGGAAGAAATTTCCCCTTTTGGTTTGAGATTGATTTTTATGTTCTGCAACCAAAGTTTTTTGGTACTTTTAGCAGAAGGTTCTAACCATGTAGTTATGGTGGGCAACTAAGAACAGTGCCAATAGCCTGTGTTGTTTTGGAGACTCCTGGACCCTCCGAGACCAACAGCTCATAGGAAGGTATCCCTGGCCCTGCAGTTTTCATTCACCCCGTGTCTTCTGGAATGGCTTTATCCACTCCTGCAGAGTACCGCTGTTTGCTGTTGCTGTCACATCATCATTGTATGCTGAAGTTAGCTTTCTAACTTATGGATTTCCATAAGGCTTTTTCATGTATCCTTAGTTGTGTTTAACCCATACCTTTCTCCTCCTTTTCCTCACCCTTACCCTGCTTAATCCTTTAACCCATTTCATAGCAGATTTATTCTACTGTCCCCTTCAGTTATGTTTTTAAATTGGGTTGCACTTTAGCAAGTTTCCATATGGCTTTTTCATACTATCTTCCTTTAGGTCGATCCCCTCCATCCTCTGATTTCCTCCAGAATTCCAGTTTTTTATTTACCTATAATTTACTGTGGCACTGTCAACTATCCCAATTGTGTTATTGTGGCTGCTGTGCATACCTTATGACTGTATCCTCTTCCCTACTGCAGGGGTAAAAAGGAGCCAGGTCTCAGCAGTAAAATCTGTAAACTAAAATTGTTAACTAATAGGGGAAATATGGATAGTTTGCACATAAAGATGACATCATCCGTATTATTAATTTAAAAAATCTATCTTAATTTATTGAAATCACTTTTTAATTTTTTCCTTGTATGACATAATATCTCATAGCTATTAAGGTGAATATTTTCTACTGTTAGTACAAAAGTACATATACTCAGCTGTGGTGCTCCCACTAATATCCAAATAAGGTTCATGCTCGTGACTGCTTTGTTTAATAGTTCCAGTAAGTGATCCAAAGCTGATCTGTTGATGTTATGATCTCTAAGCAGAATATTGATCCCGAAATTACATATGATACCTGTTTTTCTTGACGATTCCATTAGTTTTTTTTTTATAAGAATGCTATGTATTTGTGTTTGAATCTTTAGTTATATGTGAGTTACAGTATAGTATTTTCTGGGTAATATTTTCTTACTTAGCCCTAGCCCCTCTTAACTGCTTGCTGCAAGAAGTTCTTTTCTTGTTTTGAAATTTAAGCTATATGTTTGAAAAGAGTGAGGATAGAAAAGGTAGTTCCTGGAATGTAACAATACCATAGCTGACTTTCTCTCCTGACCTGGTTAAGAGTTGATCACTTGAAGAGTTTCTCATTCACTTGGGTTTGTGGCTGTTTAAACTGTGTACAAACAATTCTTTTGAGTATTTCAAATCTAAGGGTGTTTTCTTATTAAATTGTCCATGAATTGACTGATTTTTACAGGAGTACTTTTCTTCTAAACTTGGAACCATAAAATAGAAACATTCCTAACTAGTTTCTTTTTTATCAAAAAATATGCTCTACTAATACAGTTTTTATAGTTCTAGTTTTTGTGTAAAATGAGGCCTGGGAATTTGTCAAGTTACCCCATGTGTATGTGGGCAGGCTGTTGTTCATTTCTTGCAGTGTGATTTCATTGTGTTGCTCTGGCTTTGTTTTTGCATAGGGTGCTGGCCAGGATAAACTGGGAATCTACGTTAAGTCTGTTGTGAAAGGAGGCGCTGCAGATGTGGTCAGTATTTGTTTTAAAGGAAACAATTGAAGGGCATTATGTGCTTTAGTGTTGTAAAATGCTGTGCAGAGGCTTCTAGCTATGGATGCTCTGTGGTGTGAAGGATGCTGTTGTGTACTGACATCTACCTTTCTTCTCCCTACACTTGTATTCTTCTGATGGCTAAGGATGGACGTTTAGCTGCTGGTGACCAGCTCCTCAGTGTGGATGGACGAAGTCTGGTTGGACTTTCTCAGGAAAGGTATGACTAATTGGCTAGTTTACAGCTTAGTCTTAGTGTATTGAAGTGATATTTTACATTTAATTTTTAAATTGAAATTCAAAAAGTAGTGCTGAAATAGTTCCATGCCCTCACACACTTCCACCTTTTTAATTAGAGTACATAAATCTCGTTTTTCTATTCACTCATAAATACATATTTTAGTCTAGAATATTTCTTTAAGTGAATATATAAATACACACACATGCACATATACTTAGTACTTGTAGAATTTTTGAATATTGTCTGAGAATAATATGATAACATAGAATATATTTACATGCTTTTATAATTAAATTTCAAAAAGGATGTGGGTAGGAGGTAATTTTTCTGAAAGGCAAACTTATTTCCCCAAACAGCTATCAGGCTGAGGAACCTGAGCATGAGTGTTCTGAACACAGGCTCTCCTGTGAGAGTGAGCACTCAGTTTTCTTATACTCTGTATTTTCTTCCTAGGGCAGCAGAACTCATGACAAGAACCAGTTCGGTGGTCACACTTGAAGTTGCAAAGCAAGGCGCCATCTATCACGGCCTGGCCACCCTCCTTAACCAGCCATCCCCCATGATGCAGAGAAGTAAGAGCTAGTGACTCAAGCCAGCGTAGCTGCCCAGCACTGATCCAGCACTGTAGTATGCCTCCCCTAAAAGTGATCAAAAGCTGGGGCTGGAGAGATGCTCAGTAGTTAAGAGTACTCACCTCTCTTCCAGAGGACCTGGGTTCAATTCCCAGCGCTCACGTGTTAGCTTACAGCTGTCTATTCTTCCAGTTTCAGGGGATTTGATGCCCTCCTTTAACCTCCTTGGACACCAGTCAAACATGCATGTGTACACATGCAGGCAAAGTGCTCACATGTATAAGATAAATTGTTTTTACAAAGGGAGTTATCGGAAGTCCCGTGTAGTAGCTGCTGATAATGTTACTGCCCAGTTCTTAAAGTAAGAAGTTGAGAAAGAGTGCAAGATGCTGAGAAATACTAGTAGGTCAGGATTCAGATGGACACCAGCCAACTTGAGCCCACACTTGCGTTCACCCAGGTTCCCCTGGTTCTCAAGAGATCGTTAACCTCAGCCCATTTGGCTGAGTGTCTGCTGATGAACTCCTAGATTGTGTGCAGAGTAGGTGGATGCTCAGGCACCAATGACAATGAATACAGTTTTAATTTTGATAGGCACCATCAGAACATAAAGTCTTTAAGATGGGAAGCTTATTTCATGCTCTTTGGAAGAGATTGTATATGCATGTGTATGGAAGTAGTTCTTTTAGTTCTGCCTGTGCCAAAATAAGGCATAGTTATCTTGCCATATTTCTCTTCAGAGAAAATTCAGTTATTTCAGCAAAGTAATTTATTTGTGGAAACTGATCCTCCAGTTATATTAAAATCTTCAAGAAAAAATCAATATAAATTTAAGGCTTCCTAAAAAATTATTTTAGAAACTACAACAGGAAAAAATGTTGTGACTTTACTCTTCTTTGATCATTGACCCTTTAGAGCAACCTTAATGATAGAGTTTGCTAAATGTATGCTCCATCTGTTAAGTGTCCTCTCGTTAGCCCTCTTCTCCCAAGTTAGCTTGGGAGCCTGCACATCCCAGCACCTAGCCTTTGTAGTGTATTATAGTATCAACAAGAAAGATGTCTGACAGCCTAGAATCCCGTTTACTAAATCAGAGAAGCATCGAGGTTTCCTGACAAAATCATGAGTTGGCCTGTCTAAGCAGAACATCATTTAGAAACCCAAAGAGGGAAGTGGGTAATGAATCAGTCCCAGGAGAGCAGAGGAGAAGACTGAACTGTAGACAAGGAGTGGATAATTACAGCAGGTGACAGCATAGGATGCCATGACTGATGGATATTAATATGTGCTTTGTCAAGTGAGAGAAGTGTATTTACCTTTGATGGCTTTTTAAAAATTACTCTAAAAATAGTTACAGTTCAATTGTTGAGAAAATAAAGTCAATTTCCCTCATAGATACACACCAAGTAAGTGAAATATTTTTTAGTCACAATATATTTTAAAACGTTTGAAATTTTTTATATAAAGCTGTTTGTGATGGCATGCACCTTTAATCCCAGCACTCAGGAGGCAGAAGTAGGCCTCCTGATTTCTGTGAGTTTTGGGGCTACCCTGATCTTTCTAGTGAATTCCAGGCCAGCCATGGCTATCCAGTGAGACCCCTGGGTTTTGTCTTATTCTGCTTGCTTGCTTGTTTTTTTTTTTTTTTTTTAAAGCTGTACAAAGAATATATATGAAAATCACCCTACTATACTAAGAACAATGATGAAATATAAGTATTTTAGGTGCATCCTTTGAAGCTTTTCTGAACATTCAAAGCAGACTCTTAGAACCAATGAAAGGAACAGAGAACAAATGAATCCACTTTGATTTCAGTTTCAGATCGTCGTGGCTCAGGTAAACCCAGACCAAAGAGTGAAGGTTTTGAACTCTATAATAATTCAGCTCAGAACGGCTCCCCAGAGAGTCCTCCGCTGCCTTGGACAGAGTACAGTGAGCCAAAGAAACTCCCCGGTGACGACAGGCTGACGAAAAACAGAGCAGATCACCGCTCCAGCCCCAATGTGGCAAGTAAGAAGAACCGTTTCCTAAGTGCTTGGTCACTGCCAGAAGCTGGGGCACATTGTACTTGTTAGTTATTATTTGCATCTGTTGGCTACCTAGAGTAGAGTTTTCATAGAGGTATCAACATTTGACGGAAATAAAATTTCAGTTTTGATTAGAAAACCCTTGGCTCAGTTGACACTGTAGACCAAAATCCATTGCTGATGTCTCTGGAAAAGGGTGTCAGGTGGCCAGCTTAAGCTGGGTCTTCTGCTTTTTAGAGAGTTGCTAAAAAGAAGTAAGAATGGAAGGATATTTAATAGAGACTCCCAATTCAAAAGGCCTTAAGTATTTACTCTTAAGTCTCTTGACCAAAGATGTCAGCCATGTCCTGGCCCTGGAGAAAGTCCTTTTCTGGGCTGTGGTGGCAGGAGACATGTGGGGTTGGGTGGAGTTGGCTTCTTGTATATCTTTGTCTCTGGCTCTGTGCTGGACGTCATGCCAGTGTGTGATGTGGCTACGACCTTTGAAAGACTGTTGCTGTGTTTATTTTACTTGTCATTTAATGTGAAACTGGGTTTTCTGACTTTCTCCAACAGATCAGCCTCCTAGCCCTGGAGGGAAGAGTCCTTACGCCTCTGGAACAGCAGCTAAGATAACATCTGTCTCCACTGGAAACCTCTGCACTGAGGTCTGAGAATGAGCTGAAAGACTTTCTCACTTATAGACTATGCAAGTTGTCTGATACAGTGCCCAACAAGTTACATTGACTATATAACTCCTGAATTTTTGTTATTTAATATTTTTACATTTAAATACTAGTCAGATAAGTTAGTTTTAAATTAATAAATCTGGGGAAAATGAGAATTAGTCCTGAGTACATCTAGAAAAACTAAGATACTCTCATTACTCACAGTGTAGAATCAAATTTTCAATTTTTAGCACAGCACTTAATGTACATGCTTTTTAAAAAGATTGTAAAACAGATCACAGGGTATTAAGTTAGCCTTTCAAACAATTTTAAATAGCTCTCTTTTTCTTTACATTTTACAGGAGCAGACCCCTCCACCTAGACCTGAAGCCTATCCCATCCCTACTCAGACATACACCAGAGAGTATTTTACCTTTCCAGCTTCAAAATCCCAGGATCGTATGGCTCCTCCTCAGAACCAGTGGCCAAATTATGAGGAAAAGCCACACATGCACCCAGAAAGTAATCATTCCAGTATTGCAATCCAGGTTAGAAATAATGGATTCACAAACTTTTCTCATCTCTCAAAGGAGTATGGTACACTAGTTTGTCAGGATAAAGACAGTGATGGCTGTTTGCCTTTTTCTTTAAAATATTTATTTGTATTTACTTTGTGTGTGTGTGTGTGTGTGTGTGTGTGTGTGTGTGTGTGTTTGTGTGTGTGTGTGTGTGTGTGTGAGTGAGAGAGAGAGAGAGAGAGAGAGAGAGAGAGAGAGATCGCACGCACGAGCACAATGGGCACATGGACAGAAGTCAGGACAATTCTCTCCTTCAACCATATGGGTTCTGGGGATCAAACTCAGGTCATCAGGCTTTGACAGCAAGCACCCTTACCCTGCTGAACCATCTTGCCCGCTCAAGACGGAGTAAGTTTTGAGACACAGTTGGTAACTTTAAATACAATGGTAAGGTTGTCCTCTTACTTTTGTATGTGTGTGCTCAAGTCTGAGGCAAAAAGGAGTAGGCTAAAATACAGAACACCCTAAGAAAAGGAGTTCTGTGCGCTCTTAATGTTTGGTTAATGAAATGTTGGTAATGTAAGGCATAGTTACAGCTTTGAAGGCCAGGCTCACTGATTTTAGGAGTGAAAAATGAAATATAGTGACTGACATAGCTTTCACTTGATTCTGTCCCTGCCAGTGGATTTGGAGGTAGGGCTGAGAAGTGAGACATACAGAAAACATACAACATTCTTAGAGTTGCTGAAAAAGTGGGTACCCCTGAGGGTCTCCGTGTGGAAAGAACCTGGTCGCTCTAGATCCCATCCAGGTGCTTGTGTGGAAGAACATTTCTGGCTGAAGGAAAAGGTCTGGACATGAGAAGGCAGGACTGGAGTCTGAAGGCAAACGGGGCTCATTAGAAGGTTGTGGGAGCTCGCTAAGGAGTTTATACTTCTGTCCAAATCAGTAAAGATAGAGATGTCAGACTGGGGAGTTAAACTGGGAAGTACTATTATATATGACTGGGAGAAGCCAGCTTCTTCTTGTGCTTTAAAGAGAGAAACAGTCTAGGACACATAAATATGTGTCCTGGAGAGTAAATGATGTGGAAATTCCAAAAATAATCATTCCTCATTAGAGTGGTCACAAATGACTATTTTTCAAGCAGACATAGGATGAGAAAAAGACAGGCAGAGAGCAGAAAGGGTTGTTTGTACTCATAAGGACCATGCACCAAGGTAGAGGGAACTTCCTTTAGAAGACAGAAAGTGAGGGACCGCATGACATAGCAGCTGGATGTCCTTCTCCCTGCCTGTCCTACACCTTCTCTAGTAGCAAAGCAGGACTACATCAGGCAGCAGGTGCAGAGCTGCATTTTACGGTGGGGCCAGGTCTCTGTTCCACGGGTAGCATGTAACTTGATGATGATCTTGTGTGGTTTGTAGGATTGGGTTGCCACCTTGATGAAAAACCTGTGCAAAGATAAGCTGTACCTAAATGGAGTTCATGTTACACTTTTCCTGTTGTAGTTAAATGGTAATTCATATTTTTTAAAGGAAAAAAATAGTTTATTTTTCAGGTTTACATTTTCAATTTCTGTTTACTATCAAGGTGGGATAAAGATAATTGATTTCCATATTAGTGATCATTTTTATAAGGATAAGCCACTTTTATACATGCCACTTTGCAGGCTTCATTACTAGCCTTGTGGGGAAAAAATACTTGTTTTAATCTCTTTTCTCATGCACTCAGAAACTTTATGCTCATCAAAATATGCTATTTTTTCCTCTGCTAACACTAGAGCTGAAACGTCTTACACTTGCATGCTCAGCTCAAAGAGCTCATGAAGCTAGTCCTGAGCTGTGGAACCCATTCAGATCGAGCCATGGATGTATACAATGAGTACTGTGTAATAATTAGAATTATAGGACAGAGGAAATTTTTGTTGCTTTTCTAGGTTTCCAGTCCGCACATTCATCTATGGAAGTCAGGTGTGGCTGGTCCCTCTGGAACCTGAGCAGATGCTTTTACCTGCCAACCCCAGAGTGCCAGTCCTTTGTAGAGAGATGTGCAGCTGTGTCGTTTGGCCAGTGAACCATAAAGCAGTCTGTTTCTGGTTATACATTCATTCCACCATTTTTGAAGTCTGTCTTCTCTGTGAAGATGAAACGTATAAAATTTTGGTAATTTCTCTGGTGAATCCCTGAAGTATGATATTTTCCTCTTTTCTCAGCGTGTTACCCGTTCCCAGGAAGAGCTTCGAGAAGAGGTTTACCAACTTGAGCGGCATCGAGTAGAGGCTGGCTTGGATCGCAAGTGTGACAGTGATTTGTGGATCAATCAGAGCTCCTCCGTGGATTCCAGCACATCCAGCCAAGAGCACCTGAACCATTCCTCCAAGTCAGTCACCCCTGCTTCCACTCTGACCAAAAGCGGTCCTGGACGTTGGAAAACCCCAGCAGCGGTACTGCCCACCCCTGTTGCTGTCTCCCAGCCCATTCGAACAGACCTACCTCCACCACCCCCTCCACCTCCTGTCCATTATACCAGTGATTTTGATGGCATTCCAGTGGATTTGCCCCTCCCACCTCCACCTGCCAACCAGGTAGGACCCCAGTCTGCTCAGGTGGCTGCTGCAGAGCGGAAAAAGAGAGAAGAGCATCAGCGGTGGTATGAGAAAGAGAAGGCCCGCCTCGAGGAGGAACGGGAGAGGAAGCGCAGGGAGCAGGAGCGGAAGTTGGGGCAGATGCGCACGCAGTCCCTGAACCCCGCTTCCTTCTCTCCTTTGGCCACACAGGCCAAGCCAGAAAAGCCTTCCACACTACAGAGGCCCCAAGAAACAGTCATTCGGGAGCTGCAGCCCCAGCAGCAGCCCCGCACGATTGAGCGCAGGGACCTCCAGTACATCACCATCAGTAAAGAGGAACTGTCCTCTGGTGATAGTCTGTCTCCAGACCCCTGGAAACGAGATGCCAGGGAGAAGCTGGAGAAGCAACAGCAAATGCACATTGTGGACATGCTGAGCAAGGAGATCCATGAGCTGCAAAACAAGGTGGACCGCACTGCAGAGGAGAGTGACCGCCTGCGGAAGCTAATGCTGGAGTGGCAGTTCCAGAAGAGACTGCAGGAGTCCAAGCAGAAGGATGAGGATGATGAGGAGGAGGAAGATGATGATGTGGACACCATGCTGATCATGCAGCGTCTGGAGGCCGAGCGGAGAGCCAGGGTAAAGGGGAAAGGCCTTGGTTGTGCGTATCTGTGCTCCCTATGGTATTTTCTGGGTGTTTCTGTGGAAACAGCTGTTTTCACAGTCATAAGGAAGAGTTGAGAGGCTCTTGGTTTCTCCTGCTCACTCTGGTTAACACGTTGCAGGAATGAGCCAGGCCCCTAGGGCTTCATTGTTTTAATTAGCCAGCCCCATAGTTACCCTCACTACACTTCATTTGAGAAAACAAGTACTTAGTAATGACCACTCGAGGGCTTGGCAATGTTACGCTTACAGGGCCAGATGGTAAATACCTGAGATTTGGTGAACTATATAAAGTGTAGTGGCCACTTGGCTCTTCTGTGAACAAAGCAACCACAGTTGTCATACAAACACTGAGGAAATCACACAGAAAGCTTCTGGCCCTGATACTAATTATGAGCAAAGGAAACTTCAGGACATCAGTTTTAAAGTTCAGTGTCATTACCAGATGTAGGATCTGTGCATTTATTTTATGGTTGATACATCAAGTATTTATTTAATTTAGTAATTGTAGTTGTAACATAAAGATGCTAACAACTTTGGGTATAATTTACACCTCTCCATATTACAAAAATAATCTTTATTATTTTTGTTTCAAATAAAAATTCTGTAGGTAAATTTAAATTAGCCTAATGCACATAAGTTCTTAAAATACCAAATTTTGGGTGAAAACTGGATTCTTTGCTCCCTGTCAGGCATGGTGGTTCAGAGGCAGTTACTGTTATTAACTTGGGCACTTGATAATAACTGGTGGAGAGTGCTGTTGTCCGTCACATTAGTGAGTTTTATTGATACTTTTTATCTATACAATTATTTTTTTTATTTCTTTTTCTTTTTCTTTTTTTAATGTTGTGCATGAAAGGGGTTGTTAAAACAGCTGTTAGGTCAGACATCTTACTCCAAAGGTATGATGGAATTTAATCTTTGATGATATTGTAAGTGTCCAGTAGTATGATCATTCCCTTTTCAGCTTACTCTGTGAATTTTTCCTGAAGACTGTCAAACACATACTTCTTCATATAAACATACTTCAGCATATACATTCAGTTTAAATACCTTTTAGATACTGGCTTTCTTAAATGAGAACAGAATGTAACTTTTAACAGTTAAATTATTTTACTAGTATTTTTCTAGTATCCTTAGTAAACGTTTTTGAAAATAACAACATCTACCACATCAGCCATTTTATCTGAAAGAGCAACTGATGACTGGGACTTCTACTGTAAGGATGCACTGAGTAGTCATTGTGCTTATGGTCGGAACACTCAGGTACTCCAGTATAGCTGTTGTCGGGGCTGGCCAGAACTGTATCCCTCTCTACCCTGACTGGCTAGTGATGGACACAATGCTTTGTGGCTTTGTATTGCCCTCAAATCCAGATACATGAAGTGAATGACTGCTGCTCTTCATGGCCAGTGATCACACAGCATCAGTGTTACTTCTTTTGACAGCTGATCCTAATAGTGAAAAGTTAGCTACTACATTGTAACATCTCAGTGATCTTTTCTATGAAGATGAAAATTTATTGAAGATTCGTCATAGTTTTGCAAAATTACTACTACTTTGAATATTTTGAAGCCTTTAGTATGGATTATGAAGCTTGGGAACTTTTTAATATTAGTAAAAAGTAATTTCATTTTAATAATTTAGTTTAATATCTTAGTCTCCAAATAAAAACACTAAGGAAAATTTTGCTTTTTTTAGTATTTGTGTCTCTTAATGGTAAAACTCAAAATATTAATGACGTGGACATTTTTCTGTTTCTGAATGCTAGAAGTTAGTCTGTGGTTCTGTAGTTTTCTCATCAAGTTGTCCAAAGACAGATGAAGCATGACAGCAGCAAAGGTGCCGGTGGCGGAATACAGGTCTAAACCTAACTTTTTTTTTCACACTTCATCTTTCTTTTTTTCCCCCTTCTCTGTTACCTGCAGCAGACTGCTATGCCAGCAATCTCTGTTCTAGATTTGGTATGTTCTTGTTTCTTTCCCTTTGGTACTTTTTTTTTCTGTCTTGATTTTCATTTCTCCTTTGGTGATGGCTGTTCTGTGTTCTCAGTAGTCAGTTCTCCAAGAGCCTCCTGGGTCAGGAGACTAGCTCTGTGATTAGAAGCATGCCTCTGAATGTTACTAGATTAGTTACTCTACTTCTCGTTAACTTTAAATGTTACTGTTTGTTTATGGGTTTGACTTTTTTACAGTTTTAGTCATAATTTGATTCTGTGTATTCTTCAATATGTGAGCAAATGAAGTAAGTTTTGCATTGGGTAATTATTTCATTCTTGTTGCATTAGAAACAGATTTTAAGTATGTTCACTGTGAACTCACTTGAAAGGACATTGACACTATCCCAGATTTAAAATGTAGCTAAGATGTCACTGTTTATGGTAAAGCAAGAGGTTTCCTGTTAACCTGTATTCTATTTTTCTTAATACCATGTGGAGATTTTAGTTCATTTAACAGATGTACCAATTTATAGTCTGCCATCAAACAATTGCATTTATATTTTGCTGTTAAATCAACATGCTTAATGTCAGCATCAGAGAAATTTGGTTGGTTATTTAATGTTCTTTATGCTTCAGTAATGTGTTTATGTTACCCAGTAGACAGTTATAATCTGACATATATATTTATATTCTTAACTCAGAATCTATTCTATGTCAACTTCTAAGTGATAAAAAAGCCAGTACTTTAAAAACTCCTTGAATTAAAGTTTTAACTGTAGTAGCCACCTCATCAAATACTAACCCCCTCTTTACTGTTTTTGCAGCTTGAGGACAGGTTACCCAGAGAGAAACCTTTTGTTATAAGCATTTCCCCTCCTTGTTAAACAGAGGAATATTTTCTGACTTCCATATCTTTGTTCTTTATATGAAACAAAGGTAAATAAACATACACTCCCACACACAAACTTTATGTATTAAGTTGTACATAGGTTAGTTAGAATTTTCATTATTGTTACTTTGTTTGATTTGAGAAAGTGTGTCACTGTGTGAGCCAGGATGGCCCCAAACACATGATCCTCCTGGGCTTACAGGTGTGCACCACGTTACCCAGCGTAGAGCCATTCTTGGTACTGGGTAGTCTTGGTACTGGGTAGTATTTATCAGTATCCCTTACAGAGCAGGCACTTAGTAGAGACACTGTCCCAGACGCTAGCCAGCTCTTGGCCCAAGGATGGCTTTCTGTTCTGTGGAGTTATCTTTAATGAATAATGCTTAATAATGCTTGTACTAAAAATTTTATTTTCAGTCAACAGTTCCCAGTTTTTCTTCTTTTAAAAGAATATTTTGATTATTAGTATTGATCTTAACCACTCTGTTTCTAAGCACTTCCTATCCCAGTTCACTAGTAAGTATTAATATTATTAACAACAATGCATTATTCACAGAACTCTTTAACATGTCAGAATTGGCAGATTGCCTTGGGAACCTCTTCCATGGAATGAGTGGGTAGTGGCAAGCATGTGCTCTCTGGGTAGCAGTACTGCCCTGCAGTCTTAAGACATGTTTGTAGCATATAGGATGTATTTGTAGGATGTATTTGGGGTGACTCATGGGATAAATGAGGCAGGTTTTATCTTGTTAGGAGCTGCTGAGTTCCCTAAGGTTGGAAGACTGCCTAAACTGATTCTCACTCTTCTCTTTGGCCTCCCAGTGGTCCACAGCCTGCCTCCTGCTCATTCTAGATCCATAACTTTAAGACCATAATGATGCCAGTGACATCTCATTCATGGCTGTAGTCTCACCCTCTTGGGATTGGTTACCAGCATGCCTGTATACCATCTCCTCCTGGTGGCACAAGTAAAGCTTTCCAAATACAGCCTGTGCAGAACTAACTCCCTCCTCCTTCTGTGCCTCTTGCACTACAGCCCACTCCCCATTCCAAGAGACACGTGTTAGTCATTTGAGCTTTACAGCCTTACATGATTCCATTTTACTCTTGCCCCTGCCCACCTTCCTGTCCTGGCTGCTTCGCTGTCATTTCCTGCTGGGTTTACTAGTTGAAGTCCAAAGCTAGTCGTGGTGATGGCTGTATAACACAGGTCTCTACTGTTTATTTCTTTTTGAAGTCCAAACCCAGTTGGGAGCCTTAACCACTCTGTCCCATAGAGCCGCTATGAGTTTGCATTCTGGTCTGCATCTTCCTGTTACATTATGTGTATTTTCTGCTTTATCAAAAGCACTTCCTTTTCATTAAGTGACATTCTGGGCTATCAGCTAGATACTCACTGGGCCTGTTCATCCTTCAGTGGCTTGTCTGAGCTCTGTCTTGTCACCACATATTAATGGGTCATGTGGTACCCTGGGTAACATGGTTATAGGAATGAGCTTCTACTCTGGGGTGATACAAGTGAAAAGTTGTTTGCAGAGATTTCAGTGGCTCTTCTAATAAGTCAAACACTATTAGGGCTTGGCCTTTGTATAGGAAGTGCTCAGAACCCCCTAGGTGTAAAAAGGTTGAATCAGGAGCGGTCTTAAGTACTTTAAGCCTAATTAGGGTATTAACCATCAAAGAAAGCATTCGGATATGTTCTGAACCTCTGAGTCTTTCTGCCCTGCTTAGAGGCCACTGTCTTTTACATTTAGAGCTTAGAACTCATATTTCTCTAAGAAAACAGTGTGGGCTGTGTGGTATATACTAAGAGGAATTGCTGCGTGCTGTCCTAGGTGGTCTTCTGCCACTGTGAGAGGGACATTGTTTTCTAACCAATTCTGACACTAGTCATAGAGCTTTTTCCTTAGACAGGAATAGCTGGTCCTTTACAGATCTAGGTTCTAACCAGGTCTTAGAGTATCAGAGGACTGACTGCAAGGCTTGCCTATGTTCGTTAAGTAACAGTTAAAAGATATCTTTAGTATTAATCTAATTTGTCAAAGTTTTTCTTTATATTTTTGTCTTAAAATTGAGGTTATATTTTAGGAAAAAAAATTAGATATACAGCAAAAGGATTTTTAAAAAGCCTTTAAAGACTCTGGCAGACTTTGGTCAACAAGTAAAGGGTATCACTATCTGTTTCATATTAAGATAATTTGAATGTGTTAATTTAACAATGATAATAATGTTAGTATAGTTTGTGAATTTATAAACACAGAAATTTCAGCCTACACTATTGTTTGACCTGAAAATACTGTTTTAGAAATGCAGACTGGTACAGAACCCACCAGGCATTCCTACTGGCCTTGAATTCCAGAGTGTGAGGTTTAGATTAGCACAGATCCAAACTGCCTTGGTTGGATTAGGACACCTGGCCCATGCTCAGTTACACTGTTGTAGACAGTTGTCGCCGGCACAGAACAACTGGACTGATGTTAAAGATGCCCCTTTGCTGTTATTGGACGTTTATAAACCTTACAGTTCAGTGTCCTGTGTGGAGTTGTACTCTTGAAGAAATTAAGAGGTACCCCCAACCTGGACTCTAATGCTTATGGAGAGGGGAAGGTGGAAGTGGGGTAAAATATTTTAAAGGAACAAAACACTTCAAAGTAAGAAATACACGATATACTAAACAATAAAAAGAAATGTCTTAGTTATAAAAGCACTAGTTAGGGTTGGGGATTTAGCTCAGTGATAGAGCGCTTGCCTAGCAAGCAGAAGGCCCTGGGTTCGATCCTCAGCTCAAAAATAAATAAATAAGTAAATAAATAAATAGATAGTAAAAATAAAAAATAAAAGCACTAGTTAATTTGTCTTTTTAAAAAATAGAGTAACCTATGAATTGAATACACCGAGAAGACCCCCAGATGACCTCCTCACCAACTAGGAGAATGTGGAGCCATACAAGACGTCTCTTGCCAGATTTGTGGTCCTGCAGTTGTACTTACGAGCTTTATAGTTGAACTAGTTAGCTCAGCTAGTGAGCAGGGTTTCCAGCTGAACAACAGCAAGAGCTTAGTTCTGGAGAAGGTGAAGTGAAGCTTTGTGTTTGCCCTTAAATTGCTTTCTCTGAGCATTTGCAGGTTCTTGTGCTGTTGGGTTTTGTTGCTCTTATGGGGTGCTGCTTCTGGTTTGTCCAGTGAGCCATGCTCTTTTATTTTGACGTTGTCTGTGACTCCTCATCTGGGATGTGCACAGTTGGCTGTAGTCCCCTCACTGTAGTCCTCAGGGAAGACTTTGATTCCTAGTTTCTTTTGTTCTTCATCAACAGTGTCTATGCTTGCTATAAAATTTAGGTGGCCCCTAAATCCCAGCCTCTGTTTGGACTTGCATCTACCTTCTTTTTGAGAAGACAATTTTTCTCAGCTGTTTTATTATTTATTGACATGAATAACCCAACAATAAATAGGCTAATTCTTTTCTACTAGATATAGTGGGAGTTTTTAATTTTTTATTTTATGTGTATGAGTATTTTGCCTGCATATATGTTTGTGGCTCTTGGAGGCCAGAAGGGGCATCAGATCCCCTGAAAATGTAGTTACAGATGATTGCCAGCTTGCTGGGAATCAAACCCCCTAGAAGAGTAGCCAGGGCTCTTAGTGGCTGACACATCCCTCCAGCCCTAGATATGATGCTTTATTCCATTGAAAATGAGGGATAAAATTATTAGATTGGGGGGGGGGGTCTGTTTCTTTCTTTCTTTGTTTTTCGAGACATGGTTTCTCTGTGCAGCCCTGGCTGTCTTGGAACTCTGTAGACCAGACTGGCCTCAAACTCAGAGATCTGCCTGCCTCTGCCTCCTGGGTGCTAGGATTAAAGATATGAGCCACCACCGCCCAGCTGTGGTTTTTTGTTTTGTTTTGTTTTTTATTCTTTTTTTTTTTTTTTTTTTTTTTTTTTTTTTTGGTTTTTCGAGACAGGGTTTCTCTGTGTAGTTTTGCGCCCTTTCTGGAACTCACTTTGTAGACCAGGCTGGCCTCGAACTCACAGAGATCCGCCTGCCTCTGCCTCCCGAGTGCTGGGATTAAAGGCGTGCGCCACCACCGCCCGGCTTGTTTTGTTTTTTAAAAGCATACATATACAATCTAGACAATTAAATGGTTTTTCTATAAACAATGTATCGGAAAACTGGTGATTTTATAGAAATTGAACTACATCTCACAGGAATCTTATATGAAGTATTTCTGAAGTGGCTAGAGATCAGCAAAATAATTTGGGGATTCTTTTAAATTGTGGAGAATTTGTATCAGTCCTCTTAGTGATGTGTCATAGTGCTGCTGTAGGTGTTACTGTAGCACAGATCTGTGTAGCCATTTCGGTGTTGCCACTGTTTGTGATAACTGACATAGCTATATAGATCAGGTTCGATAAACTGGAGTCTCTGTCCCACCTTAGAGCTTGTGATGCGTAGAGAAATGTGGGCAGGAGGGTCACGGAGCCACAAGAAACAAGGAGCAGCATGTCACAGGCATTTGAAGGTAGCTGTTAGTGTTTGATAGTAGGAAGGGAAGGTGCTGCATCTTCTGTTGTTTCAGAAAGGTAGGACTTGAATGACTAAAAGTGGAGAAGTGTCAGATGATGGATTGAGACCAGCATGAGAGCTTTTAAACTAGCTGTCGCCTAAAGCAGAATGTTCTGTATTGGGGAGTCAGCAGTGGTCCCCCATATGCATGTATACACAGAAACGAGCCAGAATGAGTTTATTCCAAACCCCAGTTTCCGACTCTTAACTGCAAGTCTGAGGTCTTGTCTGCTAGGAAGGGACTCCCAGAGTCCAGGTTGATATATGGAGGGTGAGGAATTACTAGAGGAGGAGCCCTAGTCTTTCACCCCACTCCCCAAGAAAAGATGGACTGGGTTCAGGACAGGCGGTCCTGTGCTGCTGTAAGAGATCTACCCACATACCATGAGAAAGGAATTTCTTACCATTCGGGGTGGTTGTGGTATTCTGTAGTTCTTAAGTGGAGCCTATCGGTGACTTGTAGGAGGTAGCTAGCACATTCACTAGAAAGAAAAAATTGTACTTGATTAATGCATGAGTGGATGAAATAACTTGTTTCTTTGAGTCATGATTAATGGAAGAATAACACTGGGACTGTGGAGACAAAGCTTCTAGGTAACTTACTCTGACGTGATAAGAGTTAATTAATATATGAGCTTTACCATCTTCCAACAGTGGTTTATTTAGCCTGGTGTTTTCTCCTTGACTTCTGTGTTTGTGTGGGGGTGTGTGTTTGTGTCTGCTTGTTTCAGGATGTGCTTTTCATGTCTGTGCTGGTGAGTTGTACTGGCTGAAAGTTAAATTCAGTTTACTGTTAGTTGCAGGATGAGGAGCGCAGGCGCCAGCAGCAGTTGGAAGAGATGCGCAAACGAGAGGCAGAAGACCGAGTGAGACAAGAGGAAGACCGACGCCATCAGGAGGAGGAGCGAGTAAAGAGAGACGCTGAAGAAAAGGTTATGGTCCTCTAAAGGCAGCTAGTTTACCAGATTAGCCTGCACACAGTGATTGGCTAGGGCAAAGGGGCTAGAAATTATGTGTGTCTAGGATGCATAAGACAGAACAGGGGCGGATCTTCCAGCTTTTGCTATTGGACCAAAAACTCTAGCCCCATCTGGCCTGCCTACCTCTCTTCTGGACTGTCTTCAGGCTCCTTTGCCTTCTGAGCTGGTCTCCCTCAAACTCTTGAGCACCATGCCCCAGAGCAAGGGGTCTGGGACAAGATAGTGCTCTGGTCTTCCCAGACAGGGTCCAGGTGGCTTTTATGAAGGTGTTGCTTGTTCAGTTATTGTGAGAACTTAGTGTGAGCTCTGGGAGACAATAGGAACATAGCAAGGCGGTCAGTTCTCATTAACTGTTCAAACAGGTTATTCACGAAAACTACTTAAAATTCTGGTTGATGGTAAAGAGAGTAGATGGCTTGTAAAACACATACAAGGAAAATTTAGTATGCAACCCAACAAATATTCTGGTTATTTCTATATGTGGGTTTTAACTTAATTTAACTTCCATAGTTGAATTTTAAAATCATAGCAATTTTGACATTCTTCAAAGCAGGAACTTTAAGATGTAATTCTCAGATCTTTCTGTGTCCGAGGCTGAGGCTCTCTTGGGTGAGGAGGCTGCTACCTTGAGCCCAGGTTGGCTCTGCCCTATCCCTGGGGATTGCATGTTGCTGTGTGGTTTGAGAGAAGCTATTTTTCTCAGTTACTTACCTTCTGTGAAGGTAGAAGCTCTGAGTGTCACTACTTCTGATGGATAAAAGTTTAGTTTTTATTAATAGTTACTTCCTTGATAGTCTCAGTGAACTATGTAAATAGGAACACCCCCTTCCCCAAAAAAGCTAAAAATCATAGAATTTTAAGGAAGCTCTAAATTTTTAATGAAGTGATGAATTGGTCAAAAGACAATCTAAGAGTACGATTGATAGACACGATGTGGCTCATTTAAATGAAAATAGAGCGGATGATGTGAGGCCACAGGCTTGCATCTAAAGCAGCAGCGACTGGTATCCTACTGTGACCTGCTAACAGCAGAAAGACTGAGCGTGGAGGGCCAGCTTACCGTGAGTCTTCAGCTTGTGTTAGTGGAAAGTGATGATCCCTGAAGGAGATCAGGAAGTGGCCACACTGGAGCCAAGATTCTAGATTATTATAGTGGTGGTCTCGCTTTGCTGTTTATTCCTGATAGTCCTCAGGCTGCAGGGAGGGGTGCTTTCCCAGCTCAGGGCTGGCCAGCTGCCTCATTGTAATTAGAACAGCCAGGGCCTTGTGGAGCCTGGATGAAGCAGCTTGATCGTTTGCATCAGAGCTGTGTGCTCAGAGAGAAGCAGGCTGTGCTTTCTGTGTTGAGAAACTCTAGGTTACTTAATTTTTCCAACATGTGTTCTCATAACTCATAATTATGTCAAACATACTTGTGTTTTAGTAACTGTTTCTATAATTGAGTAGTCACTGTAAAAAGAAACTGAAATACTATTTTTACTACAGAATGTCCACAATTGATGGGTTTGATTTGTTATGGAACATGTGCATTTGTTTTCTGGATAAAGTCACCATGGTCATTTAATTGTATCTGCTCTTGGTATAACCGAAAAGGTTGGTTGGCCTCTCCATACAGTGTTACCAAACAATTGTTCTTCATGTAATGTTAACGTTCTCCACAGTGCCACTTAAAAGCCACAGAAGTCATTGTAGCTTAATTACCCAACCTAAGATAGTACTGTTTTTGTATAGTCAAGAAGATAAAAATATCTTTCCTTTAGGATTTTACAACATAGAACAAGAAATGAAGCTGGAAATTGGGGCCAGGGTAATGAGTGGGACTGGCCTTTAGTCTCCCCTTTTCTTCTGAGACTATGAAGCAGGGAGCATTGTGTGTTCACTGTGTGTGCTTGTGTGTAGCTCTAGAGGGACCAGGGAAGAATGCAGCACAGTGAGGACCAGAAAACATCACACCAGCAAGGTCCCTAATGTTAGTTTTCTGTGATGGATGGATTTCAGCCTGGCTGCACTTGGTTTCCTAGCATTGAACATTTGCTTAAGTCAAGGCAGGTTATTTTGTTTGCTCTTTCATCCCTTTTCATATTTACTTTCTTCTTGTGCTCTAAAACTCTGTCAATCCTTAACAAAACTGTGTTGTTGCCTTTTTAAATGTTAAAAGAATTTCAATACTGTCAACTGTAGTTTGCCTGAATGAAAATGTACAGTGTGTGTCAGAATATATCTGCTATTACTATTAATGCGTGGCTCTCATTTTCTGTTCTTCAGAGAGTTTATTAAGATTTGAAACATACATTAACTATGGAAAGCATACTTGTTAGATTGTGGCTTTGGGAAAATGAATGATATTTCTTACTGTTTATGGTTTCCTATTGAAACACAGAAGAAACAGGTAAGTTAATATCCTGTCTAAACAGAAAAGGAGAGAAAAAGTTCAAGGAAAAGAGGAAGAAAAAAAATGTAAATGATCCAGACTCTAATTGTGTAAATGAAAGGTCCTAAGGTTTGACTAATCCCATGCTTCTGAACAGTTTGTGTTAGTGTGGAACAGTATGTGTGTATTCATAAATCTTGAGACGAGAAGAGCTGAGTTGGCCTGCCTCTTCTGTTACAATAATTATGACACTGGAATATGATGTCCCGTAGACATGCCAGTGCAGTAATGGGTAGTGATGATCAGTGTACCTGTCATTCCCTGTGGAGGCACAGAGTGTCCACTGATCCCCTCTGACCCTTGACCTTTTGCACTCTTGTCTATTCCCGCCTGCAGAGGCGACAGGAGGAAGGGTATTACAGCCGCCTAGAAGCTGAGAGGCGCAGACAGCACGACGAGGCAGCACGCAGGTTGCTGGAGCCCGAAGAGCCTGGGCTGAGCCGACCTCCACTTCCACGGGACTATGAGCCCCCACCCCCGTCCCCAGCACCCAGCGCCCCTCCTCCCCCACCTCAGCGGAACGCCTCCTACCTCAAAACACAGGCCCTCTCCCCAGACTCGCTGTTCACTGCCAAGTTTGTTGCGTATGATGATGATGATGATGAGGAGGACTGCGGCCCAGCAGGTCAGGATAAGTACCCCAGCACAAGGAAGTCTCATGGGCACCTTCCTCTTGCTGCCCTTAAGCCGCAGCAGCCCCCCTGCCAGCCACGCCCAGCCTCGGATGGCATCTTTCTCTCCAACTCATTCCAGCTACCCTTGGCCAAAGCCAACAGTACTGCTATCAGAGCAGGCCAGCCCCCACCCCCTCCAGGCAAACCGAGTTTCCTCCGTCCCGGCCACTGGAAAGGTAGAGGTAAAAGAGGGAATGGCGAATCAGACCTCTCTTGTCTTGATGATTGAGCCTGGGATCTCTGTACCCCTGCTACTTGGTACGGTACAGTGAGACCATGCCTGTCTTGGCCTTGGGTATTATCACCTGATCACTCTCAGCATGTGATCTCCCTCTGCCCCTGATTGTGGTGTTTGTGCTAATGCTCTGTTAATTTAGCCTTGGTACTCCAATTTCTCTTATACTTTAAGGTATTCCGTCTCTTTAATCCACTGACAGGAGTCAGTCCTCCACCATTACCAAATTATTTCAAGTACTGTTGGTCTTGGCTTTTTTGTGTGTATACCTCTTCAAGTAATTCTTACCTTTGGTCAATAAGTGCCTTCCCAAACATACTAGTGTCTCTAAAGACAGAGTGCCAGAGTATCAGCTGCACTTTAAGTTGACGTCATATAATGTGAATAGAACATTTGGTTCTGTTCCTGAGGCCTGTGCAGTGACTCATACATTTGTGGAAGCTTGGTTGGGTGTTGCGACATCCACTGAACTAGTTAACAGTACAGCTTTACTCCTAACACAGGCAGCCCTTGCCCACAGACCCTAGTCTTGAAGTTTTTCCTCTGTCCCTCTTACTTGTTCCATTCCCTTTCATTATCTTGCTCTCTTGTACATCATAGCACTAGCACCCAAGCCTCTGTAGGCTTGCAGCTTCTGAGTTGGGGAAGGGCGCTATTAATGACAGCACAGAGGCCATTGCCCACAGAGTTGTAGTAAGCATTGAATTTATGCTGAAGGTATAGCTCAATTATATTCAGATTGAGACTTCCAACTACCTTGGCCATAAAGGAAATGGAATTCTGACATCATGATGTCAGAATTGTTATTTAGATGAAGGTGAGTGGCTTCAAAATTCTGTGTGGTTTTTACACAGACATGTAAACTGAGCAGTTCTGAGAGAAGCCAACCTCTCTTAAGACTCAGTGGAGTGAGTTTTGCCAGAATTCTGTCTTTTTTTTCCCCACCTGTATCAGACTTGTAATCTATTCTGGAGAATTGGTATGTAGTAGTATCATTAAGTCACACTGAAAGCCAAAAATCTAATCCTTTTATAAAATTTCTGTTTTAAATGTTGAGAATTCGGTGCTCTTTCAAGGCATTTATGGAATAGCAATAAATTTTGAAGCAAAATGCTATTGATCTAATATCAAATTTTATGAATGTTAGACAGATTTGATAGTCTCAATATAGTTAGGAATCATACCTGTCCATTTTGGCCATCAGATGCACTACTAACCCTTGCTTCATCTCACACCTAATGAACCACTCCGGAGCAGGTCATCTGCAGCACACACATCAGCGCTCTGGCCTTGTCATCTCCATCTCTTTCATGTGCTTTGTCTAGCCCTTTCTCTGGTGAAGCATGCCTCTGCAGGTGGGAGATGGCCTCTTCCAGGGGTCATATGAGATACAGAGCTTGTGGAATTGAAATGATTAAGACTGAAATTCAACGGCAATATATCTTTAAATGATGTTTTTGTTTTACTAGAGCGCTTTGAAAATTAATTATGATTGGCAATTTTATACATATAGCCAGCTCAAAATTTTGACATTATGTCAAACTCTGAACACTCTGGAAGATTTGAAGAACTGATTTTTGCTCATGGAACAAGCCAGTGTCACTCTCAGCAAAGCACAGAAATACAAATCAGTGTTGTTAATAACAGACAAATGAATATAAAGTTGGGCATTGAAACCAACTATGCAAGTTACCCATGTAAGAATCCACTGTGGATTGCCAGGAAGTAGAAGTATGTTTTCTGCTCTTTTTTCTTTCTTTTTTTTTGAGTCTTTGCTGAAGATGACCTGCTCTGTGGTTAACTTGGGGTGTTTTGAGGTTGCAGTTTGAAGGCTGCTGGGCTCTGTCTAGATTAAGTCCAAAATACTCTACCCACAGGCTCTTTATATGAAAGAAGATCCATTCTCCTGTCTCGTATCTAAAGTGGAGTGTTTTCACGTAGAAACATGGTGATCATTTTGTGTTCTATTTAATCCAATCTTATCCATGTTTGCCAAATATTCTAAGCCTTTTGTACTCTATTTTGTTAGAAGCTGATTTCTCAAATGGGAATCTGTTTTAATTTTGTGAGTGTTTTGTCTGCATGAGTATCTGTGTCACTAGGAAATTGAGATGGTTGTAAGCCTCTACATGGGTGCTAGGAACCCAACCCTGATCTTCTGAACTGTTGAGTTCCTTCTCCAGCCCCCTTACTGTATTTTGTAATGTTTCAGTATATACTGTAAATACTATTATTACAGTATTATATAATTTGATACCTGGTAAACCTTTATCTGTATTATCTCTTTGTGCCTCTTGAAGTCTTGGCAAATGTTGGCTAACTGGTGGGCATCAAGCTCAACTGTGGTTTCTTAGCCAAGACAGACATGGTGTGCATAAGGCTAACCTAACTCTGCCCTCACATTTGTTTTCTTGGGAATTTATCAGCACTAATGTGGAATGCTAGGAATTTTGTTCTAGTTTGGTTTGGGTAGCTCATTTGTGTCAAAGGCTTGATTTTGCTTTTAATAATTACATCTATCTTGAAAAAGAAATCTAGTAGTTAATCCTAAACAGAGGAACTTTAATCATAGACATAGGTTTAACTCTTAAACTTAGGGGTTACATTTGTTCTCAGTGATTGTGGCTGCAGAGATGACTTGGGTTAAGAGCACTGAAGTCCCGAGTTCAATTCCCAGCAACCACATGGTGGCTCACAACCATCTATAATAGGATCTGATGCCCTTTTCTGGCATTCAGGTATACATGCAGAGGACTCAGACATAAAATATAAGTAAATAAAATTTTTAAAAAACAGACAAAAGCAAAACTCCTACAGTGTGTTGGAGTATGTCTAAAATATTTTGCTTACTTCCCACTTAAGTCTCCTGTGGGTTTGTCTTCTGTATTTGTGATCATTGTGCCATGTGCTGACTTGAGATGTTTTTTAAAGACTGTTCCAGTTTGTCCATTCTGAGAACAAAAGGCCTGATGTCAGTTATTGGGCGGATGAATTTTACACTGATGAATCTTTGTGCATGTGAAGAGCCTTTGATTTCTCATTTTCTCGATAATTCAAGGAGCCTTGTTTTCCTGCAGACACTCGGTCATGAGTAAAGTTTTAGAGATAATTAAATACTTTAACTTGGACTTTTTTTTTTTTTTTCATGGAAAAGGACCACACTCTTACACTGGATCTGCTGGGACAGCTTTGGGGGCCCATGATGCTCCTTGGGACCCAAGAGAGAAGCACACTAGAAGGTAGTCGGGCTGGGCCGGGCTGGGTCATTCTCCTTCTCCTGCCCTTGCTGGATTGTGTCAGACCTCATCAGGCATCTGGGTGTGTTTTACTGTACAAAGTCATGTGAGAATGTAGTGCGCGCACGGGGTGGGGGGGGGGTGGGGTGGTGGGGGGATGGGTGTTTCCCCTAAGACAGAGTCTGTCTCTGTAGGTCTAGAACTTACTATGTAGCCACACTGGCCTCAAACTTGTGGTATTCCCCGTGCCTCGGTCTCCCTAGTACTATGATTACAGGTGTGAGTCACCACACCTGTCCATGTATTTTGTTGTTTTTTTTACTCTTTTTGGGGGAGGGGGCACCACCCAGCTCCCTAATAAGTTCACACACAGACGGAGACTTATTACTTATGAATGCCGAGCCTTAGCTTGGATTATTTCTAGCCAGCTTTTCTTAACTTAAATGATCCCGTCTACCTTTTGCCTCTGGGCTTTTCCCCATTTTCTGACTTCTGTAAATCTTGCTCTTACTCTGTGGCTTGCTGTGTAGCTGGGTGGCTGGTCCCCGGAGTTCTCCTCCTTCTCTGGCTCCTCCTTGATCTCTCCTCCCAGATTTCTCCTCCTATATATTCTGTCTGCCTGCTAGCCCCATCTATCCTTTCTCCTGCCTTGATCTTGGGCAGTTCTTTATTAGGCCATCAGGTGTTTTAGACAGGCACAGTAACACAGCTTCACAGAGTTGAACAAATGCAACCTAAGCAAAAGTAACACACCTTTAAATAATATTCACTACACGTGTAGGCTTTTTTATAGTTGATGTTGCTAACATGGCTTCTGTTTGAGGTAGTGATCCTGGACTGCCTGCTGTAAGACTGAACTGCTAGAGACATGAAGGCCAGGCCTGTTAGTGCAACCTTGTTAGCACGGGCTGATCCCTTCTGGGATTGTTGTCTGCCCTCGTAACGGTGCTGGTCTGTCTTTTACTATTAGACTGGGGTGTCTGTTAATGCCTTTCAACTATGTGGGAGGTTTGTGGAAATGCTGTGTTTTTAAACTGTACCCTCATTCATTAAACTTGTTTAGCTGGCAAGAAGTGCCTGCTTGCTGAAATTGAACTCATTGAGTTTGCTGTTTTCCTTTTCCATTTTTAGTATGAATGGAGGCACCAGGCACACAGACACATCTCTGTGTGTGCACATGTGTGTATGTGTGTGCGTGCTGGTGGAGGCCTGGGGGTGACAGAGATCATCCTCAAGTCATTCTTCCACCTTACTCATTGGGACAGGGTGTGTCATCAATATGCTGGTCGTGCTAGCCAGCCTGCTCTGGAAATCCTCTCTCTTCCTTCTGAAGCTATAATTATAGGCTGGCTGCCATGTATTCCTAGTATGTACATAATCTCTGGTTAAGCACTGAGACTTCTCTAGTCCCCTTATTCATTTTTGAAAGTTACTGTGTTAAGTAAAGGTAATATTTTGCCCCTTTTCTACATGGATGTATTTATTTATTACTGTTGGGGGAATTTTTTTTTTAAGTTGAAATCTTAACTGTTTGGCCCTGGTTGATTGTAGGCCTGTGCCACTGTCCCTGCCCTCTCTGTTCATTTAAATTTAATTATATGAGCATATATTGGCCTTTAAAGTTCTGTTCAGACCATAGCATAGATGTAGTTTGTCTCAGCCCCAGCACATGATACAGTGATGTGCAACAACAAACGAGTGTCCCTGAAACCCTGTGACCCCTCTGAAAACTCAACTGAAAGGCTGGGTACTTGTATTTTGATGCATAATCTTTTGTGTTTTTCTCTTGTGCAGCCAAGATGCAGACTTACCTGGCAGTTCTGGAGCCCCTGAAAACCTGACATTTAAAGAGCGTCAGCGCCTGTTTTCACAAGGTCAAGATGTGTCTGACAAAGTAAAAGCATCTCGTAAATTAACAGAACTGGAGAATGAACTGAACACCAAGTGAGAGGACAGAGAGGGCACTGTGCTCACACGAGTCTGCCCTGGGCAGTGGTTTATGGGGTGAGCCTGAAGAGGAGGGGACAGTTCTGTGTCTAAGTGATTTCTCATTTCTGTTTCTAAAATGGTTGCAAGTTAGAGATGTTCCAATTCTAAGAAATCTTGTTTTACTTTACCAAGAAAATCCTGCCTAGTTCTCATTGATTTGACTCACATGAAGTTATCTTTTTTTTTGTTAGCTTCTTTGGGGAGTCCTGGGCTCACAGGACAGAGTGAAGGGCAGTAAAGATCACAGGGTATTTCCTCTACCCTCTCTTCCCATCGTCATTCCAAGGACAGTAGACCAAGAAATGATCTTTCTGTTCTTTCTCAAAACTCCACTTGGCTACCAGACAGTGATAGCTAAAGAACACAGACCATTGCTGTGTTCTAGTGGAGCCTGTGTTCAGGAGACACAGGACCTGGCCTGGAGCTGCCTCCTCCCTAGCCCCAGGGCAGATGTCCCCACTGTACCTTCTGTAATGTGCATTAGGTGACTAGATGGAGTTTCTCATATGTAAGGTGCACAGCACATCATTCTTGACAAATGTGAGCCTCCTGATCAATACTAAATGTTTAAGATTGAGTATCAAATTAATAATTTAATTTTGAAAATTCTCAAAATTTTAAAGATTTAATCTTAGGGGATTTTATTTTCATAAATACCAAATCATCATTAGACTAATCAATGGTGAAAATTAAAGATGACGGTTATGTTAGGAAGTTACCTGATACTTCAGATATTCCAAAGGATCTAGAGTTCTCGAGCTAACAGGATTCGTGTAGGGAGGAGCAAAGACATCTGAGGAGAGTGGGAGCTCACAGGCGGCCATCAAACACGGCTGTCAGGAATTTTAAATCCAGTGAAGGAGGATCTGTGTCGGTACACTGTCAGAAAAGGGAGGGGTCGCTTGCTGTGCCATCCGAATTTAAATATAAGAATAACTTGTGGTGATTGAATCTGCATTTCTTTCACAGCATAACGGAGTTTAATTTTAAGTTGTGAATTTGTGCTGTCATTCCTCCAGCTGAGCGTGAGAGACAGAGATCAGTTGTTCATTTTTGTGTGAAAGCAAGCTTTATGATTTCAAGCACACTTCCTATTTGGCAAAGCCCTAATGTGGGTCCAGATGATCTTTCTGTACCATCCTGTCCTCTTACAGATCTGTACATTAGGAAAATAGGCACACTTTCAAATAGAACAGAGGCATTTGCAGCCCTAAAAACCACTTTTAATAAGAACTGTATGATAAATTGTTGAAATACAAGTGTAAATATTTTTTATGTCTATCAAGCTTCCTATTTGAAAGTGTGCCTTTGCTGTTTCCTCTGTAAGAGAATCGAATGGTCCTGAGAGTTAGTGAAGGATTTGCACACTTGCCTTGCCTAGGAAGTGCAATCTCCTTGTGTCTGGAGCACACTGGCAGCCTTTGGGTGGCACAGCCACACCTCCCAGAGAAGAGCAGACACCTGCTGTGGCTTGTACCTGGGAAGACAGATGCACACAAGAACCTGCAAACGTCTGAAAAAGCCGCACGTGTGTTTGTGAACCCATAGTGAAATAGACTTGGCCATCCCTGGACAGTGAGATCCAATGTGAATATGTGTTGTAAGAGCACGTTACATAGCGTGTGTTCTGTGGGGAAACGCCCAACTGCTGTTGTTTCCACTTCTACTGTATTTCAGTTGCAGCCTATTTTTAATAAACTTTGTATCTATTTAAGTGTATTTGCTATTGTTTTCAAAGTGCTGACAAAGTTTATATTTGTAAGGCCAGCCTTCCTCTCCCCCATTTCCATCTGTCACTACTTCATTAAACAATGCTGAGTGTCACTCCTGCGTCCCTCAGTTGTTTTTCTGTCTGTGGGTAAGTGCTGTTTGATTGATGATACAACCAGCTAAAGACTAGGGTGACATTTTCACAAGAGTCCCATATGAGAACTTGGTCGTCGTGGTGACTGGTGCTTGTGCATTCAGCAATCCCAAATGGCCACTGGGACCATGTCTCATTTCACTTTCCTATCTTGGTCACTGGACTCCCTGAACATGCTCAGTGATTAAGCACATTGCATAAAAGGTATCCTGGTAATAAGGTGATTTCAGATGTGTTTATTAATAAGATTATGCAAAATGTAGGTTGGTTGACTGGGCAGTAGGAATTTTACACCCCTAGTGATAGGTGATTTATTCCTGTAGAATCTCACCCGGTTACTCACAGGAGTACAAGTGCCGGTCTTGAGATTGCTTTAACTTGTCAAGCAGTATACAGGCGATGCTGACCCTGCTTACCCTGCATTCCCAGGCAGCCTGCCTGCATGGGTGGGTCGGGGGTGAGAACACAGAAGCAGGCCACTGGTGTGTAATTAACATGAACACAGGACCTGTGGGGGCTGACATTGTAGGTATGGTAGGCTCTCTTGGGAAAGAAAGCCTCTCATCAGGGAGAGAGGCTCAGGAGGCAGGACCCGAGAGGACTGGGAAGAGGTGAGATAGGTTTTCAAGGCTATGGTACGGCGATTTATATTCTACAAGTACGGGGATCCCGCTGTTCTTGAAAAGGCATGAGCAACGCCGCCGATGTTCTATGAGCTATGAGCCGGTAAGCAGCGCCCGGGAGAAACTTCTGCGGGTAGGCACAGCGCATGCGTATGAGCAAGCAGTCAGGGAAAGAGACTCCGTGACTTAGCCACGCCCTTCACTCGCTGCTGGGAAAATGCCGGGTCACCGTAAGCTGTGGGGCTTCTCAGAACAGGGGTTGCGACAGCTTCACCATCAAATGCGGGTGAGTATGACGGGAGCCCGGGGTTTGAAACCACGCCTTCCAGGGTTGTGGGGGACCTGGGAGAACTATGGTTGGCTTGGGAATCATACTGAGTTGTGAATCTCACCTTGAGCTCTCTCAGGAAGGAGACCGACTCCATCTGCCTGGTCTCAGCATCCAGGATCTAAGGATGATTGACCTGTTTTGTCCCAACTGCCCTTAAGGCTCCTTCCTTCAACTCCCACTTGAGGTATCGCTGACCTCTCACCGGTCCCTTCAGCCCACCTCGGGGGTCTCCTAACCTGGCACCTTCCTCAGCTCTGCTGAAATCTTTGTACTGAGCAAGCTTGGGGACTACAATGGTTAACCAACAGTTATTATATAATCCTAACCGTTGCCCTCTTAGAGCACACAGCAGAACCAATAGATTGATAAAGTAAATAAAAATATCAATACCATACCCAGCAGGGATCCCCAACCTTACAAGATCTATAACAAAAGTTAAGAGTACATGGGTGGGCTGTAGGGACCGGAAGCTCCTGTTGCACAGTGGAACCTGAAGGCTTAGAAGACAGAGGTCTCTGTGGAGAGTGATATGTGACCAGCCAGGCCTTGGTGGTATAGAGGCTGAGGGACCAGAAACGTAGGCCACACAGGCTCTTGATGGACACCTAAAGACTTAGTTCTACCAGTCATGGAGACACTTCAGAAGTGAAATTATTGGAGGGAAGACATGGTCTGATCTGCATTTTAAAAGTGACAGTTTGCTGCGCAGTGGTGGCACACGCCTTTAATACCAGCATTTGGGAGGCAGAGGCAGGCGGATTTCTGAGTTTAAGGCCAGCCTGGTCTGTAGAGCAAGTTCCAGCAGAGCCAGAGCTACACAGAGAAACCCTGTCTGGAAAAACCAAAACCAAAAAAATGTAACAGTCTGTAGCAGGTAGTGGTTCCTGGCCAGAGAGACAGCTGACTGCCTAACTTGCCCCTTGAAGGACAAGGCTTCTAGGGTTGAAGAAGATGGGGAGCTCTGTAGGTGAGTTCCAAGGAAAACTGGTGAGAGACACAGCATTTCAGATCTTTGCAAATTTGCCTAAGAGTGCACACTGAAGGAGGAAGCATTCGTTCCAGCAAAAGTGCTGAATTCTTTGAGGGCAGCACATTTCTGTCTGCTTCGAAGCCCCAGCTCAGCTGTGCAAAAGCTTCACCCTGGGGCTGTGTGCCTCAGCGCCCAACTCAGGACCACTTTACCTCACCGTGAGGGACACATCTCAGTACTTCTCACCAAATCCAACACTGGGCTGAGGTGAGTGTGAGGGCTCCCGTCACCCAGTCCCACAGTGAGCAGAGTGGAAGTCCCACACAGGCCAAGAAGTTTGAGATCTAGTCCTGTTGTTAGAGTTTTTCTGCCTGGCCCACAGTCAGGACAAATCTCTCTCACCCGCCAGTCCCAAGCCGCTCAAACCCGATCAAGTAAACACAGACACTTATATTGGTTTCAAACTGTATGGCCGTGACAGGCTTCTTGCTAACTGTTCTTACAGCTTAAATTAATCCATTTCTATTAATCTATACCTTGCCTGATGGCGGCTGGCAGTGTCTCCCCTCCCAGCTTCCTGTTCTCTCAATTTTTCTCTCTGTTAGTCCCGCCTATACTTCCTGCCTGGCCACTGCCAATCAGTGATTTATTTATTGACCAATCAGCAACACATTTGACATACAGACCATCCCACAGCATCTCCCCTTTTCTTTTCTTAAAAAGGAAGGTTTTAACCTTTACACATCTCCAAAGTCAGCTTGGTATATTTGGGAATTTGGGCGTAGTTTCTCTTACTACTTCCTGCTGGAGGGGGGCGCTGTATCTTCTGGGGAAACAAAGAAAATTTTAGGATCATGGAGTAGTCCGTGAGGCTGTATCATCTGAGCCAGTTGCCTTGAAACGGTTCTGGATGTTGGATCATCTGGGCCTTGGTGTCACCTTTCAGGGGGTCTTGGCTGGTCAAACCTGATGTATCTTACTCTGGAACAAATCCATAGCCTCTTGCTTTCTGTGGAAACAAAAGAGACTCTTTTCCAAAGCAACATATCCTTACATCCAAATTTTGAAGTCAAGGTACTTTTAAAATATACATTTTGGCATAACTCAACAGCTTTTACAATCAAATGTTTTTCTGCAGTTAAAAATCCCAAAGACAACACAATCCAGATTCTCTGTGTAATATTTATCTTCATGTGGCTTATTTTTATATTAATTTTACTGTCTCTTTAAAGACTTTATTTTTTAAAACTATGTATTTGTTTCTATACTGTATATATCACCTTTTTTTGTCTCTTTTAAGCCTACGTATATTTTACACACATTTTAAACTATTATATCTGAATCTGTCTTATTGTGAATCTGTTGCTTTAAGCTGCAGCAGCTGTGGCTGCTGGCTCCACCCACCTCAGCTTCCCAACATGGCGGCGGTATGCTTACCGCCAGCTCTGGGAGCCATCGTGGGTCTATGTTTTTATCCAAGCAGCGTGTAGCCCAGAAACCTCTTTTTTTGTTTTGTACTAGCAAAGGCTAAATCCACAATGTAGCTTAATGTGCCACTTGCAGAGGCCTCATTCCCGCCATATCGCAGGTCGAGCGCGCACACTAGGAACCCGCCAGTAGCTCAAACCGGCAGCTGCCACTCATTTGAGAGAGACAATTAGGAAGCTGTTTTTAGCTCCGTTTTAGAATCTTTTTTCTCAGGTTTTAGGTGGAAACTCTTGCCCCACGTTGGGCGCCATTTGTTGCTAGAGTTTTCCTGCCTGGCCCACAGTCAGGACAAATCTCTCTCACCCGCCAGTCCCAAGCCGCTCAAACCCGATCAAGTAAACACAGACACTTATATTGGTTTCAAACTGTATGGCCGTGACAGGCTTCTTGCTAACTGTTCTTACAGCTTAAATTAATCCATTTCTATTAATCTATACCTTGCCACGTGGCTTGTGGCTTACCGGTACTTTACATCTTTCTTGTCCTGATGGCGGCTGGCAGTGTCTCCCCTCCCAGCTTCCTGTTCTCTCAATTTTTCTCTCTGTTAGTCCCGCCTATACTTCCTGCCTGGCCACTGCCAATCAGTGATTTATTCATTGACCAATCAGCAACACATTTGACATACAGACCATCCCACAGCATAGTCCGTCGTCCGTGTCCCCGTCCCCCCCCCCACGCCCACCTCAGTTGTAGGTCCCAGGCTGCATGATAAGCTAAAGGCAGGCTGAAAGCTCAGAGGAGGGCACTTGACTGAGCAGAGCTGGCTCAAGATTTGCTCAGGAGAAGATCCATGAATGAGGGTAGATTGAAGCTCTCACAGGAGATATGGGTTTGCAGCAGTGAGTGGCAGGCTCAAGGCACACCAAGAATGCACTTTTCAGTCTTTGAGGGCTGCCTCCAGAACTGTGCAGAAGTTTCTGTGGGCTTGAGGTTGGAAGACTTGGGCCAGAGATTTGGCCCCAAGTCTTTCCTTGGTTTGCAGGTGGCTGCTTCCCCATGGTGTCCTGGGGTCTTCCTTCTGTGCACCCTTGAAGAGCCTGTGGCTCCGGGGTTGCATTCAGAAGGACACCAATGAAATTGCAAAGGAACCCACCCTCCAAGGCTTCTTTGAATCAGTCACCTTGTAGGCACTGTCTTCAAATGTTACCTGCTGAGATTCCTACTGGGACTTAATACTTCACCCCATCAAGTTGGGGGGTGGGGGTGTTACATAGCAAGCCACAGGTTATGCCATGGCCTAGCAAAGGCACTGGAGAGAACCTTCTAGGGTCAGAGCAACCCTGAAAGGTTGTCCTCACAGACTTTTTTCTAAGTCCCATTCTAATTGGGCCAGACTTCAGAAACGCTTGTACCCCAGGACCATGGGGAACGCACCCTTCTGGCACTGCTTGCTGTCCAGCATTGTTCTAGTGGTGTAGCTTGAGCATTTCAGGAGGAAAATGAAGGAAAAGGCATTGCATCAGAAAGGAAGAATAAGGCAGTCCACTGCAGATGGAACCGTGTTATAGGTATGACCCTAAGGAATCTGCTAAAACCTTTTACATTAAAAAGTAAGTTATATAAGACCGAAGAATATAGCATCCATCTACAGAAATAAATGGCATTTCTGTGTTCTAGCAATGAACCCAAGTAAAATTAGGAAAACATTCCATATACAGTACCATCCCCCCCCCAAAAAAAATCAGGATATTTTGGAATAAATTTGATCAAACACATACCAGACTTATAACTGCAGCTGCTATTATAGTTTGAGATCTAGGAATTAAGTAAATTTCATCAAAAATATTCCAGAGATTTTTCATAATGAACTGAAGAAATTTTAACAACGCTGTATAACTCCTAGGTTTTGGATTTATACAATCAGAATTTAGAATTACAGAAAATATTGTCTCCAATGATTACAGCTTTTTTTTTTTTTGTGAGCCAATTTAGAAAGTAATTCTCTTAACAGGAGGGACTGCACCCCTATCTGGAGACTAAAGTCCCTGCAAGAAGGACTGAATCTCTAGTAAAAATGACTAGATTCATGAAAGATAGGACTGAATCTCCTGCAGAAAAGATTGAATCCCTTGCAGGAATGATAGGATCCCTTGAAGGAGGGACTTAATTTATTCTCTGAGGAGACTGGAGCACCAGCAGGGTACTGACCTTTAATTCAAAAGACTGTATGTTCAGCAGGATGAACTGAGTTTCCAGGAATGATGCATCCATAGCTGGGACACTGAGCCCCCAATAAGATGACTGCACCTGGACCAGTCATGTATAGGAGTTAAACATGCACCCCATTTCTTTGGCTTGTAAAATCCTAGCAGTCTGTGCTCTAGCTTCCTTCCAGAGTCCAACATCCATTCCCCACCTTCCCATCCTCACATAAATCTTTTCTCTTCTGACCCTCCAAGACTACATAAATCCTTCCTCTTCTGACTTTCCAAGACTACACACACACACACACACACACACACACACACACACACACACACGCCGTATGTGTATGTATATGTATTTTTCCACCCAAGACAGGGTCTCTTTATGTAGCCCTGGCTATCCTGGAACTCACTCTGTAGCCCAGGCTGGCCTTGAACTCACAAAGATCCTCCTGCCTCTGTTTCTCAAATGCTGGCATTAAAGGTGTGTGCCACCACCGCCTGGCTGTTTCTGTTTTTTGAAGGTAGACTGATTCTATGGCTTCCTTTGTAAACACTCCACTTCCCACAATGTTCTCTGGTATCTTTCTGACCAAAGGACAGAGCATCTGGAGTTTTGCATTCCTAGTTAAGTCCATGGGGCTGCGGCTGGTAGTATCAGGACTGCCCTTGGCAGGGAGGGCCCAGAACCATGGGGTGTGGGTGGGAAAGCAGGCCAGCCCTTACTGAGGTGGGCTTGTCTTGTCTCTGAAGTATGTGGAGGAGTCTGAGCAATCTCACAGTCGACCTTCCCTGTAGTTCTTTGCTGAGACTGGTTCTACTCTTTCTTGTTCACTCACAGTATTTCAGTATGGCCAAGCAAGTGCTGTGTTGATGGGTTTTCCTTTCGGATCCTTGGTTGTAGGTCAAAGAAGAAAGAATAGCTGAACTGGAAACAGAAAATGCTATTCTGCACCTGAAACTGGCAGAGGTAACGTTTTAATGTGTCTTGTAGCTGATAGACCAAGCATAAGTGGCTGTTTGGAGTCAGCTGCTGTACTTGGAAAAGATGCACAGGGAGAGCGACTTTCATTCCGTCTTTTGTCCCATTCAGTGAGGTGGAAGGCACTCTTCAGTTGACACTTAGCATGTCATCCTACACTGGAACAGGGATGAATTCTAAATTATTTATCTTGGTGCTCACAGTATTTAATGAATGATTCATTAATGATACACCCAGCAGCTGTTCTGTTTAATTTATGCATCATGAATTCATCCATATGAAGTTGTACAATTCTGTGTTTAGTAAATCTACAGATACATGTCTGCTGCAATCTTTTTATGTTGCTATAACAAAATACCTGAGATTCTATAATTTACAAAGAGCATTTGTTACTTTCAGTTTTGGAGTCCCAAGATTAAGGCACTGCAGGTTTGATATCTGTGGCCAGCTCGTTTCTCTAATTGATACTGTCTAGATGTCCTCATGTGGTTGGAGTGGATGAGCAAATAGCTCTCTAGTCTTGTCCGTTTATGAGGGTAGAGTCCTCATGATTCCATCACCCCCCACAGTGGACATTGTTTGTCAGCGTGAATCTTGGAGGGCCACTGCGCTCTGCAGTAGCTGCTAACCAAGCTGTGGAAGCTTGTTCCTAAGGCCCCTTTCTCAGTTTCCCCTAGAGCCCTTTTACTTCGGAACAGTTCCACACTGATCTGGCAGGCAGTCTGACCCACCCACACCCTTCGATCTGTCTACAACAAGTTGCTGGGCATCCTCAGGGGCATCCTCCGCCCTCACCCACCCTTTTTGAGGGAGCTTATCTGCTCTCAGGGTCAACCAGGGAGTGAGCCAGAAACTAGAAGTCTGTGTTCGGCAAGGTCCTCCCATAGGAGCTCAGACACTGTCTCCATCACAGGAGCACATCAGAGACTCTGCTTCCTTCTCCGTCCTAAAAAGTGAGGGCGCATCTACCTGAGAACTGAGCACTGACCTGTGAGCTCTTTGATATTGGGTCACAGCACTGTGTGATGTGAGCTTTTGGCTCCATGTGAACACAAGTGTGGTTCACTGTGAGATGTGTGGCTGGTGTCTCTGAGAGGCTGGGCCTGCCAGCATCCACTGCTTATAAAGACAGAGTAAGGATAGACGCCCCCCCCCAAAAAAAAAACCCCACACAGGAAAGCAACAAAATGAGGCGAACCCCACAGTCACCACCTTGTTCATTCGGGGCCCCTCTACCGACACCTGTGGAAACCAGTGCAGAACTCCGGCCCACCCAGCCAGCACCTCTGCTGTCCTGCCAATGGCCTTGTCCTGGAGCCTGGATGCTTTCTCTGTCCCCCTTGTATTCCATAGGGAGTACTTCCTGTTACCTCCCCCAGTGCTCCCCAAAAATCCAGAAAGATCTTTGGAAACTGTGTGCTGAAAAGCCTGGCTATTGAGAGCCTGTCCCAGGTTTGGCCCTGCCCATAAGTGAATGTGCAGGTCCCTGACTGCTGTGCAGGTTCTGCACCCCCTTCCTGTCACATCTCTTTCAAGGTCTGTCACTCACAGCCTTGATTTGGGCTCTGTCTGTGCCTTCAGACCTGGCCCCAAGACCCCGAACCTTGAACTGTCCATACTTCTAGGATTCCTTCTCTGACTCGCCCTACTGTAGTTTGAGCTCCATTGGTGGCTCTCTTCCTGTGTAATAGGTATCACGAACAATAAATAACTTTCTTTTCTTGGGGGGAAGGTACCTGCTGGGTTCTCAAGGTTTTAAAACTTCCTTGTATTTTGTTTCTTTCTATACAGTACCAGGAAAGGATGAACAGGAGCAGCCGTGAGGCCTGGCCCTATGCTCTGCTCAGAACGAGGCAGTGTCAGCAGGGAAGCATTCATGCAGCCTTTCTCCAGCTTGGCTACCTGACTAGGGTAGAAGTGACCTCAGCGTTGCCAAAATCACCATTCACACGCAGAATGTTGAGTGGTGTAGGGCTTAGGAGAGCCCCTTTGCCTCTTCTCTGTCAGAAGAGGCTCACCCCAGGGCACTCAGACAGGTTCAGCTTTCCAATGCTCAGTAAAAGAAAGCCCAAAGCATTTATTGGCGTCTGAGCAAAAATGAGCCATAAAGTAGTTTTTGGCCAGTAAACAAATGGCCTGAGATAGCAGCAGTGGAAACTGAGTCTCCTGAGTCACAGCTGTTGTTGTTCTTATGTCTGTGGGTGTTTTACCCGCATGCATGTCTGTGCACCGTATGCATGCAGCTGCCCTCAGGGCAAAAGAGGGCATCCTGCCTCCTGAGACTGTAGTTCCAGACAGTTAGGAACTGCCGTGTGAGTGCTGGGAACTGGATCCCAAGTGCTCTCTAACTGCTGAGCCATTTCTCCAGCCCCCATAGTGGTTATTTTTTATAGTTTAATGGTAGAAAATATTTGTAATAACAGGTATCCCATCCCCCTACATCATATCCGAGCAGTCCTTGGACTGTTGGTGGCTTCTAGAGGAAACGCCCGGAAAAAAGGTATCTCACTTAGTGTGTTTGGCAAGTCTCCAACGTGAGATTGTGGTAGATATTTTTATGCCACTGATTAAAAACATTGTTCTACCTTATGTTAAAAACAATGTGACCAGGGTGGGAAACAGGAACAAAAACAAAAAAAACCAAACTCATTAAAACAATGTAAGCACCATCTGCAAACAGGATTAACCTGCCATGGTAAGACATGAAGGCTTGAACTGTGTTCATTCAGAATAGATTCATGTGGAACTCATTGTAAATTCTCTCCCACCCTAGTAAAATTGGCCTACCTTTGAATATCTGTGTTCTATATAATAAAAGTACCTTGATTCAGCCTAGCATTGCCATTTTTATTAAAATGTTTCTGTGCATGGAGGAATCTCCATTATTCATAACTTAAAAAGACAAAAATCATATGTTTAAGCTCAAGAAACATTCGGATGTGTTATTGAGAGTAAATACTAAACCATGCCACATCCTTTCATCTATTCATTGTCAAATCATCATGCTGAAAGTCCTGGGATAATTGCTGGAGTTGGACGGGGGAATGTGTGACGCACGGGATATTAGCTGCATTGTTCCCAAAGTTCCCTGAAAACTCTGATGCAGACTCTTCCTGGAACTCTGTCACACACATGGGTATGGCGATTTCTTCTTCCTGGCCTGAGCTCATGGTAATGAAGCCGCCAGAAGTTGGTCTGGACAGTCCATCAGAGCTTTGCTCTTGCTTAACACAGCCCGAGTGTGCCACCAAAACCACCAGGATGTTAAACGGGTCAGAAGACTGTCCATGATTACACAGTGAGCAGCTGTACTACAGAAACTGATCATATATCCTGGTCTTCTGTTTTTCTAAGGATCTTAATAATGTGGAATATATAAAATGAGCTGCTCTCAAAGCACTAACCCCAGAGCTATTGAGTTAGAATTTCAGAAGAGGGCCGGGCGGTGGTAACACACACCTTTAATCCCACCCAGCACTTGGGAGGCAGAGGCAGGTGGATCTCTGTGAGTTCAAGGCCAGCCTGGTCTAGAGTGAGTTCCAGGATAGCCAGGGCTGTTACAGAGAGAAACCCAGTCTCAAACAAAACAAAACAAAACAAATGAGAAAGAACTAATAAAGGGAACCTGGGCTCTGTGTGGCAAACACTCACCTCGCACGTTTGACGAAGAACCAGTGCTTCACATGCCCCTAGTTCACAACAGGCTGCTGCAGGGTTGCAGGTGGTGGGCCTCTTTCCTGTTCCGTGGGGCTCTTGTGATTGGTTGTACAGTTAGACTGTAGTGGCTGATAATGGCATGATCGGTTGTGCTGTGTTTTCATCACGCAGAAACTTCAACAGGATGTCAAGGAGCTGCGGAGTTCTTTTCTGGTGCTCTTACAAAGCCATCAGGACGAGTACCAGAACTGCCTCTCTGACATAATGGCTGCTGTGCAGGGGGTACAGCCGAGCAGCGAGGCTCTTCGAGGTGAGCGTATGACCAAGGACACACAGGAGAAGCCTCTCTGAACAGTGATCAGCCTGGGATCCAGCCCCATGTCTTTCTACTCCTGGTGTATACCTAATGTGATGGCAATAATAAATGCTGTGCCACTCACACCGTGATGGAATGCCCCACTCCAGTGTTGGGGAGTCTCCCCACCTCCCCTGTAGCTCACCTTGCTACCAGGCCCCCTCTGACACTCACATAACATTTCCTTAACTTTGATGTTCAGGGCCATGAGCCTCCCGGGTCAGATTTCCTCCAAAATAGGAGGTGAAGTGTTGTGTTCTACAGTTCAGCTGTCATTTCCAGGGGTCCTGCCTGTCTCCCCCCAGCAGTACTGTGTACTGTTGTGCGAGAGTCCCGTGTACTCTCCAGTGTCATGCGGTCCACACCTGTGACAAGCCCTAAGGGAAGCTGGTCATCATGCTGACCAGCATTTCAAAAGAGGTGCACCCAAGCTTGCCGCTGTTTACTGCTTTGGGGTTAGGTTAACGTTTCATTTTAGGTAACGATTGCCCTGGGATTTCACTCTCGTCTCCATAGGACAGTTCAGTTCAGTAACCTCCTGGAGGTTCCTGAGGCTTTTGTAGGTGTGCGTGTGTATGTGTGCATGTATATGTGTGAATGGTATGTTTGTATACATGTGCACATGTGTGTGGTATGTGTGTGTGTATGTTATGTGTATATATGTGGTTTATGACATATTCATGTGTGTGGTTGTATGTATGATGTGATAGATGTAGTTGTGTGCATATGCTCATGTGTATGACGCCTGTGTCTGCTGTGTGTGATGTGGTCTGTGTGCATGGGTACTTTGTGTAGCGTGTGTATAGGATGCACGTGTAGGGTCTTCATGGGAAGAGTCAATCATCTTTCCCAGAAGTGAGGACAAGCTATAACAAACTAAAGGGAAGACTGGAGAGCAGAGCAGCTGTGGCTTTTCCCTAGGAAATGCTGATGTGTGTGATGATTTTGTAGCCATGAATCACTCCCCACTACCCACAGGGGTGCTCTACATAATGTGCCTATGAAATGCAGCCAGGAGGGCAGCCCAGACTGTTTCTCATGTTTCCAGGTTTGGGGGAGGGAGGTCAGTCTCAGGAGGTCCTAGTCAACCAAGACAGCAGGTGGGGTGAGGGGGGGGGGGTGGGGGGGGGGGGGGGGGAGGGGGGGGGTGGTGGCGGGGTGGGGGGGGGGGAGGGGGGGGGCGGGGGGGGGGGGGGGGGGGGGGGGGGGGGGGGGGGGGGGGGGGGGGGGGGGGGGGGGGGGAGAGGGGGGGGGGGGGAGGGGGGGGGGCGGGGGGGAGGGGGGGGAGGGGGGGGGGGGGGGCGGGGGGAGGGCGGGGGGGGGGGGGGGGGGGGGGGGGGGGGGGAGGGGGGGGGGGGGGTGGGGAGGGGGGGGGGGGGGGGGGGGGGGGGGGGGGGGGCTGGGGGGGGGGGGGGGGGGGGGGTGGGGGGGGGGGGAGGGGGAGGGGGGGGGGGAGGGGGGGAGGGGGGGGGGGGGGGGGGGGGGCAGGGGGTGGGGGGGGGGGGGGGGGGGGGGGCGGGGGCGGGGGGTGGGGGGGGGGGGCGGGGGAGGGTGGGCTGGGGGGGCGGGGTGGGCTGGGGGTGAGGGGGGGGGGGGGGGGGGACGGGGGGGGGGGGGGGGGGGGGGGGGGGGGGGGGGGGGGGGCGGGGGGGGGGGGGGGGGGGGATGGGCGTGGGGGGGGGGGGGGGGGGGGTGGGGGGGGGGGGGGGGGGGGGGAGGGGGGGCTGGGTGGGGGGGGAGTGGGGGCGGGGGGGGGGGGGGAGGGGCTGGGGGGGGGAGGGGGGGGGGCAGGGGGGTGGCGGGGGGGAGGGGGGGGGGGGGAGGGGGGCTGGGGGCGGGGGAGGAGGGGAGGGGGGGGGGGGGGGGGGGGCGGGAGGGGGGGGGGGGGGGGGGGGGGGGGGAGGGGGGGGGGGGGGGGGAGGGGGGGGGGGGGGGGGGGGGAGGGGGGGGGGGCGGGGGGGGGGGGGGGGGGGGGGGGGGGGCAGGGGGGGGGGGGGGGGGGGGCGGGGGGGGGGGGGGGGAGGGGGGGGGGGGTGGGGGGGGGGGGGGGGGGGGGGACGGGAGGGGGGGGGGGGCGGGCTGGGGGAGGGGGGGGTGGGGAGGGGGGGGGGGGGAGGGGGGGGGGGGGGGGGGGGGGGGGGGGGGGGGGGGGGTTGGGGGGCGGGGGGGGGGGGGGGGGGGGGGGGGGTGGGGGGGGGGGGGGGGGGGGGGGGGAGGGGGGGGGGGGTGGGGGGGGGGAGGGGGGGGGGGTTGGGGGAGGGGGGGGGGGGCGGTGGGGGGGGGGGGGGTGGGGGGGGGGGGGAGGGGGAGGGGGGGGGGAGGGGGGGGGGGCGGGGGAGGGGGGGGGGGGGGGGGGGGGGGGGGGGGGGGGGGGGGGGGGGGGGCGGGGGGGGGAGGCGGGGGGGCGGGGGGGGGGGGGGGGGGGGGGGGGGGGGGGGGGGGGTGCGGGGTGGGGGGGGGGGGGGGGAGGGGGGGAGGGGGGGGGGGGGGCGGGGGGGGGGGGGGGGAGGGGGGGGGGGGGGGGGGGTGGGGGGGGGGCGGGGGGAGGGGGGGACTCTTTCTTTTTTTTCAGTGTTCTTATTTCTTTTTTTTTTTCAGTTGTTCCCTTCAGTTCTTCTCAAGACACAGGTCCCAACCAGCATACTTTGCTCAATCAGCCTGTTCCATAACTGACAGGAAAGCAGGCAGCAGCAGTTCCTGTTATAGGCCAAGGAAGAAGAGAGCCTAGCCATCAGCCAACCTAGAGGGACTCCGTGCAGATTCCTCAGAGTAGGCGTTCTCGCCTCTGCTGTGTCTGAGACAGGCACCAGGTGTCTATGTGAAGCAATGTGGCTCTTCCTGTGAAAGATGGAGTCATCCCGGTGGGACAGAGAAAATGTTGGGTCTCATATGTACAGTAAGATCCAGAAGTCAGCCCAACTTCTGCCATGTGGCCTTGTCCCACACAGAGGGGGCCTCATGGAAACCTTTGATACTTGAGCAAGCTCCAGGGCTGGGCACATCTCAGCCCACAGTGGGTGGTCCTTAGAGCCAGGACTCCATTGGAATCGTGAGTTACCATGAGCACTGAGCACCCAGAACCTCAGTTGGAGAACCCACGGTGGCCTATCCTGCCAACCTCCTTATGATTCGAACCTTTCTTGGATAGGAGACTGCAGACTCTCCTCATGAGAACTGGGCTGTAACCCGGGGTGATCTGTCCTTGCAGCTTGTCAGTCAGAGGCTGCAGGTCTACAGCGGAGCTTGCAGGAGCTGGATTCACGCTTCCGCCTGGAACAGCAGAGGAGGAGAGCCCTCCATAACAGCCTGGTGGTGAGTGCCTGCATTGCCAGCGCAGTGGTTCAGCAACTCAGAATATACCCCAGGAGGACTGTGAGGCCACACCTGAGTGACAGCTGGCCAGCATTGCTAGCATCCAAGAGTAAGGCTTGAGGGCAGAGGAAGTGAGAGCGGGCCAGCCACAAATCGTCAGTTAGGATCAAGCATCCTCTTCACCCAGAAGCCACTGGCCACTCTGCTCAGCCAGGAGGCAATGATAAAGAGGAAGAGGGGTCACCACAGTACTGGGGTTAAGAGGCACCAGTGGCTGTGGTCACTATAGGTAGATGATACGATCACATCAAAACATCAGAAACCGACAGTTCACTGATGTGCGATATGGACAGAGATGGGTAGAGGGGGATTTTTCAGGATATAAAAACCCAGAACCTCAGGGTCTCAGCCCTTGCAAGCACGTTCCTCCCTCAAATCCTCACTGATTTTCTCAGCTGTAGAGGAGGCTCCAAGGATCTCTTGCATTCCCAAGAGCATAAGACCTAAGGTCACTTGGAAGACCAGAAGTTCAAACTCAGGCCTTCACACTAACGTGAGCAGCCAGGGCCTACAGTTCATTTGGCCAACTTGCTTCTCACAGACATGGCTTCCGTGATGTATTTGCCCGGTGTCTGTGAACACTGCTTACTCATTTCCCAAAGCCTGTGTGTGCCTCTGGTGACAGAGCTCCACTGGATCTCAACAGTCCTTGGGCATCATCTGCTTACCTGTTTCAGTGCTCAGAGCAGACCCTAGAGGGTAGTTTCTGGGTACTCGCAGTGTAACCAGCACTGACTAAAGCATTTTAGGGAATTTTCTCTTTTTTTTTTTAAACTTTTTTTAATTGAAAATTTTTTTCATACATCATATTTCTGATCATGTTTTTTCCCTTCCCCAAACCCTCCCAGGTCCCTCCTATCTCCCTACCTACACAATTTCATGTTCTCTTTCTCTTTTTTTTTTTTTTTTTTTTTTTTTTTTGGTTTTTCGAGACAGGGTTTCTCTGTGTAGCTTTGCGCCTTTCCTGGAACTCACTTGGTAGCCCAGGCTGGCCTCGAACTCACAGAGATCTGCCTGGCTCTGCCTCCCGAGTGCTGGGATTAAAGGCGTGCGCCACCACCGCCCGGCGTCTTTCTCTTAAAAAAGAAAAACAGACCAAAACAACAACAAAAAACAAGTGCACATGCACTCGCATGCACACACACACACATAAACAAACATTTTAATCTCAGCATTGCTGGTTCTTAAGGAAAAAGTCCCCCTCCCTGGAGAACCCAACAAGAGCTCATGAGAACATGGCATTCCCACTTCTCTCCAGGTACTAAAGACCTGGGTAGATGCACAGAGCCTGATTGCCAACAGACAGGTTCCGAATGTGCTGACCGGCTGACTGAAGTGTACCCCCCACTGGTCTCCTCAGTATCCAGCTGGAAAGCTCATGAGAGAAGAGAGCTGAAAACCCCACCTCCAGGATCCTGGCCATGTGTAGAGGTCTCTCCTCATTGTTCACAAACATCCATTAGGCTCTGCCATGGCTTTGTGTGTCCTCAATTTTCTGATGCCTTTGGCATATAAAAGGCAAACTTCCCACAGCCTAGGATGATAGAAAATTGAAAAGGATCAGGCAGTGTTGATGGACTGAGCCTTCTTTAGATACAGAAAGCCAGACAGGTGTGGGTGATAGATGCTGAAGAGCATAGAGTCCCCACAGCATTGATGCACCCTGAACCCAGACAGGTTCTGACAGCAAGGATCATGTTTGAATAGCTATTATAGTCAGACTTTCTTTGTACCACCTGTAGATGTAACCGTCTTATTAAATAAGAAACACAGAGCCAAATGCAGAGTTTAAAGCCCAAGAGGTCAGAGCAGTAGCTAAGAGCTGAGACTAAAACCACCTTCTTATCACCCGCTGCTGTCCTTCCCCTGAGCAAGAGATCTACTTCCTGTGTGTGTGTGTGTGTCTTTTTATTGACTTTCTGTTCTGCCTTCTCATTGGTTGTAAATCCAATGACATGACCTCCTTGTCACTGCCTGTCTATACAGACCTCCAGGTCTCTATGGTTGATATTGAGATTAAAAGCGTGTGTCTCCATGCTGGCTGTATCCTTGAACACACAGACTCTGCCTGCCATGTGATCAGATTAAGGGCATATGCTACCACTGCCAGAATTCTGCTATGGCTTGCTATTAGCTCTGACCCCCAGGCAATTTTATTTATTAACATACAAATAAAATCACATTTCAGCACAAATAAAATATCACCATAACCACCAGCTACCAAATAATGACATGGAGACTTCTTAATTATAAAGGCTTGGCCTTAGCTTAGGTTTGTTTACAACTAGCTCTTAAGACTTAAATTAGCCATTTATATTCATCTACACTCTGCCATGTGGCTCTTTACCTCTCTTCTCCATTCTGTATGTCTGACTCCCTCTGTGTCTTGCTGGCAAAATGCCCAGTGCCTCAGATTCCTCTCTCCCCCTGGAAGTCCCACCTAGTCTCTCCTGCCTAGCTATTGGCCATTCAGCTCTTTATTAAACCAATCAGAAGGCGCCTTAGGCAGAGACACATGTTCACAGTGTACAAAAAGATTATCCCACAAGTTACTGATATCACTTGTTCACCTTGATGACTTCTGGACAAATGTAGATGATGGTCTCAGCTTTAGTTGTAACATCTTGACTGCTGGACTCCTCTGTCCAAATGTTGACCATCCCATCCTCCCTACCCTCTTTCTAGGGTGGCAAAGATCCCTTCTGTTTCTAAGACTAGCACCTATACTCTGCAAGTATATGGGTCTGTTGGGTCCCACCTCCTCTCCCTGGTCTCTCACTTGCCCACATCCCAGTCCTACTTTATGGAAGCATTCCAGGGCTGCTTTGCTGTGTGAGCCTTCCTAGTTCACGTGCATGTTCACTGCTGTGCTAATGGTCCTTGCACTTTTCTGAGGGTTCTTCTGTAGTCTGAGCTGGGCAGAACCAAGGCTGTCTGAAGGACATCCAGTGGCATTTAGTTACAGGATACCTGGTTACCAGGTCTGTTGGGCCTGACTGGTTGTCTCCAGCCCAAGTCAGCTATATGAGTCAGAGCTGGCAAGAAGGCTCTAAGGGTTGTGCTGACTGGAGGTCTGCTGGGCCTCAGTCCCAGTCTCTGTGCAGTGGCCCCAGCCACCTCAGGATAGCATCGGGACCGAACTGAGTGAATGGATAGAGAAGATGGTGGCTGGAGGCATCATACCTGAGCTCAGGATGCTTTCTGGTACCTTGTAGAAGATGGATGGGCTGCTTCCAGGCAATCCCCCAGGAGGATTTGCACTGGGGAGGCTTTGTCACCCAGGTCTGGGGCACAGGTGCCACCACCCGAGCAGCGAGTTCCTCAAGGTCAGCAGTGTTTAAGACCAGCTTGGCAGAAATGGAACACAGCTTCACAGCACTGAATCCTGTGTTCACAGTATCCACAAAACAACGTAAATCCTACATTCATCTGCTCCTCTGACCTGGAGGACACTGGCCTTCCTGCTGTGAGCACAGCTCACTTCCACTTTGTTTTCCTCTGGGCAGTAAATCTCCATGATGTCATTTGGATGACCCTGTGGAAATTCAGGATACCAGCCCCAACCAAATTCTTGAAATTCCTCCTAAAATGCCTGAGAGAATTTAGCCCAAGATACCAGGAAATGGATATTTGTTGCTGCTTAAGGAACAAATCTGTTAAAGTTGAATACAAAATCTCTGAGTAGCACTGAGCTGGCTGCCCTGTGGGGAATTTCAGAGGTCAGGGCCTTCTGCTGCTGAGCCAGCCTCCCTGGTGTTGAAAGCTCTTTGTTGTTGTAGGAGCTGAAAGGAAACATCCGAGTCCACTGTCGCATCCGTCCCTTTCTGTCATTTGATAAAGAGTTGGATGGTTCGGCTTCACAGAACTGGTAATTTACTTCCTGTCTGTATGTGGCTCGGGTTGGGGACGCATTTGAAGAGAAAGGCTTAGGATAGTGGCAGGAATTGCAGTGTCCCTATGTCCCCAGCCCTGGACCCTGGAGCAGCTCCTGGTGCCTAGGTGAAGCTGTCTTTTGGGGTGGTGCCCCTTGTTGATGCAGGGCAGGCCCAATGGGACCAGGTTTGAATGTGGCCAGAATGTCTGCGGAAGCATGTCTATTGGGCTAAGTCTCTGTCCTGTCCAGTAGCAGGGTCTCACCCCACCCAGCCTTCCCCTTTAGGTTAAACCAAAGGGGGCATCCCTTCATCCTTCCTTCCTCTAGAGACCTCTCATCAGTGCTAAGGCATGTCAAGTTGTGATGGCTGTTACTTCTGACTTACAGGAAGTCTTGGTGGCGATAGTGGGAAGCTACAGTGAGTACTTGACCACTAAGCTCAACAGGACATGTCCCATTCTCCTAAGAAGACCCAGACCCCTGCCTCTGCCTCCTTCCTTCCCCTTTCAACTCTGTCTTCCCTACCTCTGGGCTAGGCTGGTCTCCCTGGGATCTGCAGTGGGTGTTGACTCCCAGGCCTGCTCCATGCTTTGGATCCCGTTGTCCCATCCCATAACAGTTTTACTCTTCTGAGAGGCCTAGCTGAGACTTTTCTGTTTATATTACATATGTGTGTGTGTGTGTGTGTGTGTGTGTGTGTGTGTGTGTGTGTGTGTGTGTTTTATATGTGTACATGTTTGTGTAGGTGCATACACAAGGCTACAGGAGGTGCTGGGTATCTTCTTCTATCATTCTTCACTTTATTCTTTTGAGGCAGTGTCTCTCCCTGAACTTGGAGCTTGAATTTTTATCTAGGTTGGCTGCCAGTGAGCCCCATACATCTTCCTGTCTCCACCCCTAACTTGTTAGAGATATGCAAGACTGTGCCTAGCTTGTTGTATGGGTGCTAGGATCTAGACTCACATCTTGAAGTGCTCTTAACCATTGAGCAATATTGCCAAGCCCCAAACACTGTCTGTTTTTAGTGGTGGCAGAGATGTTTTAAGTCTTCCATTCTGCTAGCCATGGTGCAATAAGATGCTTTCACACCAGTAGCCATGGTCATTTGTCCACAGCTGCAGCTGGAGAAGAGCAGTGTCCTGTAAGACTTAGTTCTGAAGAGCAGTGAGCTTTCCTGAGCATGCCCTTCAGTCCTATTCACACAGGCTTGCTTCTGTTACACTGTTGATCTGTTCCCATCTGCAGGGTATAGCAGTCATCCCCAATCCTCGGTCTAAATGAGTACAAACTCAGGCAATAATAATTGCTTTCTCAGTCACCCCCACTGCATCCCGCATTCCAGATGAAATGCCGAATAGTTCAGATGCAGATGTTTCCAGTATGGCTGGGTGGTCACTAGGTTGTTCATCTCCCTCAAAGGCCCCTTCTGAGGTGGCAGAATCTCCATGATTCTTGTTGCTTATTCTTCTTCAGTTTTTGTTTTGAAACATACTGCTTTTTTTTTTTCCAGGTTCCTGATTCTTTTTTCCTGAGACAGGGTTTCTCTGTGTAGCTTTGGTGCCCGTCCTGGATCTCGCTCTGTAGACCAGGCTGGCCTTGAACTCACGGAGATCCACCTGGCTCTGCCTCCCGAGTGCTGTAGGTTCCTGATTCTTATAGGCATTGGAGCTCCTGTGGGCACAGTCTGGCATTGCTTTTCTTATCACTCTTGCCCTAAAACTGGTGTGTGTGTGTGGGTGATAGTCACATATTGCATGGATCCTAACCCAGAGTTGACCCGCCCTCAGAACACTTGCAGGAGGTGGGATATAAAATGAAAGGTAAAGAAGGAGAAGGTGGGATGTGTGGCAGAGGTTTTAGAACAGAGCATCAGGGAAGCAGAGTGTGGACATAGAGCAGCAGGCATAAGAAGATTGCCAGTGCACAGAGTTTGGATGTCAGGAGTTGAGTAAGAAGTTGCACCCAATGGTGTTCTTATAACCGCTGTCTTATCTCTACAGCAACACCCCTGGAGAAGTGGCCCATGCTGTTGATGATGTAAGTAGCCCCTAGTGATCAAACACTGGAAATAGTTTTAATGATTTGATGGCCTTACTTTTTTTTTTTTTTTTTTTTTTTTTTTTTTGGTTTTTCGAGACAGGGTTTCTCTGTGTAGCTTTGCGCCTTTCCTGGAACTCACTTGGTAGCCCAGGCTGGCCTCGAACTCACAGAGATCCACCTGGCTCTGCCTACCGAGTGCTGGGATTAAAGGCGTGCGCCGCCGCCGCCGCCACCACCACCACCACCACCACCCGGCACTTTTTTGTTTTTTAAGACAGATAAACTGTTTAGTCCCTGTTGTCCTGGAACTCACTTTGTAGACCAGACTTGCCTTGAACTCAGATCCACCTGCCTTTGCCTCCTGAATGCTGGGATTAAAGGCATGCGCCACTGTCACCCACCTGGCTTTTTTTTTTTTTTAACAAAAGGTAAAGAATGACTATAGTTGTTTTCAAAAATTAACAGAGCCTCTGGAAATAAACACTTTTAAGATCTTTACTTTTTTTCTTTAAAGCCATTTTTATTACATTTATTTGCTGTAGATGTGTATGTGACATATGCAGACATCAGTGGACAACTTACAGGAGTTGTTTCTCTCCTTCCAGCTTGACATGGGTGCCAGGGATAGAACTCAGATGGTCAGTCTTGGAAGCAAGCTCCTTTAACCTCTGATCCCTCTCTCTGGCCCCCAAAGTATATTTTGTTCTGTCCCCCATGACACTGTGATGCCCCAAGCACTAGCATTGCTAAAGCAAGAAAAAGGAGACCTTCAAAATCTTCAGGGTTTGGGGTTTAAAGACATCCCACACTCGGGAGGCAGAGGCAGGCAGATCTTTGTGAGTTCGAGGCCAGCCTGGTCTACAGAGCGAGATCCAGGAAAGGCGCAAAGCTACACAGAGAAACCCTGTCTTGAAAAACAAACCAAAAAAAAAAAAAAACAAAAAAACAAAAAACAAAAAATGACATCCCATAGCTGGCTGTAGTGGGACACATCATTAATCTCACCACTTGGGAGGCAGAGGTAGGTAGATCTCTGTGAGTTCCAGACCAGCCTGGACTACATGGTGAGTTCTAGGACAGCCAGAGCTACATAGTGAAACTCTGTCTCAAAAACAAAACAAAACAAAACAACACCCCAACACACACACACACACACACACACACACACACACACACACACACAAAGACATTTCATCCTCAAGTTGCTAGCCCTCTTATCCTTAGGTAAGCTCTCAGAGTACTAGTGACTATAAACAGCACCTACTCTAGCCTTTCCAGTCTGCAGCCTTCTGGTCAACCCTCAGGATTATCCACTGAGAAAACACATCCTTGAGCAGATTTCTGCCAGCTGGTTGGGAAGTCAGGTTGTGTTGCCTCTTTATTCTATCATCCCTTAGCAGACTTCCCTGGGCCCTGTCAAAATTCCACTCACCACGTTCAGAGGGCTTAGTGTTTTCAAGTCTAACTCAACAAAATAAGATAACATTTCTTTTGATTGTAGCATTTTGGATTGTGTTTAAGAGATAGCAACAGAATGCGAACTGTTTAATAAGTAGGTCTGCGTGTTAGGACTGCATGTAATCTTATCTGCTGAGTGAGTGAATGGTTGGTTCATGACCTTGCCTCTTTTGGCTTTCATGGTATTTTTATTCCTGAAGCCTGAAGAATTTATGTTGGCACCTCCTGTGATCTCTGTGTCCAGCACCTCTGGACTTACCCTGTGAGTAAGACCAGATTCACATGGCTGCCCTTGTTCTGGAGAGTCCTAAGGTTTGCTTGTTTACACTTTTCATTTGATCCACATCTTCTTACTTGAAAGACTCGGGAGAACAGCTTGTTGGCTTTGCAGCAAGTGGACCTGCAGTGGAGGTTCTCCCTGCTACTGCCTTGAATTTCTGAATTCCTATGACATGTAGAATAAGCTGTCCTACATAGTTTTGGGCATTTGAATACTTGGTCCCCAGCTGGTGACTCTGGATAGATTTAGGAGGTGTGACCTTGCTGGAGGAAGAATGTCCTTCAGGGGGTTGGTGGGGGGGGGGGGGGGTTGTGGTTTCAAAGCCTTGCACCTTTCCCAGTTTCTTTCTCTCTCTTTCTCTCTCTCTCTCTCTCTCTCTCTCTCTCTCTCTCTCTCTCTGCTTTGTGTTTTCGATTCAAGATGTGAGTCCTCAGCTTCCTGCTCCTTCCACCATGACTTGCTATCATGGAACTTAAGCCCCTATAAACTATCAGTTTTATAGGTTGCTTTGGTCATGGTGTCTTATGACAGTCATAGAAAAGTAACTAATACAGATGTTGATATGAAGGAGTGGACTATTGCTGTAATACCTGGTCATGCCGGTGCCTTGTTTTGTTTTTTGAAGAAGGTGGAAGACCTTGGAACTTTGAATCAGAAGAGACTGAACACTAAGCAGAGTTTAGTGGGCCGTCCTGGTAGGAGCGTGGAAGTCAGTAGTGCCAAGAGCCATGCAGACTGTGGAAGCCCGGCTTGGGGATTCAGAGGGGAGCAATAGTTTTAGCCACTGGGCTAAAGGCCTTTTCCGTGATTTTTTTTTTTTTTGTAAAAATGTGGTTTCTTTCTGCCCTTGTCCTAAGAACTTGCCTGAGGCTAAATTTAAAAGTAACGGACTAATTTATTTGGTGATGGAGATTTCAGGAGAGCCCAATATTAACTCTGTCATGTGATGATTAGTGATTCCTCTTATCAGGTCTTCAATGAAAAAGAGCAAATGGTACAGAAAGAAATGCAAAATGTATAGTTTGGAGAGAAAAAGGACACTGGCACGTTTAATATTATAGCCAATGCTTATGTTAGAAGAGAGCTGAAGTTGTTAAGGAGATCAGCATCATTAATAAGAGGCCAGATTTCCTCAAGGCAAGACCTCACCCAGCTAAGCTTCTAAGGTATGAAAGGGAGCTGAAGGCATGTTCTGTTCCTGGGAGGCACCTGCAATCAAAGGCTGCTGCTAATGTGGTTCATGGGGCTAGGGGCTTTTCCAGGGGTCAGCCCTGTGTATCCTTGTCAATCCCTAAAAGTAAACAGCACAGCAAAGGTCTACTGTGTGGACTGAGAGAGTCGAGAAAGTATGGTTGAGAAGGTGTGTTACTTTTCATCTCCACATAGAGAGAGTATGTCGGTGACCTGAAGTTACCAGCTGGTTACCATCACTGTGGCCCCCAGACCGTGTCTGTTCTCCAGTAGGCAGTGCCATCCGGCACTCTGTGTCAGCTCTTGTGCAGGTAGTGTTCCCAAAGTCGGTAGATGACTTAACAGAAGGTAGACTTGAGGGGCATCCTGTTTCTAATCCGGGAACGAGAACTGGCCTGAGAGGAACAGCCCACAAGTGCAGAGGGAGGTACCATCTCTACACGGGGGAAGCCCAGAGAGAAGGTGAGTCAAACCTGATAAGCTGGGGCAGCAAGAGAACCTGTGTGCCCAATTAACAACAGTTAATACTGGGAGCTTGAACGTGGAGGAAGAGAAGGCTGGTTGCCACTGTTTGTAGACCATGCTTCGTAGCTGATGGGACACAGAGAAGCTCTGTCTAGTGACTATGGGACCTGAGCACACACCTCAGAAACTGGGATTCCAGAAGCATGTATAAGCTATAAAACCCCCTAACATATAACAGCCACCAACATGTTTTGAACCTGACAGGGAACGAGGGAAGGGCCTCCCCAAGGTCAGCTGGTCCATCTCCTTCCCCAACCATTTGCTTCTTATAACCCCCTTACTCCAGCTGGGATACACATATTCCCAGGTCCTGGTCCTTATGTAACCTTTGTGCTAGCATCACACCTGCTCCTGCCACTGCCCTGGGCTTCAAGGGCACTAGGATGGAGCCGAGCTCTTCACCACATCTTAGGATCTGTGTGTTGTTGAGGGCATTACTTAAAGGTTATCCCTTTGTGTGCTGACAGCATCTTGCTTTAGTTGACCGTATTTACACGAGTATAATCTCTCTTCTCGTAGCTGTTCTTAAAAAGTCATTGGTTAGTTTTAGCTGAGCTTCTTGGGGACTTTGCTCTCACACTGGGTAATTTTGCTAAGATTTCTTCATTAACGTAACTAGCTACTCAGAGGTCAGTACAGGGCCCACGCTGACCACACTCAAATTGCCTTTTCCTTGCTGTCTCGGGCTGTTAACTCCTTGGCCAGCATTCTCAAGTGTCTCTGCCTCAGAAAGGAATGTGGTAATGTGATTGCATATCTACCTACATTCCTTATGTCACGCAGGATATCTGCCAGAGTAAAGGGATCCTGCCTGCCCCCTACAGGGACTATCTAGATATTGCTTCCCCAACATGGATGGAAGGGCCACTTCCTGCTGTGGGGACAGCCCCTGGTGTTCATTCACTGTGAAGTTACCTGACAGTCCCACCTCAAACCTGCTGTTCTGCTGGAGCGTGGAGCATCTACTCTCTTCTGTGAGATGCCCGGGTACCCTCCAGCAGCTAAGAACTCTGCTCTAAGCCTGACCACGGCCAAGGTGGAGGCACAAGAGTGGTGAACAGGCATCGGAGGGTTTCAGGCTGAACAGTCCTGAAGTTCATGTTCCTCCTACTGAACTCTATGTGAGTGACGTGAGATCCGGATTAAAATGTACCTTTAGCGCTGAGATTTCATGGCAGGTCTACGCCCTACATGCTTTTAAAGATATTCTAGGAACTGGATACAATGAGAAAATAGTCATAAAGATCAGAGAATGGGCCTTATGTGTCTCTGCTTGCCTAACATGTGTGAGTTCCTGAGCTCAAGTCCCAGATCACAAAACATGCCTCAGAAATAGATGATAACAGTGTGTGTGTGTGTGTGTGTGTGTGTGTGTGTGTGTGTGTGTGTGTGTGTGTCTGTGTCTGTGTGTCTGTGTGTGCCTCCTTGCAGGTGAGCCCAGAGACTACCATGGCCCAGTTGGGAAAAGGATCCCACACTAGTTGACTCCCACCCAGACAAGCACTATACTGCAGGGGACCAGGGTGTGAACACTGGGACAAAAGAAAACTGTTTAAATAGCTAGCAGAAGTCACTGATGTATGTGAATAAGGGACATTTCACGTTGTGAACGGGGAGGTTTGGGAGCACAGGCAGGAGAGACCAAGTCCAGGTACTCTGCAGGTTGAATCAAAGCTTTCTCTGCGAGCAGATGACTCTCCAAAGGCCATCGTTTGACAGTGTTCTGTAACCCACCACACCTCGTGGATGGGATGTGGTGTTGCTCTGACTGCACTAATTGCCTGCCTGCTGATGTCTGTGTGTGTGTGTGTGTGTGTGTGTGTGTGTGTGGTGGAGGGGGTGGGGTCAGGGAGCCATCGGTGACTGGATGGAACACACTGTATTCCAGCTGCCTTCTTGGAGCATTTAGCAGTAGATAATGACACATGACCGCCTAGAGTGAAGAGCTGTAGGTCCTGTAGCTTGCAGCTCTGCTCCTGAAACAGGCATGACTTTTCACATGGATATAGACATATTATATATATATATATATTATATATATATATATATTATATATATATATATAATATGTCTCCATATATAATATGTATTTTTCCTTTAACAGCTTTGTTTTTGTGGGTAGTATGCGTGTGTACACAACTCAGCATAGTTTTTTCTTTCCACCTTCATGCGGGACCCCGGGATTGAACTCGGGTCAGTCAGTCAGTCTTGTATGCCGACCCTTTTCCCTTTATCCGTCATTCCGTAACCATCTCTTCATAGGCTGTAAGTGAAGAAACAGCTCAGTGAGGCCTGAGGAGGCAAAGGCAGGAAGATTGCCAGAGGTTTGAGACCAGCTCGGGCTACACAGAGACCCTCTCTTAAACCCCCTCCCTTCAAAAAGATCTAAAGTGGGTGAGGCTTAAAGCTAGGCAGTTCACCTCTACCAGGCATGGTCCTGTAATGTGAGACTGCCTGGCCTCTTGGGGACCTGGGCCTCATCTGAAATGTCCATACCCTCAGCAGGACAGGCTCCTGGGACCTCACAGGTACAGCTTTGCTCTCCTGTCAGGGATCAGCAGATCCCATCTCTGAAGGGCCAGGTATCAACTGCCACTTCCTGAGGGCCATCTGGCTGCGGTCTTCCTTACATAGCCCTGTCCCTGAGCAGCCAAGCCCAATCTGTCACCAGAGCGAGCTGTGTGTTCCAGGGAGAGCTGCCGACAAAGACAAGCGGCGGTGGCGGCGGCGGCGGCGGCGGCGGCGGCGGCGGCGGCAGCTGCCTGGGCACCGCTCCCTAGCCTTGGCCCTGTGTGACTAATGCGGGCCTGCCCGAGTCTGCCCTCCTGCTTTGTCCTCTATTAGGAAACCGTCCTGGTGAGGTGTGCTCTTCCTGGCCGCCCTCCCGCCGAGAAGACATACCGTTTTGAAAGGTGAGAATGTCTCAAGGGGAAGTGTAGAGGTGGGTTCAGTGTCCACATATACCAACTCAGTAGGGCCTAGGAAGATGTGGGGTTCGTCTCCCAGTTCCCGTGTTGGTGTTCACAGATGAGCCGCAATTTAATGTCCCAGGTGAAAAATCTCACCCTGGTCATCCAGTTTTGGTAGCAAGTGTTTTGTCAGGATGTGACAGTGACTCACCGTGGGGCTTTGTATCAGAGGCTCCCACAGCTCAGTGTAATGGCATCTCCCAGGCAAGACACGACAGATGGGACCCAAGTGCTTAGGTTCTGCTTACTGCCCCGCTGAGGACTCTTCTTCCCCCATAGCTGAGGCTCTGTGGGGCCATAGCTGGAGATATGCAGGTTCTCCCAGCCTGCCACTCAGGACCAGCTAGCAAGTGAGTAAGAGGATGGGGTCACCAGTCAAGAACCCTCTAGAGCAGTGGTTCTCAACCTTCCTAACGCTGCAACCCTTCAACGAAGGACCTCGGGTTGTGGTGACCTCCAACCATCACATTATTTTTGTTGCCACTCCATAACTGTAATTTTGTTACTGTTATGAACCATAATGCAAATATCTGCATTTTCTGATGCTCTTAGGCGACCCCTGTGAAAAGACCATTTGAAAGCCAAGGGATTGTGACTCACAGGTTAAGAATCACTGTTCTAGAGGGAACAGGACCAACAGAGCTCCCACAGAGCTGTCATGGACCCTAGCAGTCCTCCCAGTCACAAGGCAAGGGCACAGGATAGAAGGAGTCCAAGCCACTAAAGATCTGTTTCCAAGAGTTTGCCCTCCTCCCACACCCCTGCTCTCCTTACACTCAAATACAGTGTGAACAGCTTTGCCTTTGCTCTCCCTTAACCCCCGCCAGCTTGAGAAGCAGTAGACAGTAAGCTCTCATACGACTCTTGTCTGTCAGCGTTCTGTATGGGAAGTTGTAGGAGTTATTCTCCCCAGGTTTCTGTGTTTTATACAGCAGTAGTTCTCTGCCGCTTAAACTAATGTGACACTCTCTTTATTCCCAGAGTGTATGGCCCAGCAGAATCTCAGGCAACGGTGTTTGGAGATATACGTCCCCTCCTCATATCCCTTTTGGATGGGTGAGTTCAGATATTTCCAAGGCCAGTGCCAGAGTTCCATTTGAATATCAGAGCCTCTCATTCCAGCCATAGGATGACTGGAACTTCAGGGCTAAGGGAGTCACGGGAGAGCTGGTGTTGCCCCGGCATGGCTCAGTGTCTGTCAGTGGAGACCGTCTCTCCTGGAGCAGAGCAGAGTGATGGAGGACTAGCATCAGATGAGCTCCTGGGCTCTGAGCCATGCTGCATCCTACCAAGTTCACTGTCAGCCTAGAGGGGCTGCTTTCTCCACTACATGGGTCTCTTTAGAACTGTTCAGATTTGTCTTCTCTTGTTTTTACTAATTAAACTTGACAGTTTCTCACACACACACACACACACACCCCTTGCCCCTTACTGTCCCTTGTCTTCCTCTGTTAGCACCTGCTTCCCTAAGTCCCGGTCTCATGGTTATGTTCTTTTGCTATGATCCACCGAGTTTAACCAGGGACCATCTATGTGACAGTAGGTTTGGAACTAGCCGATGGAGCTGGTGGGCTCGGCACTGGGACCACGGCCGGAGACAAGGACTCAACCTCCCCCTGAATCCATTAGTAGCCAACAGTTCAGCAGAGAGGGTGGGGCCCAGTGAGTCTCCCCACCTGTCGGCTGCTGGTTAAAAGGCACAGGCTTGTGTAGGCCTGGTGTAGGCAACTGCAGCTTCTGTGACTACCTGATGGTGATGGCTGTGTCATGCTCAGAAGGGAGCGGCTCACAGCCCTGCCTCCATCCCAAGCGCCTCCATTCTTCCTGTCTTCTCTCTAGGGTGTCCCCTGCGCCTTAGAGGGGGTGGTATACGTGTCCCGTTTAAGGCTGAGTGTGACGGCTGACTTCTCAATAGAAACTTTAAAAGCCTCGAGGCTTTGGAACAATGTATTTCAAGTTCTAAGAGACCGCAAATGCCAGCCCAGACTACTTACTGTGCCCTGCAAAACTGTCTGTCATCACTGAAGGAGAAAGAAAAGCACTCCACAACAAAAACAGGTTAAAGGATTTTATGACCACCAAGCCAATCCTGCAGGGAATCCTGGAAGAGAGCACCTACTGCCAAATGGGAGGATGAGCACACCCAGGAGGCTCCACGTGAAGAACAAATGGTGCTTACACAGTTGTTAGGAAAGTAGGCCTAAGAAAACAAACACCACACAATCAAAGGGCCATAATTAACACACATCTTTTAATAGTGGCCTCGGATAGTAATAACTTCAATTCCTCATCCAAAAGAAATGCAAGCTAGCTTACTGTATTAGAAAACAGGAGCCATGTTGTTGTTGTTGTCTACAGAAATAAACCTCACCTTCATGGATAGACAGCACCCTAGAGTAAAAGAATGGAAAAGAGTATTCCAAACTAATAGGACAAGGGAACAAGCAAGTGTTTTTTTCCTTTGGTTTTTCAAGGAAGGGTTTCTCCGTGTAGCCCTGGCTGTCCTGTAACTCCCTCTGTAGACCAGGCTGGCCTTGAACTCAGAGATCTGCCTGCCTCTGTCTCCTGAGAGCTGGGATTAAATGCACCACCACCGTCTGGCTAAGTGTTGCTATTCTAATACCTGACAATTAGAAGCCAAAACTAATCAGAAAAAATCAAGGTCACTATGTAATGTCCACCAAGAGGACATTACAGTACTAAATATACACACCAAACTTGGGTGTACCCAACTTCATACAAATACTTCAAACAAACACTGTTAAGCATAGACCCGCAGATTAAACCCAACACAGAAATAGTAGGTGACTTCAGTAACTCACTTTTATCAGTGGACAGGTCATCCAGACCAAAATAAAGGTTAAATGACATCATGGACCTAAGGCATCTGCAGAACATTCCACCCAAGTTCTTTTTAAATTTAAAATTCTTAACCACTTTAAAGACAATTGAGAACAACAGCGCCTGACTGGGGAGCTCTCTTCTTTGAGAACCACTCTTCTGGTCTTGGGAAGCATGGCCACTGGTTCCAGCAGGTGTCAGAGCCGCCGCCAGGCAGAGACTGCATCATGACACTCGAAGCCAGGACTTTGAACTTGAGGGCATTTTGAGAAACTGAGTTTTGTAGAGAAGTCTCACCAAAACTTCCACAAGAAGACTTTCCTAGCAAAGCAGGAGCTGCTGTCACCACACTGCTGCTTTCAGCCAGTGTGCTGTGTGGCCAGAGGCCTGGCAGTCTGCAGAGGGAGGTCTGCGGTGGGACACCCACATCTTCTCCACTGCCACTTGTCTACGGGCCAACCTTCCTTTCATCTGGGGTGCGTTTCCTGCTTCAGCTCTGTTTTTACATCTGTCCAAAATAGGCCCTTCACCAGAAATGACAGGGAGGTTCTGGTCAGCCCTCCCTCCTCCGTTAACTAAGTGGAGTGGACATCGTGGCTAGACCACCCACCAGACTTGCTTTTCCATCTCGAGCCCAGCACACGGCATCTTTTCAAGGGCCACGCTTCCTTCACCTCCACATGTCTCGTGACTCAGCCCCGCGAGGAGCCTGACTGTGAGTGGCAGTCAAAGGCACCACACCTGGGACAAGCGCCTAGGACGGTGTCAGGAGGGTGGCAGAGGTGTGGGGTGTGGTCTGCCCTGAGTCTTCGCCCCTCTAGAAGGAAAGCACCTGCTGGCTTAGAGACCCGACCTGCTCTGTCCTCCTCCTCGGGGTCCCTGAGCCTGGAGGCAGGCCTTCTGCTTTCTCTCTGTGGCTGCAGGCGTGACACAGATGTCTACCTTCCGGAACACTTTCACAAAACTGTTCATCAGTGAGGGGCACTGACTTGTTTAACTTGCAGGGCCAAACAGATAAGTCTGAATTGAGGTAATTAAGTCAGAATTGCCTAGGTGAGGAGTCCATGGGCTGCTGAACATCTCCAGGTGATTCCAAGAGGCCATTGGGAATGTCTGCAGTATGCATTGGGCAGAAGGACCAGGAGGCCTGCTTCCTTACAGCCAAGAAAACCTTAGATATAATTTCAATTCATAAAAAATTGTAAATACTCCTTTAAATGTTTCCAGTCCTCTTGTTGATGTTTTAGTTTAAAATAAAACGCCTAGAAACAAAAAAATAGGAATCATCAATAACTCTGGGCTTGTGTGAAGTAAACTGTTTTCAGGAAACAGCAAATCACAGGACCAAGGGAACACGTGCTGCCCATCACATGGCCCTCAGTACCATGTACCCACTGGGAATAAGAAGCCACAGACATTTGGATAGCGAGTTATATTTTTAAAGTGACTCGTGGGCTGGTGAGGTGATTCAGTCAGTAAAGATGCTTGCTGACAATTCTGACAGTCTAAGTTTGACTCCCTAGAACCCACACACGGTGGAAGGAGAGAACCAACTCCCACATGGTGTCCCCTGACCTCCACGTGTGTGCTGTGACACACAAGCTGTGTAGCAACACCCCACACACGCAATACACAAAGTAAATAAATAAAATATATGAAAGAGGAAAATATTTAAAAAAGTGGCTGTTATGAGAATAACCGTAGGCATCAATGCTGGATCTGTGGTGCATACCTTCAAAGGAAACCGAACCATGCAAGCTTTCCATCAGTCAGGTCTGACAAGCCTGATTCGGAAAATGAGTTTATATAAGGCGACTCTGCAACCACATTGAACATTAACAAGGTGACCACTGACAGTAACCCACAGATTGGCAGAGGGGCGAAGTAGTGGGCCCTGTCAAAGGCCATCTGAGGCTAAGACAGGACCTGCTGCGGGGTATGTTGGGTGAGCTTCATTTAATGAGAGGTTCTAGGGGACTGGAGAGATGGCTCAGCCGTTAAGAGCATTGACTGCTCTTCCAGAGGTCATGAGTTCAATTCCCAGCACCCACATGGCAGCTCACAACTGTCTGTAAATACAGGATCTGACACCCTTACACAGACATGCATGCAGGCAGAACACCAATGCACATAAAATAAAAATAAATAAATTTAAAAAAAAATAGAGAGGTTATACAAGGTGGCGACATTTATGTCCAGGTAAAAACCTCCAGAGTCAATGGCCTCAGACTCCGTTTATATTTTGCTGTGCTAAATAGGTTTTTGAATTTCAGGTACAATGTGTGCATTATGGCATATGGACAGACCGGAAGTGGGAAAAGCTACACCATGTTGGGGCCCCACTCAGAAGGTGACTCTGCACTGCTGTCAGGTGCTCGTGAAGACTTGGGGATCATCCCCAGAGCAGCTGAGGAACTCTTCAGGTAAACCCTGTGGTGAGGATTCAGGGCAGACTGGTGGGTACTGAGGGAGCCCTGAGAGAACAAGCCTGGGCTAGAAGATGGACAGAGCTGGTGCCCCTGTCAGAGGCCATTCAACCAACCCTAGCAACAGCTCCTCACTTCTGGGTGTTCTGGACACATAGGCTGCACCTTCTTACCATGGGTTTACACGGGAAGTCTGTTGTTAGGATAGACGTTCCTGAGCGAGCTCTGAGTAAGACAGTTCATAGTAGAGGGGGTAGATAGGGTTGTGTTTCAGGAGGGAGGGCCTAGGGAGCCTGTGCTTCAGCTATGGTAGAGGTTCCTGTATATTTGGCCCATCAGAAGGCCCCCTGTTCCATTAGCACATCCCCAGAGGATACCTGCTGCTACTGCTAATCATTTTACCAACAAAAGTTATCCGAGAAGGAAGACAGCACTGTGGTCCTTGTGACCTGTCCCTGTGGCTGTCACTAGAGCCTCTTTGGGAGGCCACTTTCCTAGCTGCCCACCTCTCTGTCTACGTAGACCTGAGGGGGGACATTGCACGTCTCTAGTGGGACTACTGGCTCCTAGGGGTCGAGCCCTGCAGGCAGCAACCCCACAGAGCATCGAGGTCAGGCTCCTGCCCCTGTGAGTAGTTCTGTCTCTGGGATTCCTCTTGTGTTGCCCTTTCATATCCTGAACACCAGAGCCAGACAGTGACGTAAGAACTCCCACCTCCGCCTCTTCAAACCACCGTTCATTAAATATTTGTGCACATGAACAGATGTGTTGATCAATTTGCATGTACTAACTGCTTCTGGAAAAAATGTTGCAAAATCCTTGCTAAATTTCCACTGTTCATGACTGTTATTTCCAGGAGACATGCCAGCCTGGATCACGGTGCTGCAGGGGCAGGCACTCTGCAAATCTCAGAGACGTGTAGCTTTGAGGGTGAGAGGTGGCCCCTCAGAACATGGCACCCACATCCACACGGAGCCATGCTTTTAACTTACTGAACAATACCAGAATTTGAGGGCACCCTTTCCCAGGGGTTGTCACAGCCAGACACTTCCCTACATGTGGAAACAGTGCACGTGGATTGCTTGGTGTGGGACATCTGCTGGAGGCATCTTCCTCTTCCCAGCGGGGCTAGCTAGAGTTAGCACAAGAGCAGCTTGACTGACAAGGGATCTGTCTCAAGCTCACTCAGGTGACTGACCTTAGTGACCGAGGGTTGAGGGACCCAGGCCTCTACCCATGCTGACCCTGGATCTGCAGATGCTCTCGGCTGCTGGAGGCTCCCCGTCTGCACAGCCAGCAGTGAGTTTCCCTGACAGGCAAGCTCTGCCCCCGATGGCTTGCCTCTCTGTTCTGAAACAAAATCTTCGTAGATGGAGAAACCTGTCTTCAAAACATTCTGAGTTTTACTTTATCATATTTCCATGAAGCATGTGCTTGCTTTAAGGAGTCAGTCACTCAGCCTCATCTTGCATGTTAAGAAGCATTTACATGCAGTGGATCACATTTCTACTCACAAACTAGTTTGTGATCAGGACATCATAGAAGCCCAGAAGTATCCCAAGGCTTTGGACCCCAGGAGCTGGAAAGACCAGCTGGCTGTTAGAAAACTCAGAGAACTGTCTAGAAATTAGACCACCTGCTTCACCTCACAGTGGACCACATTACTGACCTATGTTTGAGGTTCCTCATTCCTGGTGGGTGTATGTTAGCTACATTCTCAACACTGTGACGGATTGCCAGAGACAAGTTAAGGGAAGGAGGACTTATTCGGGGTCATGGTCCAGAGGGTTTAGTCCGTGAGGGTGGGGCAAGATTGGTGGCTGGGACAAGAGCTGGTAATGTGACTTCTTCACATGGCATCCATCAGGAAGCAGGGAGCCCAGGCCAGAGCAGGGCTGTGCTATAATTCTCAAGGCCACACCTGTTAGCCTACATCTGCCAAACAGGCCATACCCTCCCAAACAGCCCTATCAGCTAAGGACTAACTGTTCAAACACATGAGCCTCTGGGGGACATTCTAGCCCAACATGAACTTGCATCTGGCTGTGTCTGAGGTCTTCCATGGGGACAGTGACGTACTGGGTCAGAATGAACCTGACAGAGTTGGGACCCGGTGCTCCTTGCCACACTTCCTTCATTCTCAAGGACAATCATAGTTGGAGTGTGGAGAAGGCTCTCCTCTTTATTTCCTATTCACTCTAGACCAGACGTTGAGAGCAACAGGTTCAGGGCATGTGTGAGTGACTTCCACAAACACAGGGTGGGAAGCTATCAGTTCTTCTACCCACACATGGAACTGTAACATCAGGCCTGGATGTCAGAGAATCTCTCTCTCTCTTTCTCTCTCTCTCTCTCTCTCTCTCTCTCTCTCTCTCTCTCTCTCTCTCTCTCTCCTCTTTCTCTCTCTCTCTCTGTATGTGTGTGTGTGTGTGTGTGTGTGTGTGTGCGCGCGCATGGGGTATCTTTCTATTCTACATCCTTCTCCCTCCCTTCTAACTCTGGATGTTGGTACCGATCCTTCTGGATTAATTTCCCTTATCATCTTTATCAACAAAAACATACTGTATTTCCCTACATGCCAAGCATTGATCAGGAACACAGAAATACGTAGATATGTGTGTGATAAATTTTCTACCATTAAAACTAAGCCCAGAATGGAGAGACCAGTGTGGCCTAGCAGGATATGTATGGGACTGAGGTGACAAGATCAAGTGGTTGAGGAGGTGAGAGAGGGGCCTCCACTCCCAACCACTGCCCGCCTCTGCCCACCTAGCCTTGGTACCCTCAGGAACTTCATCACAGTGCCCGCATTGTTGGAGACAGGACACACACAGCTCACTGTCCAAATGCTTTGCCACTTGACCGCTTAGACTTCCGACTGTACTTTTTGGCAGCTGGTAGACTTCAGCCAACAAGCTGTGCGGTGTTTGGGAAAGTCTTCTGAGTTAACTCCTGGGTATTATTTTCTGAGTTGTGTTTTTTTGACATTCAGAGACACCATCTGAGGAAGGACTGGGCCAAAGGTGAGGCCATGTTCTGTAGAAGCCATGTCTGTGTAGGGAAGGGGCATGACAGCCCTGGCTTACCAGAGCTTGTTGCCACTGCCAGATAAGCTGTTTGGAGATCTCTGCTGTCACCAGTGCCGAGGAGGAGCCTTGGCTGTGGCTTTGCCCATCATCTTTACCTGAGAATTTTCCTTTTCTGTTCATCTGCTATTTTTATTTTAATTGCTTACGCGAAGACAACTGTGAAAACAGACTGGACATAAAACAACAGAGACAGGCACCAGTTCCTCACTTGGTGCCTAACTCTGCCGAAAGTCTCAGGTAGCTGTTTACCTGACATATCCCTCTGGACGACCCCTCAAGTAGTGTCTGCCGCTTCAGACTTCATCCCGTTCTCAGAACAGCCTGCCTGAGAAGATGCTGTTGTCATGGCCAGTTGGCCTCACTGTTGAGGTGTCAGGGCAGCCAGGATTCCCCCGAAGACTAACAACAGTGTGTTTGGTCTCAGTTCCTGAGATTCCGTCACAGCCTCAAGTGGGAGCTGGGAGACCCGGGAGGGAAGGAGAAAGGCGAGTGTTGGCGGCCACTTCTGCAATGTTGGGTTTTGTTGTTTTATCTGTAAGACACGAGGTTGCTTTCTGTGAGCCTGAGGTGGTTCATAGGCAGCCTCTGGGAGGCATATGTTAGAGGCCCAAGTGGATGGAATGGTTACAAGGGAGGAGCCGTGGTCCAGTCTTCCCCTCACCAAATAGGCCTTAAAATCAACAAACCTTGGGTGGGCAAGCTGTTCAGAAGCTACGGCCTGCAGCTGCTGGGGACATCTGTGAGTGACAAAGGACAGGTAGACTTCTGGGCCTAAGCTGTGCTCTTCATGACTCTTCATGTAGTGGGTGCTGAATATCTAGGGCACCTGTTCCTATGGTAGCTGGTGACAGACAGCTCCTCTGAGGTAGCTTTGTTCTCAAGACAGCTTTCACCCGCAGGATTCTAGGTTTGCTCTCCCTAATGACCCTGCTGCTAGTGGAATCTCCCCGTTTTTTTTTTTTATAGGTCATGCCGTGTGTTTCCTGGGGCTACAACCATCTGCCCTCAAGAGTCTTTGTTTGTTTGTTTGTTGTTTGTTTTGTTTTGTTTTCCGAGACAGGGTTTCTCTGTGTAGCTTTGGTCCCTGTCCTGGATCTTGCTCTGTAGACCAGGCTGGCCTCGAACTCACAGAGATCCACCTGGCTCTGCCTCCCGAGTGCTGGGATTAAAGGCGTGCGCCGCCGCCGCCGCCGCCCAGTTTCAAGAGCCCATTCTTACAATGCTTTCTGTGAGAGGCCACTGAATTTCCTTGACACCTTAATTCTTGTGTTTCTCCCAGGCTCATTTCAGAAAACCCTTCAAGAAGTCCCAAGGTTGATGTCTCCATCGTAGAAATTTATAATAACAACATTTTTGACCTTGTGGCCAAAGACCGTTCTACAGCGATGTCTGGGTCTAAGAGCCAGATGATGACAAGCCAGGAGGGACGTTCAGAGGTACCCAAGCTGACCTGCAGGTGAGTTGCTCATGGGACCCAGTACCCGCCTAAGATAGGCGCTTAACCTTACAGCAGTCCACTCCCAGCCGTGTGTGGAATGGAGCCAGTGCTACCAACCTATGAAGTGGGTCATGGAGTGTGCTTCGTGTGTACCACACAGATTCAGTATATTACAAGGCTAACTCTACAGAGGCAACAGGGATCTTAACCAGCTGGAATGCTGTGAGTGTCTCACAATCTATATGTCTATCAGAGAAAAAGCATCAAGATGCAATACCTCCAACATACATAGACTTTATATGTCAAAGATATCTTAATAAAGCTGTTTTAAAAACAAAGATTAAAAAGGGATGGGGGAGCTCAATGGTAGCATGTACTGACCCTGAGTTCTATATCTAATCTCATACACACACACACACACACACACACACACACACACACACACACCACACTCAGTCAAGGACAAGTGTGGTTATTTATACCTGGAAATAGCAGTATTTTACAGGATGCCATAATGAATCATTTTGGAAAAGTGAGAACCATCTTATCTGCTAAATATTCTCAGCATTACACGTTTTTCAAGGTGCATGCAGCTGCGCCAGGCTTGCTCACCATGGGATGCAAGATGCATCTGCATCGCCAGCGCAGAGCTGACTAGAGGACTCTGGCTCCCCTGTGAGGATGAGGGTCAGGTTGCCCACCCTCAGGTTCATAGCAGGAAAGGTTGCCAAGCTGTGTACAGTGCTGGAAGAGCCCACAGGGAGGCAGACAGTTAGCTGTGATGTGTTTGTAGGAAGTACTAGGAACCAGCTTTTTACTGATGGGCCCCGTCAGCACGCAGCTGTGCTAATGCAAGCCTTCATCCGCCCCTGCCACACTGGAAAGGTAAGCGTGTAGCTTAAGTTTGGTTTCATAGATTTGATTTACTGCACAGAATACTCTAAAAACTCGGAGCCATAAGGATGTAGCAAATTAAGAGAGTAGTAGGTGCTAGGTCAGGGCCTCGGAGTGTTTCAGAGTGAGCAGGGAGCGGTGTCGAAGGTCAGCTCTGCAGTTTGAGTCTCACACGAGTGTGCTACCATTGAACTAATATCCTTGGCCTTCCTCCCTTTTTAGATAAAGAGTATCGTCCAAGCTGGCCTTGAACTCACTTTGTAGACCAGGCTAGCCTTGAACTTGTGATCTCCCTCCTGTACTTCCTGAGTATTTGTGATTACAGGCCTATTTCTCTAGGCCCGCCAGTCTTCTCTGTTGAGCTTGGCATACTTAGTCCCCATGGGAGCTGTCTGTCAGCTGAGTAAGTTTAGGTTAACCTAAACTTAGGAGAGAGGAGAGAGGAGAGCTTTCCCTCCCCACATCTACCTGGGGGTGTCCTCTGACCTGTGTGGTCCTCTGCCAGGGCCGTCACCAGTGCTGTGGAGTTTGTGGGGCTCATCCACAGAGGGATACAGCTCAGAGTGCAGCACCCCACTCTGGTTCACAAGAACTCTTCCAGGTCTCACTTGATCGTCACAGCAACTCTGACCACAGCTTCCTCCGTGGGCAGCACTGGTAAGTTGACACTTGTACCCAATCAGTTCAAGGTACAGAAGTCATTCCTGGAAAACCACCATGATGTCTCTCTTGGTATCTCTCAGGACCAAGTGAGCCTCGCAGTGAGAACTGGTCATCTAGAGTTCAAGGTTGTCTAGCACATAACACAACCCCACGTGCATATGAAGACAAGGCCCACATTGTAAAAAGCCAGCAACATCTAGGGCAGCAGCTTTGGGGTCAGCCACCTGAGCCATGCAGAGCTTGATCATATGAGATTCACCCCAGCAGTTAAGACAGCCAGTTCATGACCTCACAGGCCATGCTGGGCAGCTGCTGCTCTGAGCCTCCTCCTCCTCCTACTGCAGGAGTGCAGAGCCTTGGGCATGGCAGGTCACACTGAAGGCTAGTTCTCACTCATCTGGACGGCCAGTGTAGATGGATATGCTCCATCTTGTCATAGTGATGCTTGACTTCTGCAAGGGAAGGGACTGGGAAGGGCAGCATGGTCTCTTCGCCTCACTAACAGCTCAGCTACAACTAGCCGCAGCCATCTCCAGGACTTGACTACAATAGGGCTTGGGCAGCACCTGCCTCATGATGAGCCCCAGATGTCTGCCAAGCCCTTCCCGACACACTGTGCAGTAGACTGTCCTTTGTGTAGGGAGACAACCTCGGGTTCTGTCTTCTTTTTTGACAAAAGAATGTTTTCTGTTCTGCACAACAAGGACAGCTTGATGAAGCTTGAAACATGTTTCTAAGAGGTTTGCTTGGGAACAGCACACAGCACGACGGATGACACCTCAAGATGGAGACCCCTTTGTAGAGCTGGCAAGAGCTTACTGAGCAAGGACAGTGGGATTTGTTCCCAAGAGGGCAGATAACTGTTCTTTCTGTCTGAGGTTTTAGTTCACACCACCACCAGCACTTTCCAACAACATTATTCAGTTTTGGGGGGACAGAGCAGGCACTGGCTCCACCATCCTTGGTGTAGCATGCTTTGTGTCCCCCCAGAGGGGTGAGGACTGTTACTCTCTACTTCTTAACTGTCTGGATTTACAAGTGAATGAGAAGTCAGGTCTGACGGGTGAACTTTCAGCTCTCATACTGATGTAAGGCTAGACAGACCCTGGTGACTTTTCTGTTTGCATTCTCCTTGCTCCAGCCCCACAGTCCAGCCAAGCTTCCCTCCAGAAGAAAGCAGGAGGTAACTGGTGGACTACCTCTCCCCGGGCTTTGTCTCTGCACACCGTTCCAGTGGACTCTGCAGACCGTTCTGGGCAGGTGCTGGCCAAGCTGCAGCTTGTGGACTTGGCCGGCAGTGAGTGTGCAGGTGAGCAGGGACCAGAAACCTTCCCTGGGGTGAATGTCAGCGTCAGCAGAGGGCAATACAGTGGTGGGGGTAAACTGTGAGCTGGCACGGAAGCCCACGTTAGACCCGTTACCTTCCGATGGGCCAGAAGCTGAGCTCTTCCCTCTGTGGTCTATGCCTAGAGGAACTGCTATCAGCAGTTAACCAGATGAGGAACTCATCTTAATGCCTGCCAGGCCGTGGTACCTCTCCCGGACACTGGGCAGGTTACATGGTACCTCCCAAGAACCATCTCTGCTTGCCTTGTTCCTGTCCCGAGCACACGCTCACAGGTGGCTGGTTTTCATATTCTCCAGCAGTGTCTGGGGTGACCGGTGTGGCACTGAAGGAGACCTCCTTCATCAACCGGAGTCTGGCTGCCCTCGCAGATGTCCTCGGAGCCCTGTCAGAGCGCTGTGACCACATCCCCTATCGGAACAGCAAGCTCACCCACCTGCTCCAAGATGCCATCGGTTTGTCTTCCTGAGAGGCCCCAAATCAGAGGGGACAGCGCCAAGCCTTAGGGAGCAATCCTAGCCTGGGCTTGTCTCTGCCCAAGCCACACAACCTTTGGCAAAGTTACGGCTCTGCCAGACACTCCTTCTCTCCCCCCCCCCCCCCCCACCGCCATGTTCTGTCCTCAGTGTCTTTAGGACTTTCAGTCACTACAGCTTACGCTATCCGTTAGCTATGCTGCAGATGGGCCCGGATAGCGCATTTTCCTCTTGCTCTTCCATCCGGGCTACACAGTTCCTCAGGGGACTGTTGTACTCTCTTCATTATGGCAGGCACAGTCTATGGCTGGGTCTCCAAGCTGTGGAGATAGGACTCCACTGAGGGATGAGTGGCCTTCGGTGCCTTCCAGTCCCAGGGCCTGTGCTGGCGTTTACCATTTGTTTGGAAGGTTGTGATCCCTGCTCAAAGTGCAGGCAGACTTTCTCCATGCCCGTGGTCCCTGCTCAGAGTGTGGTTAGACTTTCTCCATTCCAGTAGCTGTTTAGCACTGAGGAATGCCATTTTCATGCTTTACACCCGGCATCTTTAATTTTTTTTAAAGGCGGTGATGCAAAGTTACTGATGATTCTGTGTGTGTCCCCTGGGCAGAAGCACATGGCAGAGACTCTGCGGGCCCTAAAATTTGGGGCTCTAGCTCGGCAGGTTGAGCGACAACCATCCAGAAGGAGACCTCCCAGCTCCCAGATGCAGAAGCCAGGGTTGGGCCTGGCGGGGTCACGGACTCTTCTTTGAGATGTGCTTCTTGTCATTGCTTTAGGATGTGCGTGCTTTAGAAATAAACAGTGTTCTCTTGGCCTCGAGGAGGCTGTTTGCTCCCTGGGCCTGGGGTGAGCCTCGCCCCAAATCCCCTGAACCTAGAATGATGGGGAGCACCTTCACTCTATGAATATCTCTGACCTGGGGTCTCATAGAGTCAGTTGCTCAAAAAAACCAAGGTGATAAGGGACAGGCAGGGCAACTATCCCAGCACCAAAGGAGACTAAGCTTTGAGGCTCCCACAGTACACTGACATGGTGCTCCCTTCAGAAGTAGAACAGTGTTCTGCCTTCTACCTGCTGAGGAGGGGAGCCAGGACCTCTGGGTAGGTCTGCTCTGTTGTCCACATCACACAAGCAGCCGCCATTATCTGCACACCCCACCCAGAGGTCCTTGCCCCCTTTTCCCACTGGGCACCAGGACCTAACAGCAGGCCCCTGTGCTCTAGTCCCTGTGAACACTGCAGAGACACTCCTGGAGGGTGGCTGTCGCTGGCCACGTATGCTGCCATGGGACTAGCCACTGTGGCAAGCCGCTCTGCATTAGGGAACTAGGGACCAGAGGGACTGTGAGCGGAGGCTTTCTCTTTCTAGCCCCACAGAGGAACACAGGAAGAAGCCTGGGGACTCTACCTCAGCCCCCACCTTTCCTTGCTTGCTTCGTTGAACCCTCTTGAGTAGAGGCGTGGAGAGAGCCTGGCCTTTAATCATCCCTCCGCTCCCTAAGGGTCACGACCTCCGTCTGCAGCTCTGTACAATCTGGTGGTCAGAGACACTTGGCAGAGTTCCCCATGTCTGTCCACAGGCCCAGCGGAAGGACAGAAATAGGAATCCTTGTGGGATCCAAGTGGCTTCTCAGGGTCAGCCAATGCTCTTGCCTTCTTGTCTGTGAAGACGCGGGGGCACAGGTCCTGACCTCCATGAAGCCCCAGCTGCTGCACGCGCACTAAGGATGAGTTGAACTGGCCTCCGCTGCTCCTGGGAGTATTGAAAACCACAGTCTCTGGGCCAAGGGGACAACTGAGCACAAGGCCTTCTCCCCGAGGACTGGAAGACCCAGCTGGGCTCTCGTTGCTCCAGTCCCAAACATAATGAAAAGCAGCTGTAACAGCAGGCCGTGCTCCCGCAGGAAGGGCAGACATGCGTTTCCAGGTCCAGAGGAGGGCACACCATGACGGTGCTGAACCCGTCATTCTCCATCCTTAGCCGTGCTACCCAGCACATACCCAGCTCTGTCTGGAGCACCTCGGTTCCACAGGTGCCCTGTGGTGAAGAAGACACTGGCAAAGCCAGAGACGTAGGCCCTGCCGAGCACGGGCTCCTGCCAGGAGCCAGCTCTGTGAGCAGCAGTATAAAGGTGAAAGACGGACTGTTTTCCTTCCTTGAGGGCACTTAGGAACCCCAGGGCCAAGTGGCCTGCTTGAGACCAGGCAAGGACACAGAGGATCAGGGTGACCTCACCTGAGCTTGAGGGATAAGGATGCCAGTGAAGGGGAGGAACTACCCCTGCCCACACTCTCCAGGGACATATGTGGTAAGGGGAAACTGAGGCTTCCTGATTCCCCGAGATAGCTTTGTGTCACGGTAGTCACTGTCTATCTGAATTCTTGTTCCTGAATGTGGTGGGTTTGCATGCATGCGTGTGTGGGGGGAAGGCCTGAAACCTGCCCTGCCCCATGCCTGGCACCTACAACTGGCACAGACCTCCACTAACACTACGGTTTCTTGTTCTCAAAGATTTTTCTAATGGAAGATAGTATGCCTCTCAGTCAGGGCTAGTTGACCCCACTTTGTACCAATGGGGCACACCGGTCTTTGGAAGAGCCTGAGCCAGCCCTGGGTGCCCTCTCCTATCCACAATTCCCAATCTGCTCTATACCACACTGCCCAGGGGACAGAATTCTCAGTTCAAACAGCTCCCCTGTGGGAGTCATACCTCAGCCACCATCCCGGTTGGATGGCACAACTCCACACTCTCTGCCTGGGCTCAGGATGCCCAGGGAGGAGAGGCCGAGATGAACAAGTGCCGCCCTACCCAGCCAGCCTGGCTTTGTGCTCCACTCTGACAAACGTGGGAGTTATAAGGAGCCCAGATGTGGCCCTCACACCAGTGTTGGGCACAACGATCAAGAACTTATGACCAGCAGTGACCTACAAGTCCCCTCTTGTCCAAATAGAGGGACATCAGGCACTTCTTTAGACCCTGGGCAGAAAAAGTCCCGAGGATTCCACGGGTAGATAACCCACCACACTCCAGGTCTCCCAGAGCCCATGATAATGGCCCCTGCACCTCTTTGCCTATGGTGAGGAAGTGGAGGAGACCCCCAAACAGCCCTACACCAGTGCCTGGCAACACCATCATGGCCAGGTAGAGGGAGCCCCCATAGCCTGAGGAGGGGGTAAGGGGTTCTTTTAAAGGAAAAGGATCCTTTGCATCCAATAGTGTCTTGTTTGCATTGGCAGTGGCAGGGGTTTCTGGGTGGGACTGGGCCCCACACTGCAAGAGAGGCCTCTGGGTTTGGTGCAGCACTTAGAAGAAAGATATGGGACCAGGAACTACAGAGCTGTGATCTAGAAGCCTGGCCAGTGTCTCCACAGTGGTGCAGCCAGCTCTGGGTCGTCAGAGCTTAGGTTGGCTTTACAGGCATAGGGCTCCCTCTAATGCCTAAGTCCCACTATGACATCTTCTCTCACAGATAAGACAGGAGTCCAGCCGCTTCAGGGCTGATGTTGCCTCCTGGTTCTCTCAGACACTTAGGCCCAAGAGAGACCTAGGAGCTTACAGCCCAGGACAGGAAGAACAGGGCTCCACCCCTGCCTCTAGGGTAAGGTCAGAGCTGGCTCCGCCCCTCCTGTAGGTGAGCAGGCAAAGAAGAGGCAGCTGATATGGTGGGCAGAAAGGGTCGAGGGCTAGGGACTGCCTTGCCCAGACCGGGCCAAAGGCTGGTGATGCTGGATGCTACGAAGCCACCTTCAAGGCTGGCTGGCACAGACAGGGCTGCTGTGTGGCTCTTGCCTACGCCACAAACTCCTGCAGGGGTGAGTCTTCACCAGGCCAGTCCAGGAAGAGGTGGTTTATGAACTTCTTGCCATTGGGAGGAGCCCTGGCCTCCTGCGGCACCAGCAGCTCCAGGCAGTGCACAGCAGCCCCAGGTGTAGCCAGGTGAGGTAGTCAGAAGGTGGCGGGAAGATGGGTGCAGACACACGTCGGCCAGGCTGCGGAGGCACTGGTCACCCCTGCGGTCAGCCTCTGCCTCCCCAACCTACAGAGAGATTTAGCAGTGTGGTAGTTCTCATCCCAACTGCTGCTACAGTTCCAGGACCCCAGCTCTACCCAGATCGTTCTGATTCTGGCATGGCCAGCCTGTCCTGGACCTGATAGGCCATCCTGTTGGTGTGCTGTCTAAGTGCTCATGAGACGCCTCCCTCTAGGCTGCCTCGTCCTCTTTCCTTCACCACCCAGCATACTACAGCTCTATTTCCCAGCCCACCTTCGTCTCCCTGATATACTAGATACTAGGTGGTCCCCCAGGCTGGGCTGTGGGCTCCTGTGTGGCTCTGGTGCATTCCCGGAGTTCTTCAGAGGCTCCATGCCACAGTGTAGGACCCCTTTGGGGTCCACACTGGCCCTAGGGGTGCTGTCCCGCTGGTTGCCTTTCTGAACGTGAAGCCTCGCTGCTCTGAGTCTTTCAGGAACGGCTCTGGATATGGTCACCACACACCAGCCCTGGAAGCACCTGGGATTCCAAGGGTGGCCATCTTTCCCTTAGGCACACTTGTCCACAGACTGAGTGGGTCCCATCAGCTGAGAGCAGGCCTCCCCAGTGATGCTCAGAGTTATGCTTTTCAGCCATGGTAGGTCGTTGGGTCTGCCTGGAGGACGCTGACACACAGTGGCGGCAGGAGGGCGATGCACAGGGTGTGTTGTCCGTGGGGCTCTTGGAAGGGTACCTCCTCGTTTTAAAGTCAGCCCTCCGGAGTTGAGCCTCTAGCTGAGAGCCTTAGGGTGCTTTGGGAGGGTGCAAGCTCCTCTATTAAACAAGCTGGCTCTACTCCAGGCCTGGACTCTGCTCTGACAGCCCTCCCAGGCTCTCTCCTCCCAGTTTCTAGCTCTGCCTAACTCTCTGTGGGTCCAGTGTCACACTTGCTGGTCAACCATATCCTGGTCTCCTCTTTTTCCCAGGGGGTGTTTGGCAGGAGCCTGCATGCCAGTCCAGGAACATGGAGCCCATGTTGTCCTCGGCCTAGGTTTTATAGGGCCTCTGATTTAGTCTCTCTAGTACCTTAGAGTAGTGGGAACTCAAGGTCTTAGGCCCCTGGGGGGCTGATAACAGGCCTTTAGAACCCGCATGAGAGGTCAGTGAAAGGTGGAAGTACATGTCCAGCCACTTGAGGGCTCCACACCACCCCGGACCTGGTGTGCCACTCAGCAAGCCTGCTCACTTAGGCTCTGAGGCTGGAGCAGAGTCACTGCCAAACCCGCTCTTCCCAAGAGCCTGGCTGTACCTCCTAGGCTGCCTATAGAGGGCCTCTCCAGGGTGCAGAGGACCCAGTTTGGAAATCTAGGTGGGCAGAGGGCAGGAACCATGAGGAGACCTTACCTGGGGCATGGTCTCCGCTCTCTGGGCCCCATGTCCTGATCAGCATGATTCACACTCCTGCGAAGGGCTCTGGAGAGCTGCTGAGAAGAGGTAGAGGAAGAGAAGGATGAGGATGAGGAGAGTGAGCAGGACCGAGAAGAGAACACTGCCCATACTCACTGTTGTGGCCCATCCTGCCCTGGGCTCTTTCCTGCCGTAACTCTGAAGTAGGGATCAAATGCTCCTCCTCACAGGACTGTCTGAGATGAGGCCATCTGTATGTATGGACTGTCAGGAAGAAAGACACAGGCTGTCTGTGATTTCACACACACAGGAGCACAGAGTCTCAGATGAGCCCATGGTGTCTGGGCTCCATCTGACATGTGACATCATGTCCTCCCCAGAGTGGCTCCAGTCAGCATTAGGAGAGGCAGAGATTGCTGTTCATGGAAGCTGGGAACGGCGTCTTCTCAGTGCCCATCTATCCTGAGGCCAGGGAGCAGCCAGTGGCTCACACTTATATGATTTCATACTTGGGCCCATCTGCTGGACTGTAGCCTGTGGAGTCTGGACTCAACTTCAGAGACCAAGGCCAGCTGCCCTTTGCCTGGACAAGACTCTGAGCATGTGACTTCAGACAGTGTTAGTGACAGATCTGCCTGACCCTGAGTGGCTTTGTATGAGAGACTGGGCAGGCCCGAGTGGCCATTTTAGCCTGCACCCAGGGAGTCAGATGAGCATCGGTCAGCTCGGGCTCTTTGTTACCTGGTCCTATAGCTCACCTCTGCTGTTGGTGCAGGTGTCCTGGCTGCTGAAGCTGCTCCAGGAACTACTGGATGGCGTCTTCCCACAGAGCCTCTCGGTCCCTGTGGGCTCATCCACAGACACCTCACACTCCCCATGCTGGAAGTTGGGCTTGATGCTTGCTGTGTGGGAGCTGCCATGGCTTCTGGAGCGCAGTGAGAGGAGGGAATATCTGCTGCCCCTACTGCCCAGGTATTTCCTGCTGTGTGGGTCCAGGTCCAGCTCCAGGGGGTCACTGATGTAGGATTCCCGGTAGCCTTTCTTCTCTGTAGAAAACAACACAGGAGCTGGTGTTAGAGGAAGATGAAGTGCCTCCTGCATTCCCGGAGCCAGTGCTGGTCAGAGTCCCACAACCCGCTGATGTATCAGAGCCTAGGTATGTGCAGCAAAGCATCACCCTGTGGTGTGTGTGTGCGTGTGCGTGTGCGTGTGCGTGTGTGTGTGTGTGTGTGTGTGTGTGTATGTGTGTGTGTGTGTGTGTGTGAACCCTGCATGCCCATGGTGACAGCCAGGCAATCATGAGTGGAACTTGTCACCAGCAGCCTCCCAGCAGCCTCTTGTGATGGTTCTTCAGGCTGTGACACCTTGTCTCTTAGCCACAGATCCATGCTGAGCAGACCTGGTACCCTGTCACCCAGGGCAGAACTAGTTGAAAACAGACCGTATCTGCTGGTTCTGAGGATGCGCTGATATGGGATATGCACCCAGCATCCTCATGGGCCTTGTGGAGGCCCAAATTACTTGGGGTCTGAGAATCTGAGCTTGCTTTACCCAGCAGGACTGCATAAGGGGATGATTTGACCATGGGCATGGTTACCAGGTGTTTGGAAGGGTCTACACTTGGCTGTACGGTATGCTTTGATCTAGCAAGGGGGAGGTCTTTTGCCCCGCCCCTTGGCATTGTTATAAAAAGCCCTTTTGAATAAACATCTGGGCCATTGGGTAGTGATCCAGGTCCTCCCGAAGCTATCCTGTGTTTCTGTCTTTCTCCTCTTCCCTATCATTGTATCTAATATTTTCTTAGCCCTCTCTCCTCCTCATGGGAATCCTGAAAAGGGTGGGAGCTGGCCTCCCACAGATGGTGCCCTGAACAGGGCCATAGGTTCAGGGACCCCCCCCCCCCAGGGCCTGCCACCTAACACAGGCACAGAGATCCACTCACTCACGAATCACAAATACGTTCAGGTACACTCCTCTCTCTCTCTCTCTCTCTCTCTCTCTCTCTCTCTCTCTCTCTCTCTCCCCTGCCTTTGCAGTGGGGCTTCAGTGTGAGGCAAGGCAGGTCTCCTCTTAGTGGAGACTTGGAAAAGGAGAGAACACCGGGACTTGGGGCAGCACCAAGGCTGGCCTTCCTTCAGGTTGTGTCTCTGGCTCTTTGCAGGGCTAAGGATGTGAGGAATAAGACACTGTAGAATCATGTGCAGAGTGAAGTGAGGGATGGATCATCCCCACTTTTCATCCAAACGGGATGGGGAGGGATAGGAGATAATGACTACCAGCAATGATGAATGTAACAGAAGGTACAGCCTGGCTGCCGAGCCCAGAACAGTCAACCAGCCTCATGAGAGAGGGGTCTCAAGGATTGATTCGCTATATCTCAGACCCTGGAGAGGATGTGTGGGCATCAGCTAGGTGCCGCCCAGACCCAGGTGGACATCATACCCACCTTCTGCCTCCTCCAGCTCTTGTAACCACTGCAGCACGGGCTGCAAGCTGAGGTGGAGCTGGTGGGTCGTGCGAAGCAGTTGCAGCAGGTACCGGGAGCGCCAGGCGTAGCCCGTGTAGAACAGCAGCTTCTGTGTTGCCCACAGCCCTTCTGGCTGGATTTCCAGCTTCTTCCCCTGGACAGACAGGAAGGACAATGTGACTTTACAGTCCAGAAAACTGCCCCAGCAGCAGGAGAGAGGTACTTTATGTCAGCCATAAGCCCCGACTGAGCTCTGGCCCACTGGTGTAGAGAACTGGTGTCCCTGTAGAAACAGGTCTCTGGTCATTGTGACTCAGTACCATCTGTCCCCAGCCTTGAGAAGGTAGAAGGATCCTGGGACAACCCTCCTATATAGGACCTCCCTGTTCACAAGTCTTAAATCCAGGATTTGCAGGGAACCCTGGTCACTGTCCAGAGCCATCCTGCTCTCCAGTGGAGATAGCTTTGGGAATACGTAAGGACAGAAGCTGCAAGGTGAGTGCGTCTCTAAGGTACCATGTTCTCTCTCTTTGTTGCTGAGTGGGAGCTCAGAAATTGGTGGTGGCCAGAGCTATACATCTCTCAGAGGCTTAATACCATTGTGGCTAGGCCACCAGAAATTGCCATGAGGACCAACAGGACTGGGAGATGCCTGGAGGTGGGGAGAGGCCGTAGGGAGCTCCTGACCCCATTCTGAGAATGAAGCTGCAGGTTCTCTGTTCTTAGGGCTCCTGGGTGTTGTGGATGCTCTCCTACTTCAGACACCCACCAGAAATGTCACCTTTGAAATATGTGACCAGGGGAAGTTGAAGAGCAGCTGTGGAGCGTGGTCTGCCTCCTGAAAGACAGTAGCAGAGGAATGTGGGAACCAGAGCACAGGTTGGGACAGCAGAAGATGGAGGAGGGAAGAGAAAGGGAAGGACCCTCACCCGATAGATGTGCACTCCTTTCAGAGTGAGTCCCAGGAGGATGGAAGGGTGATCTTCCTTCTTTTCCTGAAAGGACACAGATCAGCGGTTAAGGCTCTGGCCCTGGGGCAGGTGGAAGGAGGTCCGTCCAACAGGCTAGAGGCTCCACAGACCAGGAGCTCTATTTAGGCTCCTCTTGTTGCTTTACATAAGCCCAAGCCACCCTGCAGCCCAACCAGGGCGCATGCATGGAATGCTCCCATAGATACTTGAACTTTGTGAACCTCATAGACAGAAGTTCCACCCTTGGTGCCCCCTGTGGGAGACTGTCCCCAGAGAACAGAGGCCATGCTGTGCTCAGGCAGTACAAGAGGGGCAGCCGGAGTGGGCAGGCAAAACAGCCCACTGTTAGACCAGACCAGTCATAATGGAGGCTGAGCAAGCTGGGTTTGACACCAGAGAAACCCAGCATGTCACCTCCAGGACAGCCACCAAGTAACCCTCCAACTCATCACATGCCAACCAGGTCCTAAGGAAAGTCCTGCCTACACTACCCTGGAGTCTTAGTCACACTGACAGCCATGGGGGATATACCCACCCCTGCCCTGGGTTCCTCCCACCCTCCGACACCATGGGGTCAACCTTGTACAGCCTGAAGAAGTGGACAGGAACATCCTCAAGTCGGCAGGCATCCTGGATGAAGCGTAGTGTGGCCTCCTTGGGACTCAGGCCCCGCTGTTCACGGTGCATGGCAGGCACATGCCTGAGGATGTAATCGGCTCCCCTGTTGTTGATAATCTGAGGAAAGAGCCCCCAGCTAGCTCAGACCCCAGCCTGCCCTTTCTCTGTGCTGACACCGTCTACCACCTTTGGAGTCAGAACCAACTTCCTAGCTAGAGCCCATGTTCAGCAGAGTGAGTTGGGCCTTTTGCCTTAGCCTCAATCCAAAGGTGAGGATGCGATGCCCCTAAATCTTTGGTCCTGATCCTCTCTCTTATGTCACCCAGGTGCCCAAAGGACCACAGAAACAGCCCTCCTTAGAGGTTTGTGGAACTTATTTTACCCCAAAAGCCACGGCTCTTGGGAAGACTCTCCAATGAGGAAACCATGGCTGAAATCAAAGGGTTGAGGTTCCAATGAGGGACAGAAGTGTGTGTGGGCTGAGGGGAAGCTTTCAGCAAGGCTGCCTGGCATTGGAGACAGCTCTGCAAGGCAGATAGGTGAGGCCTAAGGCACAGAGGATGGAAAAGGAGAGGGCTGGGGGTGGGGCAATGGGAGAGAATGTGGGCGGGGTCCACAGTCCCCAGAACCATGCCCAGCATGGCAGCCAAGCTAGGATTTTACACACAAAGAAGAAGTACCCCTTGCTCAAGACCTCTCCTTCTAGGATGTAGGTGAGAGGAAACTGAGGCACAGAGAGGCCTAGGTCCTTGGGTTTGTTTGTTTTCACAGGGTCTGGGTGGGTGACACTCTGCGGCTGTTGAGCCGGCTGATGTACGCAGGACTAAGGCAGAGCCTGCTCTGGCCATGGTTCCTACACCACGTTGCCAGCCTGTGCAGTGTTATTGTTGGATAGGTGAGCATCCTTGAACTTGGGCCCCTCTGTTTCCATGCCCTTGCCCCTCCCTAGCCTCTCATCCTCCCCTTATTCATAGATTCCAGAGTTTTCTCTTGGTAGCAGACATCACCCCCCCCCCCCATCCCCACCCCGTCCCAAGGAGGGCACCACACAGCCTTGCTTACCCACTGTGGGAAGTAGGCGTGTGGCTCGAAGTACTTGCCCACATGGACCGACTCCTGGTGGTTTCCCAGGTCAGCCTGTAACCCACAGGCAGCCAGCAGAAAGTAGGCCTGCTCCCTGTGCATGCACCTGGACCTCAGTACCTGCTCCTTCAGGTGGCAGTAGTAGAGGTGCCGGGCCGTCTTGTCGCTGGAAGGCAGCGGGGCAGAGGGCTCAGGAAGAGTGGATCCCCCCATTGCGGCCAGGACTGCACCCCCTGCCCTTCCCCCCTGCCCTTCCCAGGCCTGGCTTCCTGGTCCGCAGGCCTCTGAGGACGGTTGGTGGCCACTTCCTAGTCTGTCCATACACGTGGGCATCTCTTGTTACAGGGCCCTTAGTGAGACAAGGATGAAGTCAAGGGCTTGAAGCAGGGACAGGGTCTGTCCCTATGGGTGTAGCCCTCCGGCAGCTGGGGTCCAGGAACAAGTGGGGCCATTTGAGAGGGCTCCTTAGTAAGGGCACAGGGGCAAACCCATGCCACAGACTTGCCTCCCAGTCAGCCAGTCTGTCAGTAACATTGGCTAACTCAAAGCAGTATATACCTCCTGAGAACCTCTCCTGCATCTGCTAATATAGCAAACAGCCTGGCTGCTCACCACAGTACAGGCCTCCATCGTGTTTTTCCCTGCTGAGATGTCTCTAGAACTTTCCACAAAGCCATGCATTCTCACTCTCTAGAACATTCTTCAGCTGGCTACACATGCCCTCATTCCCTAGAGCCTTCCATAGTCACGTACCTCGGACTCCAGAGCCCTCCACACCCTCATTCACCCTTTCTGGTGCCAGCACCAGATCTGCACTTGCCAAAGGGCATCCTAAGGACACCCCAAGCCCCACTGGTAACTTTCCAGAGTTCGGCTTGGAGAGTATCTAGTTCTTTGATGGTCCCTAAAGAGTTCGCTGTTTCCTGTCATCAGGTACCGAGGCAGCCCATCGATCGGAAAGCAAGAGCCTTCCGGGTCTGCACTCGCCCTTCCCAGGAACCTCCCTGCCCAAGCGGACCTGGGGAAACCTGGCGGGAAACACAGCTCCTATTTAAAGCTCAACTCTGAGAGTCACCTGCAGCCACCAGATGGAGACACGTGCCTCAGCGAGCAGAGATCGCATCCTTGTGATGGGACCTCTCTTTTTCCCCTAAGCATGCTGGCATTTGCCCGTCTTGCAGTTACCTGATCGCCCTCCCGTTTTCCACATAGAACTGCACTCTGAAGAAGGCGATGAAGGGCGCCCTGGATACCTTATCCCTCTGTCAGAAGAGTAAAGGAAAAAGCAGGAGCCTAGAAAGGAGCCCCGGTGAGGCATGCGTGGGGTCGGGGAGGCTTCCACAGGCCTGCCTGGGGACATCTCACACTTGAGTCTTAGTGGTTGTGACAGTTCATTATATTGTTTTGTCTTATTTTTTCTTTAAAGGGGAAAACCCAAGTGGGATGTCGTCAAAGGCAGTTGCAAGCATCACACTGAGGGCACGGGACTGGTGATCCACCCACCCTCTTAGGATGTAAGTGGCAGGCCTTGGGACAGTGCAAGTACGCCAGAGGACAACTCTTGACAAACAGGTGACCATGGCAGTGACAAAGAGTGGGCCTGACCCAGCACCTGCCCATCCCAAACCCAGGAAAACCTCCTAGTCCCTGGCCACAGTGATGGCCCAGCACCTGCCCATCCCAAACCCAGGAAAACCTCCTAGTCCCTGGCCACAGTGATGGCCCAGCACCTGCCCATCCCAAACCCAGGAGAGCCTCCTAGTCCCTGGCCACAGTGACGGCCCTGGCTCTTTCCTCTGTCCTGTGCTTACTTTGTGCGTTTCTGTCTTCCAGTCCCGAGAGAAGTATTTACTGAGTTTTCGCTTCAAATCCAGGAACACATACTCATTGTCTGGAAAAGAGAAGTCCAGGGCAGAGAAGACACTCTCATTCTTCCCAGGAATCCCATCAGGCAAGAGCCGAGCCCCGCTGGAGCAAGTCCGTCTGTTGACGTAGAGCTTTGCACCCAGCTGGACTGACACAGCTGCCTCAGAGGTTAAGCACAAGATACTGTGGGTAAGACATGACCGTCTCAGACTGTGGCTATGGCGAGCATCTTCCCAGGGCACGGGCTGGTTCTCACTGTGGGGAGAGCATGCTGACCATGTCTGCAGACCTAATCTGCAGGGCTTCCTGTGACCTGTCACCGAAACTGACCAGTGTCAGTGACCCATGCCATCCTTGCTAGCGGGGCTGCTCTGAGAAGGGGGTTCTTGGAGATGCTTTTTGCTAAAGCAAGCTTTCCTATGCTTCTGGAGAAGACCGTGGTCCCTTTCCTGTCTAAGCTGGAAAAGCATAAACAGGTGCCCTGGAGAAGAATGTAGAGCCCTGGGGGCCTCCCTTTGTCATTCTCACAGACTTGGTACCCAGAACTGAGGTGACTGTCCCTAGAGTAGACTCAAGAGAGAAGGGACCATCTGGGACGCACCGAGAAGCAGGTGCCCTGGCATTGTGGATCTGGTGAGGGATACACGATCAGGTCCAGAGTCAGTTTGCCATTATCAGGCTAGCCACATTTGGTGGTCATCCACTACCACATCCCAGCTCAGCGACTGCCTGGCAGACACCTGGCTGGGGCTGGTAGAGCCAAAGGCCAGCAGGACACCTGATCCACGGTCCTGGTACTGGGGGCAACAGCTACCCACATCGACAGGAGGCTGGGGGATTAGAAAATGTACAGACAGCAACCACAGGGCAAGACAAAAGAGAGCGCCCACCCTGGAAAGCTGCCTTTCAGAACAAGGGGACTACCAGTTTTTGCCCAGCCAGCCTTTCCCACATCCAGAAAGGCAGAGTTCTGAGTGAATTCTCAGACTCACCGGCAATCAGCACTGTTCCTGCTGTGGGACTAACCCTGCACCCTCCCATGCCCCCGCCCTGGGGCCTCAGTGGGTCTAGTTGGAGATGAGGCTTCATGAAGAAGTCAAGCTGTAGGGAGCTTGCCAGGGGAATCCAAAGGACAAGCACCCTTCCAAACTTGGACTCAGACAGGGAAAGACAGACACAGAGAGACAATGGGGAGGCACAGGGAGGAGGCTGCCACTGGCCGCAGAGAGGCCGGCCACAAAGCATCCGGCTGTTATCACATTGACCTCAGACTTCCAGTTCCCAAGACCTCGGGTCACAGATGTATGTGGCGGGCCCATTAGAACAGTGTCCATCCACCGCCTGGGGGTTCTCCGGAAGTGTCAGGCCTGACTCCATGCCCTTCCCGTGTCCTCAGGGTCCAACCACTCTAGCTCCAAGGACCCAGGACTCTGACCAGATAACTCTCTTATCTGGTCCGCCTGACCTTCCCGTCTTCAAGAAGCAAACTCCTCGGTGTGAAGGAGTTCTCCCTCGGGCAGGAGAAAGTGCTGGAAGATGGGTCAGGGTTGAGAAGAAAGGAACTATCCACCGGGAAAAGACACTGGATGTCACCAGGAGCCAGAGGATGGTTGGCTATACACTGTATGGTGTGGACTACCAACCTGGAAAAGAGGCAGAAGATGGACCAGAGCTTCCAGGGTCGGGAGAGGGATGGGAAGACGGAGCCCAGGAGCTGGCACGGTGACACTGCCAGGCGGTACGGTGGGTTTTCTCAAACCCAGGGGCGAGCCTCATGTTGACCACGGACTCTAGGTGACGCTGCTGGGTCCCTGTAAGCTCAGGGACTGTGAAAAATCTCCTGTCCTCTAGAGGATGTGGTTAGGCTAAGTGGAGGAACATGGGGTGTTTCATATTTTCTGTTCAGTTTTGCTATGAAGCTAAAGGTTTTTCTAAAAAAACAGAGTCCTAGGGCTGGGGATGTAGGTTCTTTTGGTAGAGTTCTAGCCTCTCTTATGTAAGGCCCTCAGTTCAATCCCTGGAACTGCCAAAATACAATCTTGTCTGCCTCCACATGACTTGAGCAGTGTGGACAGTGGTCCCCAGGGGGACTCTGGCCCAGAGGTCCATGATTCAGCGAAGGAAAAGCCTGCAGCTTCCTCCCACTTCCAATATCCCAGCATCAGGAGAGGCCTGGATAAACCTCTTTAAATCAGAGCCAGTTGCTAGGGCAGCCCCATGAGGTCATTGGGGATTCTACATAGCCCAGGCAAGCAGGGTCTGCTACACACCCAGGGCTGTATCCCTGTGGGTGAACTGTTTCTCTTACAGGTCCCTTGGACATGGCATGCTGAGTACAGGCTCTATATACAGCCTGACCCAGGAATGTGGCCACATTCCAGATTTAATAAAATGTCTAGCTGGCTGCTTGCTGTGACCTGGGGCCCCTGTGGAGGGGAAAGAGCTGGGCCCTGTAGCCAGCAGCTCCCCCAAGGCAAGGGCTGACCCTGCAGTCAACATCACCCTGAAGCCAAGATAGAAACCGGGATGCATCATCACCCTTGACAGCTGCCCTCCTGGGTAGAGGCACTGTGGGGCCCTCCATAGAACTCCAGGAGGTCTCGCGAATTCTTTAGCATGCTTAGGTCCTGAAATGAGTAGCCTGGGATGGGCAGGCTGAGAAAGAGAAAGTATCCAGTGGGCCAGGGAAGAGGAGATGAGCAGGAGGATGACACAGGAGTAGACACCGGGGGTGGCCAGATGGAGACCTCATTCATGCAGGGAGGTTGCCTGGCTATGGACCTGTGGAATTTTTATCCTGAGAAGATGCCCCCAGACTAGCCTCAGGTGCAGTAAGAGAAATCCTTGTAGCAACACTAGGGGAGACAGAGCTTCCTGAGACCAGCACGTGTCTCAGGATCAACACTGACATTGAAATCCACTCCACATAGGAACGGTAGTTAGTGTGCTGAGCATGGGTGTGTCTATGTGGTTAGGCCACCTGTCGGATAGCCCTTCCTGCTTGGATAGATTTCATCCAGGCTCCTGAAAACTTACAGAGCCTAAGTAGGCCCGGAAGGGTGGACAGCTGCCACCCACAACTTTTGGGCTCTAGCTGCAGCATTGGTATCCCGCCTGTAGACTCCAGACTTATTAGTCTCAGTCTCCTGAGCTCTATCACCTCCCTCTGACCCTCCTCACCTCATATAAATAAATGTTTCTCCTGACTGCATCTCTGTAGAACCCTGTGCAAACCGACTTATCTTCAGGAGGGGTGTATTGCTATAGGAAAGAGAAGGAACCGGCTGTATTCCCTGGTTCCAACTACAGGTTCCCCAAGCCAAACGGGATAATACCCACCCCAGAAGCCTTCCCAATCTCTCCACAGTGAGAATCACCCTCTTAGCCTGAGGCATGTGTACCTGGGCACAAAGTGAAGGCCTATTGACTGGGTAAAGTGTCCAGCTCTCCTCCCTTCTCCTCTTAACCTTGATACTTAATATGAAGGGAAAGACTGCTCAAAGCCAGTTCCAAGTAGACGGAGAAGCCAGACATAAGCCTGTCTTCAGAGGACCAAGTAGAATGACACGACTCTTTCTCCCCCGAGGCATATCACCACAAATTCCAGGATGCCTTCAATCTCATGATTCTCCTGCCCTGGGCCCCAGGTCCTGGGATCACATGCCTCATCACCATGCCTAGCCACCCTTTGCTGTTTGCTACATACATATCTCAGTCTCAAATGTGTGCCCAAATTATAGATCATGAAATAACTAAAGCAAGGAATTCCAGGTCATGCTAATAAGAGTGCAGGTCTCCATAGCAAGGGCTCTGGGGACATGTTAGAGGGGTGTCTATCAGTTCAGAACTTGACTGGAAGGAGTGGCATGCTCAGCTCAGCTGGCAGCCTTCTGCTCTCTTCAGGTCCCCAAGTGAGCCCAGAGCCTGTCACCCTTGTTCAGAGAGAATCCTTAGTTCAGCTCAGAGGAAGGGAACCCCAAGTTCTTTCCTTGCCCATGTCCTGACCACTTGTTCCCTGAGTTGGTGAGACATTTGGCATGGAAGGAGATAGATGGTAAGGCTGATTAGCAAGAGTTGAACCCCTCCCATGAGGAATGTTCCCTGCTGGGAGAAGGCACAGTCTGAGCAAACATTCACTCCCAGTCCCAGCAAGCCCCACTGTGTGCTCCCTGGCTTCCTCAGCTGGGGCTACTCCACCTTGCAGGCCCTTCCAGGCCCCTCAACTAGAATAGACCTGGACTTAACAACCCATGGCCCCCTGCGACTGCTCCCTGATTACCCAAGTCCATTTCCTAGGTGTGGCTGCCCAGCTGTCAAAGTCCTGATGTGTGGACAGCTCCTGGTAATGACGTTGAACCTCAGCTAAGAAGACAAAGGTCATAGAACACATGCCCTGGTCTTGGTCCTACCATGGGGCTTTGGCCTTGCATACTAGATACCAGTTACCTGCAGCTTGGCATCACATGATCCCAGCCTAATGAACCCTTGGCTTTAAAGTGAATCTCCAGGGAAACTGATTTCTGGGGTTCTCAGGGAGAAGCGCCCCACCTCTCCCAGGCAGTGCCCCACTGACTAGCACAGGGCTACCCACCGCAGTTGCTGGAGTCTCCTTCTGTGGGGACTCTACCTCGCACTCCCTAGGGCTTCGCCCTCATCACTTCACCATTCCACCTGCTGTTCTAGGCTCTTCAGGGCCCAAGAGAAGCAGGCCTCAGGGACCTGCAGACAGGACATAGGACAAGTCCCAGCTGCCTTCTCTAGAGCAGCACCCTGGAAAGGCCTTTAGACCAAGGATCATCTCCCCTAAGAGGAGCTTCACACCCAGTGGCCGTCACATCCCACGGGAAAGGGAGCTTTGCGACTTTTCTGCACCAGTAAAAATAGCAGTGTCGCTGGGCGGTGGTGGCGCACACCTTTAATCCCAGCACTTGGGAGACAGAGTCAGGCAGATCTCTGTGAGTTCAAGGCCAGCCTGGTCTACAAAGCGAGTTCCAGGAAAGGCGCAAAGCTACACAGAGAAACCCTGTCTCGAAAAACCAAAAATAAAATAAAATAAAATAAAATAAAATAGCAGTGTCAGTGCAGAGACTGGAATTCAGAGACCAGGACACAGCAGGCAGATCTGCATAGAGCTGCTTCCACAGAGAGTGTGATGTAGTCAGGGGATGCCGCCCCCTCCTCAGACACGCCACTTCCATACTGCCTTCCATGGCCAGCTACTGGCCAGGCCTGCCCAAGCTCCCCACTTTCTCCTGTCCCTTCTCTGCTGGGTTGGAGCTCCTTGGTCTCCTGTTCAACTTGGTTCTTATATTCATGAGCATGTAAGTGTACAGGTGTGCGGGGTGAGCACATGCGTAAGCATGAGTGAATGTGCCTGTGTGTTGATGTATGGACATGCACTATGTGCATAATTATACACATATGTTCAGCAGGCAAGTATGGGCATGTGTGTTTGAATGTGTATGGTAACTGCGTGTGAATGAATGTGTGAGGGAGTCCGTGGTTGAACTGTATGTGTATGAGAATATATGGCATGTTGTATGCATATAGTGTGTGATGAGTGCTTGTGTTATGTGTGTGGTCTATATTTATGTGCACATTTGTGATGCGTGAGTGTGTGTGTGTGTGTGTGTGTGTGTATACATATATGCTCTATACTTGTGTGAGTAGTATATACATTTAGTGGTGTATGTGTACAAGTATTTGTGCGTGTGTGTACATAATCTGGACATGATGGCCCAGCTGCCTGTTAGCCTTATTGGTGTATCTGTGGGCAGGGTCTGTGGCAAGGCAGATACACCCGAATTCCAAGGATCCCCTTTTCTTGCCCCTGGGCAGCCTGTGCTGGGGTTGCCAAGCAACACTTACTTCTGATTATGCTGAGGCCAAAAAAGTGGGCTTCTCGAATATGTGCCATGTCACACACCTGCTGGAAGAGCTCTTGTCCTGTGGCTGTGACCTGGAATAGAGGAAGGGCTTAAGACACATGCAGAACTTCCCCGTAAGACCCCTGGATGGCAGGGGTACTGGGTCAGAGGGGAGCAGTGGCATCTGCTCAGGCAGGGGATGGAGCCAGGGACCATGGCCTGGGCCCCTCAGTTGTTTCCAAAGCGCAAATTTAAACATTGCTCCCCAAAAGAACAGCCTTGGGAGTGGACCTTGTCATAGCATTTGCTGGCTTCCAGGTAGAAGTGAGGCCCCTTCATGCAGCTAGCACACCCCTGTCCCTGGGGCTGAAGAGGGATGGCCTGGATCGCAGGGTGGTGGCGCACACCTTTAATCCCAGCACTCGGGAGGCAGAGCCAGGCGGATCTCTGTGAGTTCCAGGCCAGCCTGGGCTACCAAGTGAGTCCCAGGAAAGGCGCAAAGCTACACAGAGAAACCCTGTCTCGAAAAACCAAAAAAAAAAAAAAAAAAAAGAGTGAAGGACAGCTAGGTAATAAACCACGTGGTCTAGGGAGGAGGATGTGCCGTGACAGCTGCATCCTTCCTGACAGTGGAGATGACTCAGAGTGCAGACTCAAGAAGGCAGCAGCTAGAGATCTGTCAGAGTGTGGCAGGGACAAAGGGCAAGAGGATGGAAAGTCACACGCAGAACCCTCTGGGGCCACCATGTCCTCTCATATGTGGTCACCATCCTGGAGAATGGGAGACACAGGGTACTTAGAGGTCGGGCGGGTACCACATAATAAACTCAGCCTGCGGAAGCTTCAGACACCATGAGGGACCAGGAAGCCCGTGACACTGGATACGGAGTGGGCACCAAGCAGCCCAGTACCCTGTTAGATGTTAGACTCCAGGTGAATGGTCAGGTTGGTGCTTACAATGCTACAGTGGGTACTTCATCATGAAGTGGAGGTCCCATGCGCTCTTGTACCTGGAGCTTCTGATACACGCCCCTGCTGTCACTGTTCCCTCTAGACACACAGCCTCCGTGGTCCACCCCACAACTCTCTGGACACACGGCTCCTGCTGTCCCCCACTCCTCAAGATGCAAAGTCTCCATGGCCTGGCCTGGTCCTGATGGACCCATGCATGGCCCCTGCTCTCCCTGCTTGTCCTGCCCGTCCCTCTGGATGCAGAACCCCCGCTGCTTCTCCACTTACCTCCACTGACAGCCGCAGTTGTTCCCAGGTGGGCAGTATCACTAGGATGTCCCTGAGCTCTGAGCTCATCTCAGAGTCTCAGGTATTGGTTTCCGTGGGGGAAGTACACAAGGGCTCTCTCAGAACCCGGCTTTGTCCACTGCTTCCCGCAGAAGACAGTGAGCTAGGGACTGGACGGTCCTGAGCCTCCCACGCGGCGGCACCAGTATGCCAGTTCTCCCATGTCCTCCCGGGTCGTCAGTGCAGGGGGGTGTTGTCACCTCCTGTGTGCAGCCGCACTGTCTCTGCTGACCCTGTCCAGACACTGTCTGGGGAAGACTGGGAACCCAGTGGCTGAGCAGGGACAAAGGTCGGGGCTGTCATTCTGGGTGTGTGGAGACTGCAGGAATGCAGACAAGCAATGGCACCACTCCCAGGCAGGATGCAAGGCCGGGAGTACTGTGTGCCCCGGCAGGAGGTGATGGGGCCCTGACTCCCATGAGATGCCCCTTCAGCTCCTCAGAGGATGGGCAGGACCATACACAGGCCAGAACCGTAGCATCCTTTTCCTGGGCAGCAAGTGGTGAAGGCCAAGAAGTAGGCCATGCTGCTCACAGTGAATGGACACTAAGAAGTCACAGCTGTGTGACTGAGCAAGACATCTGCCACCAGCCAGGACGGGCAGGCACCTGGGAATACTAAGGATCAGCACTCAGCAGGGGGAGGTCATTCAGGTATAGAGGTCTTTCCTGTCCTGCTTGGTTGGGGACAGCATTAAAGAAGTCCTGCTTCAGAATCCAAGAGAAACAGTTTGACACACAGCAGGCTCTGAACAGGCAGGGTCCAGGCCAGGAACTTAGAGTCTAGCTGGGAGAGCCTGGCACAGCTCAGGGGTAGCTCAGACCCTGCTGCCAACCCTCTCCGCTCAGGCTGAGGACTTACTCCCTGCTACACCATGGATGCTTGTGGCCAGCTCTCTTCCCCATCAGGTAAAGTCAATGTCCATCACACTGAGATAATGGAAAACATCCCCCAGAACACAGATCCAGGCTCTCAACACTATACCACGATTCCACTGTGTTCCCAGAACCTGTTCCCTGTCTGAACCCTGAAGGCAGGCATCACTTCCAATACGGCAGTGAAATACAGCTGGTTACTCTTCCAACTGTGCAGCCAGGAGGGGACCATTGGCAGCAACCCCACCACATGCAGCACCCAGGGGTCCTGAGAGGGCAGCAGGAGTCATCCCGGAGCCAGAGTCGGATGCAGTGGCCAGTACTGGGCCAGGCAGAGTGCTGGTCTGCAGTCAGGGGCCCTGTGGCTGATGCACTACAGGGTAACACTTGGCAAGCGGGTCACACACATCTCCAGATTCATGTTACTACCGATACATGTGACAGATTTTCTAAAACAAGTAGTCTCTGGTGGCTCATAACCCAGGACTCACAGGCTATCCAGTACCAAGGGCCATAGCAGCAGCATGCCTGGGAAGTGACAGATTCACAGAGAATGCATCAGTTCCTGAAGATGCCCCGAAGCTCCCAGCCAGGCAGCTGTAATGCTCCACGGTGACTGAGCCTAGCCAACCCCGGTTACCCTGTACAACAACACCCCGAGGACCACAGGCAGGGACCGTGGTCCTCTGGCTCCACAAAAGGCGACAGCTTTGTGTCTTGATGAAACAGAAATGTGACTAGGCCCCAAGTGGGCACCGCTCCTCAGCACCACCTCTCAGTCTCTGCGGGGATCTGGTTCCAAGCCCCAGGAAGCAAAGATCCACAGATGCTCAGGTCCATTACACGAAATCATAGCTTGTCTGTGATGTCCCTGCTCCTGTGAGCTCCTCTGGGTGGCTGGTAACCAAAGTACACACTATGAACATACTTGTGCTGCACGTTTGGGGGAATAGTGAGGAAAAGGACATGTGCCCAGGGCATGTAGTATTTTTCTTCAAATATTTTGCATGTGCATATGTGTGTATATGTGGGGGTGGTGCATATATTGATGTGGGTATATGGGGGTGGAGCCTGGCCTGTGTGTGTGTGTGTGTGTGTGTGTGTGTGTGTGTGTGTGCGCGTGTGTGTGTGTGTGTGTGTGTGTGTATGTGTGTGTGTGTGTGTGTATGTGTGTGTATGTGCATGTGTGTGGGAAAGTTAGAGCTTGGCATTGGCTGTCCTCCATCACTCTCCACCTCGTTTTGTGAGACAAGGTCTCTTCACTGAACCCAGACCTCTGAGATTCAGCTAGACTGGTTGGCGAGCAAGCTCCAGGAATCCTCGTGTCCCTGTCCCCAACCCTGGTGCTGGGATAACGGGCATGGGTTGCGCCTGGCTTTTTATATACATTCTGGGTGATCAGACTCAAGTCCTTGTGTTTGAGTATCAAGCACTTTACTGACGGAACCGTCTCCTCCGCTCCACTTAAATATCTGTTACTGGAATTTGGTCGGATCTGCAGTTGTAACACCTAGACATGTGGGTGCCAACCCCATGTGACATATTCTGGTTTAGGCTGATCAAGGTGGAGGCACTGGGCTGACTCAGGCTGTGACTTCACACTGCATAGGAGCACAAGGAAGAAACGAAGCTACTTGCTCAGCTTCTCTCAGGACCCCGGTTCTCTTCAGCCCAGTCCTCCCTTCTCCTGGGCACTTGTCTTCTCTCTTCTACCACTAGAGGAGCCTGCCGAGAATGTTCCAGAACCAAAGCTTTGCGGAGATCGACACGTAAAAAAGACAGTCTTCAGAGCCAAAGCAGGAGGAACCTTCAGCAATAAAGAGGAACAGAGCACTAACAAGGTGAAATCGGAAACTGGGGTGCTGCCTGCTGATTCTACCTACGAGAAGTCCAGGCAAGGTGAGGTGCCTGGATGGGTGTGCAACTGCCTGTGGAGGGGGCTGAGGTGGGCAGGCTCAGTTTGGAGTTACCCACGCTGTATCAGACGGTGGTAAAACTCCCAAACTTACTAAGATTTGTGAAATTGTTTGTTTTAAAGGAGAGCAATGTTACAGCATGTAAATTATACCTCATAAAGTGATCGAAACCCTTGATAAGCTGTAAAACAGGAGACTGACATAGCCTGACCCCACATGGGCCTTTGTGCTTGCATGCACATGTGTCTGTATGTGAATGCCCAGAGCGAGCATACACTAATTGGGAATGTACATACCTACACACTGGTCCTCTCTAGCCTCTTGGTAGGAGACCCTGAAGAGCTCAGACAGGTTCACCCAGTAGAAAAAGTGGCTCTCATGAAGGGTCTGAGCATAGTCATCCAAGGGAAGAGCATCCATAGGGGTCATTCTGTGTCGATGCCACAGTGCGTGCGTTTCATCTCCCTGTCACCTCTCAGCTGTAGTCACGTCGCAGAGCCTGATGCCCAAGGGAGAGGGGGCTTCCTCAGACTCAAGCCTGCCATCCCCCAAGCATGGGCAACCCTTCTCTTCCTAAATGCCTTTAGTGGTAGGTGCTGGGTCAAGACATAGACTGGGTTTGGGATGGCTCATGAGGTCTGTGGGACAGGAGTATGGAATGAGTTGACTTGTGTGTGGGGCACAACACAGGGGACCCATGGGTGGCATGGGAGTCTCTGGAGATCCTGCCCCACTGCCTCTTTGGTCGCTCCCCTAGAGATTATGCTACTGGGCCATGCTCTCTAGCAGGGGGCAGAGGTGTTTGAAGCAGGAACCTTTCAAAGTTCTATCCAGGAGTGTATCACCCTGGCTACTTTTGAACTGTCCATCAAAACACAGGTATAGAGGGCCAGCTTAGGGGCATGAGTGCTAGCATCTAGACAGGCTCTGCATGTTACTTAGCTTCCAGTGTCTCCATGGGAAGTTCCTTCCCTCCATTCCCAGTGCACTCTGATAGTCCCACCAGTCCTTCAAGTGATGGAGAAAGACCTCATGCAGGGAAAGCTCTGGCTCAGAGCCGGGGCAGGAAAGGTTAGGTCTACCCTGTTACTGGGCTCAGGACTGCTTGAGCCCTGGAGCCTGCAACACCACCTCCTGTCACTGTTGCCAGGTCTCCTGGTTTGGACACCAAGGATCCTGGGATGCACCAGGTCAGTTCTGTGTACCATTCCCCAATGTGGCTGGCTTCCTAATCACTTGTAAAGAAGCCAGAGCTGGGGGAAGAATGCAGGGTGGGAAGCATGGAGCAGCTCATTCCAGCTTGGCCACCGGGGTGCCCTCCCTCAGTGCCCTCCTCAGCTCTGGACTTTACTCTGTCAGCTCAGAGAGCAGATTCTTAGCGTTCTCTGCATCCAGTTATGAGTGTAAACATTGCTTGCCTTGAGCCACAGAGCACTGCAAATAGTAGGAATGACACACCGTGAGCCCGCTCCTCTTACAGCTGCTTGACTCTGATGGCCAGAGGGGAGAGCTGCAGGAGCTTGCAGACAGACAGATCTCTCCGAGGGACTCCATTTGCCGCCTGCAAGGCACATGCTTCCAACTCTGTCAGACCTGAGTTTTCAGACAAGTTATGTTGAATAGTGTGGCCGTCGACCATTCTTTCAAATACACATGTTGCCTAAACAGATATCCACCTGTCCACAGTGTCCCACTTACAGAAGGCTGCCTACTATTCCCTCTGCTCTTCATCCTCGGAATTTGGGGTTATAGTTTAGGAGAAAGGTATATTTTATACAGTAAACACATTTGGGGCCACGGCTGGCTAGCTCCAGGGTTGGGGGGTAGGGATAGGAGGTTTCCAGCCTAAAGGCTGGTGCTGCTTGGGGACTTGAGGTGGGCTCCTTTGCCTGGCAGAGGATGCTGGGGTCTCTAGGTCTCATGCATTTATCCCTCAGCTGTAGACATGAGGGACTCAGTTTGGGCCCCAGTCCGAGACACAGTCATTTGTGGGCCCTGATGTTGCTTTTAGAAAAATTCCTTCTGTGTCACACATTCAGGTTCCTCCTGATGACTAGTCTTAGGCAGGGAGCTGGGGAGGTATCCTCTGGAGCATGGGTATGCTTAGCAGGTCTACCAGGTATACTGACTGGCATCAGCTCTGCTGGGCAGACTTCTGCTCATGTGTTGTGACGATGTCCCTAAGCCTTCCTCCAGGGAGAGAAGATGTCTTTAGGGGAAAGCAGTTCAGGATCACTGAAAGCAGCTTAGCCTCCCAGAAGAGCCTGAAGCCCTTGGCAGAGATGCAAGAGGCTAGTGGCAAGAGACACACACCACTGGGGGTTATAATCATGTTGGTCTTTAGCCAATCACCCTCATGAAAGTCCTCTGGGTTCTCTGCTTTCTCTCCCCAGCCTGGGTAAGCACATTCTGCTGTTTACTTTCCAAGCACATCCCACACCCCCAGCACGCACTTGGCCTCTCATTACATCACACACAATTTAATTATGTACTTGTCTTCCCCCCCTTGTTCAGCACCGAGAGCCTCACAGCTGGGAGATGTTCTGCAGTGCCAACCCCATCTCTTGAGTATGGTGTTCACCTTATCGCTCATTGTACACTGGTGTGCACTCACCACTGTGGGGGCCCACCCCAGCAGCAGGCAGAAACACTCTACATCAAGGGACTTAATCCTGGGCCACTATAAATTGTGCCATTAGATTGTTTGGCCATTTTTACCTCTTAAAATAATCCCACCTATGATCTCAGGTGATCTGTCCAAGTAAAACCTGACAAGCAGGTATGGTAGTGCATGCCTAGCACCCCAGCTCTTTGGAAGCAGATGCAAGAAGATTGTAAGTTCAGAAGTCAGCCTGAACAACAGTGTGAGACCCTGCATCGAGGGAGGGAGGGAGGGAGAGAGAGAGAGAGAGAGAGAGAGAGAGAGAGAGAGACAGAGAGAGAGACAGAGAGAGAGAGACAGAGACACAGAGAGACAGAGACACAGAGAGACAGAGAGACAGACACAGAGAGAGACAGAGATGAGAGAGAGACAGAGACAGAGAGGGGAAAAAAGAAAATGTATTCCATGCCATTAGCATCCAAAGTCTGAAGCCCTGGCTGGGGACTGAGGGTCTTCTCTGTGGCACAGACTGAAAGAGGTAAGACAGCAAAGAGTGGGGCTGGGGATTTAGCTCAGTGGTAGAGCGCTTGCCTAGCAAGTGCAAGGCCCTGGGTTCGATCCTCAGCTCCGGGGGTGGGGGTGTGGGGAGACAGCAATGAGTTCACACTTCAGGATGGCTACTCCTCCCCCCCTGGGTTTGGCTAGTCCCTCATTATATCATCTGCCAAGCTTGCTGCTGTCCTGCTGCCCTGCTGCTCCTGCCCTGTTGCTATGGGGACCTTACATTCCTAGCCAAAGGTTCCAGGGCAGAGCCCAGCCTGGGAAGGGACCTGTGAAAGCTTCAGGATGTAGAAAGGAACACTTCCCCCAAAACAAAGGAGGTGAGAGAGCCTTGCCAACATGTGGATTTCACTTCCTGGTTGGACTCAGGCTGGCATGAAGGACGTCTGATGTCACAGCCTTGGAACTTTCTGTTTCTGAGCAGTATGCACCCAGGAGTGTCAACAACGCTCTACATTATGATGTTTTCTATCCCACTACACTCTATTTAAGCTTCCCTTTAGCATGCCATCTTTTCTTGGGCTGTTTTCCTAGAGATGGATTCTTGCGACAGTTATCTTTGAACTTTAGCACCAGTCTTATCAAATGTACCAACATGTATTTCCCCACCACCTGGGCATCCATCATTGAGTTACACATGTCCTGGTTGGGTTTTTGTTTTTGTTTTTCAACTGGACAAAACACTGGTAAGAGGAGCTTCACTTGAGAAAATGCCCCCATCAGGCTGGCCTGTAGGCAAGTCTGTAGGAATCCTCTCGATTAATGATTGATGGAGGAGGGCCTGGCCCACTGAGTTGGTGCCACCCCTGGGCAGATGGACCTGATGGTGTAGTTAGGCTGATGAGTCTGTGGAGAGCAAGCAGGTAAGCAGCACTCCTCTCCAGGGTGTGCTTCAGTTCTTATAATCAGGTCCTACCTTGACTTCCCTTCATGATGGACTAAAACTGCAAGCCAAAATGAACCCTTTCCTCTCCAAGCTGCTTTTGGTTGCTGTGGGATAATGCTCTTGTACACTGGTTTGATAAAACACTGATTGGCCAGTAGCCAGGCAGGAAGCGCAGGCGGAGTGAGCAGTGGAGAAGAATGCTGGGAAGAGGAAGAGCAGAGTCAGGAGTTGCCAGCCAGACACAGAGGAAGCAAGATGTGAAGGCAGAACTGTGAAAAGGTACCAAGCCACATGGCTAAACATAAGTAAGAATTATGAGTTAATTTAGGGGTAAGAGTTAGTAGTAAGCCTGAGCTAATGGCCGAGCAGTTATAAGCCTCTGAGTGATTATTTTGTAAGTGGCTGCAGGACTGTGGGGCCGGGCAGGACTAGAGAAAACTTCCCACTACATTTGGTCATAGAATTTATTACAGGAATAGAAACCTAACTAGAACCACATATAGTAATGGACACATAATTTCCACACACCAGCATTAACCATATTACATATAATTTTATATATGCAATAACGGTAGCTATTGACTTATAGTAGGGCCTGGCATTTTGATCTTGGTGGTGTTTTCCTTTCAACTGCAGTCCTTTCTGGGAAGACCTTCTCACTGACAAGATTCCTCAGCGTGGGCTGCCTGCCCCCTCTCCAACACGTCAAGGGAATCAGTGGTCTGTGGCTCCAAGGTCACAGCCTGAAGTGAGGTCTTTGCCAGAGCATTGTTCTGTCCAGTGGGCGAGTGTTGGCTGAAGTTCCTGTCAGGCACACTGAGGGTGAGGCCTGTGTGGACACTCAGACTTCTTCCAGCACAGAGACAATATCTTCTGCTTATAAATATATACATCTAGGAGCTGCCTAGTAGCTTAGGTCCTGTGCCCATGTCCTGTGGCTCCAAACAACCCCATCTGTGAGGAACTTGTTCACTCCTGGAACAATGAAGAGGCATTTTAGAGTGGGTATTCACCAGCCTGTGGTGGATACAACAGGAATCTGCCCTTGAGGAGCAGAATCACTCCTCGGGATGCTGAAGTCTATATGTCTACGAGAAATACCTGGTCAAGGGAAGTGCACCCACTGTTGGTGGCTGGCTGCCTGGCCCCTCATGTGGCAGTCCTCTCCACCATCTCCAGCAATCTCCACTGTCTCTCAGCACCCCCACTGTCCAAGCACCTCATGTCCCAGCACCCCCCCCAGCACCCCACTGTCCCAGTGATGGGGGAATGTCTTTCTGTACATGCAAATATATGTTGCTCTGATTGGTTGATAAATAAAGCTGTTTGGCCTATGCCTAGGCAGCTTAGAGGCAGGCAGGAAATTCAAAGGGAGAGACAGGAAGAAGGCTGGGAGAGACACCAGCAAGCCGCCCAAGGAGCACATGTAATGGGATGCAGGTAAAGCCACAGAACATGGAGCGATACATAGGTTGATAGTTATGGGCTAATTTAAGATATAAGAGCTAGCTAGCAAAAATCTTGAGCCATGGCCATGCAGTTATAATTAATATAAGCCTCTGTGTGTTTACTTGGGGGATGCGAGTGGGAGAGATCTGTCCTGATCATCGGCAGGCTGGGACACAGGAAATCTTCCAGCTACATCCCAGCACCCCACTGTCTCAGCACCCCACTGTCCCAGCACCCCACTGTCTCAGCACCCACTGTCTCAGCACCCCACTGTCCCAGCACCCCCACTGTCCCAGCATCCCCACTGTCCCAGCACCCCCACTGTCCCAGCACCCCTGTCCCAGCACCCCACTGTCTCAGCACCCCACTGTCCCAGCACCCCCACTGTCCCAGCACCCCCACTGTCCCAGCACCCCCACTGTCCCAGCACCCCTGTCCCAGCACCCCACTGTCTCAGCACCCCTGTCCCAGCACCCCACTGTCCCAGAACCCCACTGTCCCAGCACCCCACTGTCCCAGCACCCCACTGTCCCAGCACCCCACTGTCTCAGCACCCCACTGCCTCAGCACCCCACTGTCTCAGCACCCCACTGTCCCAGCACCCCACTGTCTCAGCACCCCACTGTCCCAGCACCCCCACTGTCCCAGCACCCCCACTGTCCCAGCACCCCCACTGTCCCAGCACCCCACTGTCTCAGCACCCCTGTCCCAGCACCCCACTGTCTCAGCACCCCACTGCCTCAGCACCCCACTGTCCCAGCACCCCACTGTCTCAGCACCCCACTGTCCCAGCACCCCACTGTCTCAGCACCCCACTGCCTCAGCACCCCACTGTCTCAGCACCCCACTGTCCCAGCACCCCACTGTCTCAGCACCCCACTGTCCCAGCACCCCCACTGTCCCAGCACCCCCACTGTCCTAGCACCCCCACTGTCCCAGCACCCCCACTGTCCCAGCACCCCACTGTCTCAGCACCCCTGTCCCAGCACCCCACTGTCCCAGCACCCCACTGTCCCAGCACCCACTGTCCCAGCACCCCACTGTCTCAACACCCCACTGTCCCAGCACCCCACTGTCTCAGCACCCCTGTCCCAGCACCCCACTGTCCCAGCACCCCACTGTCCCAGCACCCCACTGTCTCAGCACCCCACTGCCTCAGCACCCCACTGTCTCAGCACCCCACTGTCTCAGCACCCCACTGTCTCAGCACCTCGACGGCAGGGGTTGATGTTCTCAAGTCATCTGAGCACATGCTTAGATAAGACATGTTGCAGTCATCGGCTTGGAGAGGCTGTTCCTCATCAGGAACACAGTATGCTTGCCTTTTCTTCCAGCTCCAGCTCCCAGGGAACAGTTCACTCCTAGGAATATCTATGTGTCTTCTAGGAATATTGGTGTTCAGGTAAACCGAACATTTTCCTAATCAGATGGTGTCTGGCTCCAGGAGTAGTCAGTTAGCGATTCCCACAGGGGTAGGGAAGCCAGGGGGTCAGCTGCTGCTGCTGTGTCTTTTCTTGGACCATGTGTCTGAAATCACCTCCTGTTTCTACTCAGGACCAGAGAGAATTTCCAGATGACACCGTGAAAGAGACAAGATAATTTGTTCTGGACAAAAGAAATAATGAAGTAGATTTAATTACTTCTTAGAATGCTGCCTCGGGTTTTGACTTGCCTTACTATATCATGTCTTCTTTTTCTACTTCCCAGTTGAACTCTTTGAAAGAAATCTTTTATAAATGTTTTCTATAAAATCTGTGCATCACTAGGTCTTAGGAACAAAGGGATAATCAGTATGTGAAAGACTGTGCATGCACGCAGGAGGACTGACTGTCTTCAACAACCAGCACTCTCTGTACTAGGACACTTAGTTGATGGCGTTGTTGGTTATCGGTTTTGAGGCTTATGGAGTGTGATGTTGCTTTTGAAAACTTGAGACTCTGTTCTGCAGCTCTTGTGACTGACGGCCACATGTGCTAGGGCTGGTAGCCCCTGGGAGAGTCCCTGAGACCATAGTCCTCCAGTCCTCCTCTTGTGGGAGCTGTTGGCTTTGGGAGGAGACGGAGTCCAGGTGAAGAGATGGGGTCATCGAGAGAACCTTCTAGAGTGGGGTCCACATCAGTGGTACTGAGTCCATGCTGGGAAGAGGAGGAACACAGAGAGGGGAAGGTTGAGGTAGGAAAGGATGTAAGCACTTAGAGAAGGTGGGAATTGCTCTGAAGAGTGACAGGGAAATGGAAGTCAGCAATGGAGGCGGGACCAGCTCGGAGCAGACAGGAAGGACGAAGCACAAGGGTATCTAGGCCGTGCCTGCTGCTTGTTCTCCAGACGCCCTCCTTGTGTCTCATTTCTGAGGGGAGACGCTGTTCTGACCCCGGCGAGGTTTCTTCTTTGATGGACAGCAGCAGCAGAGTCTTGTCACGGCGTTTCCTACCCTCCTTGTCCATGCCCTCAAGCCTCTGCGCTGGCCCCGGCTGTGGGTGGACTTGCCCTCTGCTGAGGCGCTGTGGGAGCATGAACTGTCTTCTGTGTCCTCACTGATGCTGCTCTTTGAGTAAATGCAGGGAGCACTCCTGGCATGATGGTGGACTTGGTCCAGTGTGGGTGTCCTCTGGAGTGGCCTGCAGAGAGGAAGAGCCGGCCCGGTGGCATTTCTGGCCCCTCTTTGACCTGCCTGCTGGCCATAGGCAGACGCCTGACTGTTAGTGGATGACCCTCTGAGCAATGCCCCAAGGGCGGGCTCACTTCCCCTCCTCCTTGGTGCTAGAGGGAAAGCAACAGGATCCTCTAGGGAAGGGAATGGCGTCGCCCCCGGGTTAGTGGCCTGAGCATGTGTTGTGCAGCCATACCCCCGGAGAGCCTGCCCTTGCAGTAAGCAATAGGATGCCATGGTCTGGTCGAATTTCCTCTGGTGTAACGAATCTTTGATATCCTGGGCTTGGAACCCAATATGTTCCATGGCCTTCACAATTGCAGGGTCAAGCAGGCTGGGGACCATTTCCTCACAGTGATTTGGTAAAGCCTCCATGTCTTTCCTAAGCCAGGGATGTGTTTTCACTTCATCCACTGTTGGCCTAAGCCTGGGGTTGACTGTCATTAAGAGGCTGAGCAGGTCCTGGAGCTCTTCTGACAGGCCCAGGGGGACAGTATACTTCCCTGACACAACCTGCCTCCGCAGCTCTGGGATGTTGACAGCACCAAATGGGACCTTACCGACTACCATGAAATATAAGACTACTCCCAAGGTCCATATGTCGACCTTGGGGCCATCATAAAGCCTGCCGAGGAAGAGTTCAGGGGCGCCAAAGGAGTAGGCGCCACAGTGCCGGCTTAGCCTTTGCCCAGGCTTGACTTGAGTGCCGAGGCCAAAGTCGATGATTTTGACTTTTCCCTTCTCATCCAGCATGATGTTGTCTGGTTTTAGGTCCCTGTGAATTATACCTTGGTCATGGCAATAGCTCACACCTGCTATTATTTGCCTGAAGATCCCCCGGGCCTCATGTTCCGGCAGGTGGCCAGCCTTCCGGACATATTGATAAAGCTGTTGGCCCTCAGCCAGCTCCATGACGAGGTATGTTCTCTTCTCGGACTCAATCACTTGGATAAGTGAGATGATGTTGGGGTGGTTGGTTATCATCATTATTTCTACCTCTGACCTGATTGGCTGACACCACTTCTTCTTTTGAAGTACTTTGACAGCCACGGGGGTACCTGTGAGGCGGTGGTGGGCCAGCTGGACCTTGGCATTGCTCCCGTGGCCGATGGTCCTCAGGATTCTGTATTGAGACTGGAAGCTTTCCTCTTCAAAGATGCTGGACACGGGGCTGGGGTCTGGTGACTCCTCCTCACTAGGTGAAGGCATTGTAGCTAAAAATCGCTGCAAATGTTACCTAAAAGGAAACAAATAAAAGAAGAAAAGAAGGATGAAATATAGGATAGTAAAACATAGAAAAAAATAATAATAATGGAAAAGGTGTGAGAAAATAAAATCTAAAACTAAAATGAAATCTAAGGACTCTGTACTTGGGATGTCCAGTGACCACGCGGCGCTGGGACTCAGGTAAGTAATGTTCATTCTAGTTCCTTCTGGTTCTCCATTACAGCATTTCCAGTCTCATCCCCAGCTCTGTAGCAAACTGCTTGCAGATGCCTCTCTCCTCCAACTCTGCCTCTATTCCCTAGGAACTCCACTAAACCTTGCTGTGGACCCAGCTTTACCCCTTCTGGTGAATCTTACCTCATACCTAGAAACACTTTCTACCTGGGACACCATCACCATCACCACCAACCCCTGCTCCCGTGGCTTCATCTGGCAGGGATTCTGGTAGGTGAATCACATTATACTTCCCATTCTCCAGTATGGTCTCTGCATTCTCACAGCCTAGTAACAACATGCTGACAGGTCTCCCCCCCACCCCCCCACACCTCAACTCCATTCACTAGATCCAGAGTCTCCCATCCCTTTCATCCCTGTCTCTCCACATCATTTTTTTTTCATTACTGCAATCTATTTGCAGGAGCCCCCTTTCCTATCACACAGACAACTCACTGGACACTCTGACTTTTGGTGTGTCCAGGATCCCCTTAGGTCTTTGCTGAAGCCCCTTTCAGCCTTTCCCCATAGCCCGCCTTTATTATTCTCAAGGACCCACCAATCTGCAGCAGCACTCTCTACCAGGAAGCCCACAGCTATCACACATTCGCAAGATCTAGAGAGAGCCAGGAGCAGGAAGCCCACAGCTGTCATACATTCCCAAGAATCTAGAGAGAGCCATAGAAAACAAGGAACAGAACTCACCCAACAAAGATTAGACCACATATTGACACCTAGAACCACCCCAATCATCCTAAGCCCTGATGCCTAGACACCAGCCCCAAAACACAAACACCAATAGCCAAGACCATATGCTTTCACCAGAACCCAGTAACCCTCCCACAATAGGCCCTTTGAAGTGTGATACAGCTGAAACATAAGAACTTCAAAATAGCAATTATCCTTAAGGAGGATATTAATAAATCCCTTAATGAAGCCTATGAAACACAGAGGGATGAAATAATGAAAACAGTTCAATACATTAAAGTGCAAATAGAATCACTAAAGAAAAACCAAACTGAGATAAAACCAGAAATGAAAAATTTAAGAAGTCAAACAAAAACCTCAGAGGTAAGCTTCATCAACTGTTTACAAGACATGGAAGTGAGAATCTCAGGCATTGAAGACAAGGTGAAAGAAATATATACCTCAGTCAAAGAAAATGTCTCAAAAAATCCAGGCACAAAACATCCAGGAAATCAGGGACACCACAAAATGACAAAAATCTATGAATAATAGGAATAGTGGAGAAGAAACCTAGGTCAAAGGCACAAAAGTTATCAACAAAATCATAGAAGAAAATTTCCCCAATATAAAGAAGGAAGAGCCTATAAAGGTACAAGAAGCACACAGAACAACAAATAGACAGTACCAGAAAAGAAATTCCCCAGAACACACTAAATGTACAGAACAAAAAGGAATATTTAAAGCTGCAAGGAGAAAAGACCAAGTAACACATAAAGGCAGACCCATTAGAATAACACCCAACTAGAGACTAAAAAAAAAAAAAAATGGAGGGAACTCATATTAACAACTTAACAGCACATCTGAAAGCTCTAGATTCTAGAGTCATAACCGAAGGAAGAATTAACATCCGAAGGAGCAGATGCAAGAGACAAACCCAGTGCTGAAATCAGTAAAACAGAGATAAAACAACACAAAGAACCAATGAAATGAAGAGTTGGCTCTTTGAGAACATCAATAAGATTGATAAACTCTTAGCCAAGTCAATTACAGGTGGAGAGAGAAGGTTCAAATGAGTAAAATTAGAGATGAAGAGGGGTGGGGATTGCTGCAGATACCAGGGACGTTCAGAGAATTAGGACATACTTTAAAAATCTATGTTCCACCAAACTGGAAAAAACTAAAAGAAATGGGTACATTTCCTAACACATATAGCCTAACAACATTAAAGCAAGATCAGACAAGCAATTTAAATGGACCTAATAACCCCTAGTGAAATAGAAGCGGGAATTAAGAGTCTCCCAAACAAAAATAGGCCAGGGCCAGATAAATTCAGTACAGAATTCTATCAGACTTTCAAAGAAGAATTAATGCCAACGCTCCTCAATTTATCCCACAAAGTAGAAACAGAAGGAACATTGCCTAATTCTTTTTACAAGGCCACAATAACTCTGATACCTAAACCACACAAACACTCAACATAAAAAGAAAATTACAGACCAATTTTCCTTATGAACATATATGCAAAAAACTCAATAAAATATTTACAAACCGAATCCAAAAATACATCAAAAAGAGTATCCACCATGATCAAGTAGACTTCATCCCAGAGATGCAGGGATGATTCAACACACATAAATTAATAAAAGTAATCTACCACATAAACAGATTGAAAGACAAAAGTCACATGATCATTTCAATAAATGTAGAAAAGGCCTTTGACAAAATCTAACACCCCTTCATGATAAAAGTCCTGGAGAGACTAGGGATACAAGGGACATACCTCAACACTATAAAGGCAGTTTACAGCAAGCTACATGGAGAGAAAAATCAAAGCATGCTCACTAAAGCCAGGAACAAAACAAGATGTCCGCTATTTCTATACCTATTCAACATATTACTAGGACACTTAGCTAGAGCAATAAGACAAATGAAAAAGATCAAGGGGATACAAAGAGGAAGAGAAGGAGTCAAAGTGTCTTAACTTGCAGATAATATGATTTTATACATGAAAGACCCTAAAAATTCCACCAGGAAATTCCTACAGCTCATAAAATGCTTTCAGCAAAGTAGCAGGATACAAAATTATCACACAAAAATCAGTTAGCCTTTCTATATACAAATAACAAACTCAGAAAGAAATCAGGAAAACACTACCTTTCACAATAGCCTCAAAAATATTATTGGGATAACTAACCAAGCAAGGAAAGACTTGTATAATAAAAAAAAAAACCTTTAAGATAGTAAAGAAATTGAAAAAGATATCAGAAGATGGAAAGATTTCCCATGTTCATGGATCAGTAGGATTAATATAGTGAAAATGGCCAGCCTACCAAAAGCAATCTATAGATTCAGCACATTCTCCATCAAAATTCCAACACAATTCTTCACAGAAATGGAAAGGATAATTTTCAGCTTCATCTGGAAACACACAAAAAAAACTAGGATCACTAAAAATTCTGATTAATAAAAGAATTTCTGGAGGTATTACAATCCTTGATTTCAAGTTGTACTACAGAGTTATAATAGCAGGGTATTGGCATAAAAACAGGCACGTTGATCAATGGAATCAAATCAAAGACCCAGACATCAGTCCACACACCTGTAGACACATGATTTTTGACAAAGCAGCCAGAAATGCATACTGGCAAAAAGACAGCATCTTCAAGAAATGGTGCTGATCAAACTGGATGGGCTGCATGTAGAAGAATGCAAATAGATTTGTATTTATCACCCTTCACAAAACAACTCCAAATGATCAATGGACCTCAACACAAGGCCAAATACCCTGAATCTAATAGAAGAGAAAGTGGGGAATAGTCTTGAACTCATTGGCACAGGAAAAGACTTCTGAACAGAACACTGATAGCACAGGCACTAAGACCAACAATTAATACATAAGCCCTCATGTAACTAACTGAAAAGCTTCTGTATTGCAAAGGATAGAATTAGGACATGTGTAGCATGCTACAGAATGGGAAAAGACCTTTACACATCCAATAGAAAGTTAATATCTAAAATGTATAAATAATTGGACATTAAGAAAGCAAATAATTAAAAATGGGTAATGGAATTAAACAGAGTTCTCAAAAGATCAAACACAAATGGCTGAGAAACACTCAAAGAAATGTCATCAGGGAAATGAAAACCAAAACTACTTTGTGATTTCATCTTAAACCCATCAGAATGGCCTAAGATGAATGAAACAAATGACAGCTTATGCTGATGAGGATGTGGGAATGGGGAACACTTACCCATTCCTGGTGGGAGTGCAAACTTGTACAACCACTATGGACATTAGTGTGTTGATTCCTTGGGAAGCTGAAAACAGACATACCTCAAGACCCAGTTACGCCACTCTACATCCTACTACAGAGAAGCCTGCTCAAACATGTTCGTTGGTGTTCTATTCATAAGTCAGAAATTATAAATATCCTAGATGTCTATCAGATGAATAGATAATGAAAATGTGGTACATTTACACAATGGAATGTTATTCAGCTGTTAAGAAGACAAAATTATGAAAATTTCAGGTAAATGGATAGAACTAGAAAAAAAAATCCTGAGTGAAGTAACCCAGACCCCAAAAAACAAATACAGTATTTGTGGAAGTTTAGCTGCTGTTAAGTCTTTGGCAGGCATCCTACAATCCATGTAACCACAGAGGTTAGGTCTAGAGCAAGGGACTAGGAGGGAAGGGATGATCTTCCAAGGAAGGGAAAATAGAATACATAGTTATGGGAGAGACAGGGGAAAGACTGGAACAAAAAGATTAAATGGCATGGGAGGAGGGGAGAGGTGGGCAAGGGAGGAAATTTGGAGATGGGACAGCTAACACTAAGGGCCATTGAAGAATTATATGGAAACCTACTACTGTGGAGGCTTCTTAAAATATAACATATATGAAAGAAATCTAAACGGAGTCACCAAACAATGGAGGAGACAATACCTCAACTAGACATCTTGTGCCACCAAGTGAAACTCCCAGTGCCAGGAATGGGTTACATCTAATGTTGTTGGCCAAAGGGGCTCCATAGAAACCCCCAAACAGCTAACGCTATTGCCAAAGGCCATTGGTTGTCCTC